GGATACATATATACAGTTCACCTACGGTACAGTTGCTTTCTGGAATGACAGAATGCGGGTTTTTGTCTCCTTGACAAAATGACATTTTTTTCTTGCGCTGATTTGGCCTCGGTATAAGATAATAAGATATCTAGGAGACCTGAGAAATATGAAATTAGCTAAAGACGCTCAATCCGAATAGAACGTTACCGGTATAAATCTGTCCCAACCGGTTTTATTAATTTGCCATTCCCTTTTTTACGTAATGCACGTTGCGTAGTCCGCTCTTCCTTGTCAATATCTTCGTTAACGAAACGTTGTGCAACGCCAAAGAAGTAAAGAATTAATTCTCGCCACGTAGCTCTACCGCGCACACGCGATATCACGAACTCCCGTTATTACCTTCATTACAATGCACCTAATTAGAATTGCTCATCTCGTGTCAGTGAAAGGTATGTAGAAAACATAAAGATAAGATCTATGAGTAAAGTTAATGAGTCATCAAAATATTATTCTAAAATAACGATTTACGAACTTTATGCTTTGAAATTTGCAAATTTCGAGAAAGGAAACGATTTCAATAATAATAATTTGTTCATTTTGATTCTAGTAATAATCAGAGGAAAATAAAATGTTAAGAGTGAAATAATAAAGTAAAATAAAATGTTCAATAAGTAATAAACCAATCGTTTAATTTTCTTAAATTATTATCATTTTAAAGTTTATTTTTAAGTTTATTTTTAAAGTTTAAAGTTCATTCTACATAATAATAAATAATACAAAATTAATCTTGATAATGTAATAAATCTAAAGAAAATGGATCTTCCATATCGATTGGAAATTTTAGCATTAAAATTAGAGTTAACTTTCCGTTAATTAATAATAACTATTGAGAAAGTTTCGAAATAATTAAAACATGAAAATATGAAATACTTTTGATTATAGCAAGTTTTTAAAGTTTCTGCGGAAATTAAAATAAAATATTGAAAAAAGAATACATATTATGTTCTAAAAGAACAATGATCTAAAAGGCAAGGAGATGAATCGAAATTGAGAATTTTGACAAATCCTTTATTCAATATTAATACAATATTAATATAGTATAAATAAAAAATATCACCTTTTTGACATAATTTTGCATGAAAAAAAAATTTGCAAGATTTTTTTTGTATCAAGTACATTGAAATACAACTGAAATACTTTTTTCTCTAATAGAAAAACATTTAAAAATAATATACGTCTTTCTCTTTTATTTAAAATTATTTTCGAAAAGATAGATATGCGAGAATATTCTACTTTTTTTTACTTTAAAATTATTTCGATTTTAATATCAATAACGAATGTTTGACCCGAACCCGATACCGGGCACGTATGAACGAAAGTGCAGACTGGTCGAAGAGACCGACATAGGGGTGCAAGCATATGACGGGAGCGACCTGGGTTATGTTGCATCGTTGTAAAATGCATTTCGCCATCGCGATCGCAAAATACCATGTGATAAATACGGTGCGAATCATTTTTCGTCTATTAGATTCATTGGTCAGGCAACGAAAATAATCGTTGATATATCGTGACGTGCGCAAATTTTACATATCGTTGATAGGCTTGTTTTAAATTATCGGGCGAATTTCGGGATGAGATAAAAAAAGATATCATTTCACGAATTTGACGAATGTAAATCAGTGTGATTAAAATGACAGATGATAAAGTTAAAAAAATGTTTCAACTTTGCGTAAATAAAAATTATCGATAATCTAGCAAAAATAGTTGATCATTAATTTTTCTATCCATGAATGAATAGTTTTGATCGCTGTCGTTACGAATATGATAGAATGTCCAAATAGATCTATCCTACTTGTTTTGATGTCGCAGATGTCAATGTTATATTCAAGATATCGTATCGATATCTTGAATCGAATACTATGTGTCACTCTATATTCGAAATAGAACAGATTTAAAAGAATACATTAATTGTGGATTAATCGTTTTTAATCGTTTTTAATCGTTTTTAATTCTAAAAAAAATTCCAATTTAAAAAAAAGATTTGAAAGATTGATTATAATTATTGTATGTCAATGAAATTTCGCATAAATTGTTGCTTACATAAATATTTAGATGACCCATGTAAAAATAGTTGAGCTTTATATTATTCTTTCTATTATTCCTTTCTTCGCTTCTTTTTATTATTCCTTTCTTCGCATATAAATAAATAAAGTACTATCTATGAAAAACCATTTCAGACATTTCCCTTGCTAAATAAAAACTCATTACATTAGAATAAAAATAAAGAAGAATGAGATAGCGTATGTAAAATTAAAGATTCAAATAATAGCGCTGCAAAATAATGAATATTACAAGATGAGAATTACAAAATTATGTGCGAGTAATTTGAATAATAAATTGAAAAATCCATAAATTAGAAATCCATAAATTCTCAAACTCGAACGTACATATAACATATACGCGAGATAAATCGCTGTAGCATTATATTCCCTGCTTACTAATTAAAGTGGCGTATTAATTAGAATTTCATTGTAAAATTAAGCCACTGCTATAATTCTACAACGAGTTGAAAATTACTTTAATAGAGCTGGGAAATTCACGATTATGACTAAATGCGAAACGTTCCATTTCCGAAAGCGACGGAGATAAATTCACACCATTCGTGGACCGAACGACCACCCAATTGTACCTTGTCACCGAGATGGACTCCAAATTTTCTCGTCAATATGATATCGAGGGAGGGTGAGCCGAAGTTTCCTCTGCTAAAACGCTTCATGGGAGGTCGGCACGCACGCACGCACGCACGCATTTTATAAAAACGTGCGCGCACTTTTCAACAGCGTCGCCGCTTCTCATATCGCGGTAGAGTGGTTTCTAATTCGGATAGATGAAGGAAGAACGAGTACGAGTGCGTCAAGGATGGAGCGTTTAACTATTGGTCGACCCGTTATTGACTGGATTTATGTATCTGTGTCTGTCACGACGAAGAGAGGAAGATGACCGGTATCTCGTGACGCGAGAAGGAACTGGATGTGTTACAGCACATCGGCCCCATTAGTCCCGTAAACATTTACGAAAGATCAATGAAGTTTCGGGTAAACACACGCAAAGGCAACTCTCGTGAACCGATTTCCTTACACGACGAATCGCGGTATAGAAAAGAAATTAATGTTTGTATATAAATGATTTCATCTATAAAGAATCCATGAAAAGAAATTATTTTTTATTTTTTAAATTAATAGATGAATTAATATATATATATATATATATATTTTTTTTTTGTTAAGGATCGAAATTAAAAAAAAAGAAAACAAAAGTTTACGTTAATATCATTAAATTGCAAAATGTGGGCGAGGTTACCGGAAAAAGGCCGCGTTGCCCTGAGGGAATTGAGTGTCTCTACTTATAATTAACCCCAAACTCTATTATCAATATGCTATCAAAGGTCCGAAGATAGCTAGAAGCGGCATGCACAAAAGCAGATTAACGATTTAATGAAGAGAGAGAGAGAGAGACAGCGGGACGAAAGTTCTCCTGCTTTTCCTTCGTTATGAACATTCTCGGTGCGATTTTATGATATAAAAATTTTCACACGTGATTTTGACAACAAAGGGAATATCGTATACAACGCGCGTAGCGTGAAAATATCAAGAAAAAGAATGAAATATTATACGATATCTCTCTATATAAACTGTACATCGATGTTAATTGAGTAGAGATATTCAGTTATATATAACTGTGGGATGACATATGTCACTCGGCAGAGATTATATTAATCTTTCATTGTATATAATACTGTAAGCATAAAAACTCATGATCCAAAAACCTAACGAAATCAAAGTGGAAAATAAATCAGAGGCGAGATTAAAGCGCATAACATTGTCGATAGTCCTCGATCACAATATTTATAATCAGCTTTAAATAAAGCAATGATATATTATAGTTGTCTCGTATGAAAACAGAAAATTAATTAAATTTATTTATATATTATATATATATATATATATATATATATATATAACATATGTAATATATAAATAATATATATAATATATATATAAAATATATATATAATATAATATATATATAATATAAAATATACAAATAAAAAATAGAAATTCACCGACGATTCGAAATGTAAAAACATAATTTTTATTACCTCATTTTGTAGAAATATTTTTTTAAATTGCTATTAAATTTCTAATTTCTAATTTCGAGCGGGTATAATTTGAAAGAATTTAATCCTATTTGAAGGAATTTAAGCTTAAATGTCTAGAAACACGTCGTGTCAAAATTCCGCGTATATCGCAAAATCAACAGAGTTACGAACATGTTATAAACATTTCTCGTTAGTCGAACAGGCCTATGCAAGCCATCCCCCCGTGATGAGCTACCCCCCGAGGCGTTCACCTGCTCTTCTCCCGGGGATGCAAACTCGATCGTTACTGGAACGTATCCAACGCATAGATACGTTTACGTATGGAGAGCAAAAGCTACATGCCAGCCTCTGTGTTTTCGAGGGAACGCGCTCGTATAATAAGAGGCTAATGATAGTAACAACTGTAACAGAGTCAGAAAGCTGAAAATACGAATAGAGTAACGTGCAAACATACGCATAGCTGGGCGGTGAATCCGAAAAAGTTGCGAATTTAGCGAATCGCGCTCGAATCGATCCGAAATCGTTTCGAACGAAATCCTTAAGGTAAAAATTTCCTTTCTCGGAACGGAAATTTTTATCGCGTATCTCGGTTTTCCTTTCCCGAGCTAATGCATCGTCAAAAGTTGAGAAACGACGTTTCGTCTTTCTCGCGAAGGCTAATCGATTCTAGTCAATGATTCATCGCGATCTATCGTAGACGTAACAGTGGAAAAAATTAACGAGTCACTCAACGCGTCCCGATGTCTCCGATATCAAGCAACAGGAAGTAACCGACGCGTCGCGCAGGATGACCAAAATTTACCAGGAGTCCACGATAACAGTATCGTAATAGTATCGATAATAGTATCGTGCTACTCACCATATGAAGTCCTTGCAGTGGCTGCAGAAGGTGGGCTGCTTGAAGAACCTTGGCATGAAGCTGTGATTCTTGACCATGTAAACATTCTTCTTCTTGAGAGCGCCCTTCCGGCCCCGCAGTTTATTGGCGAAGGTGTTGTCGCCGGTCCCGAGGGAGTCCTCGCACGTGTTCTCCGGATCGTCCGCCATGGTGTCGCCGCCGCTGATGCCGCTGCTACTGATCGACGATCGATCGACGTCGATGATGCGTCCCGAGCTACGCGAGCGACTCCTCGCCGGGGACGACGCCGACCTTTCCGGAGCCTCGTCCGCGGTTCGCGTCCGAGAGGCGAGGCACTCGGTTCTCCCGATGAACGGAAAGCTGCCGACGACGAGGACGACGGGGACGACGGCGACCGGACTCGCGCGCGGAAGCTGTCACACGGCGCACCGACCGACGACGGTATGTCTCGCGCGCGCGGTGCTTGACGGATGACGGAGAAGGGGGTGTGAGAAAGAGGGCGAGGAGGCGGGCTGGAGGGGACGGAGAGAGCGAGCGAGAGAGACGACGGGACGATTCGACGCTCTCCGTCGACGTCAGCGCGCGCGGTTCGCTCGAGCTGTCCAGCGTGCCTAGGTGCCAGGTAGCGTACTCTCCTGCTGCGTACGACGGTGACGGCGACGTTGCTGACTCTCCTCCCTCTCGCGGCTCCACTAGACGCTACGCCCTCGCTCCGATCGTCTCGCTCCAATTTTGCGCGGGAATCTCTCCTTCTCTCTCGCGCGCCTCGCGCTCGCCCGGCATCCACTCGACTTGGACTCTCTCTCTCTCTCTTTCATTCCTGTGAAATACGTCCTTTTCGCCTTCCCCTCTCTCGCTTCTATTCTACACTTGTCCTAGCGATTACTGTATTGTACCTCACTGTCTCTCTTTCTCTCTCTCTCTCTCTCTTCCGCTCGCTCCCTCTATCGGCCAAACTCGAATCGCTCCTCCTTGTTCGACTCGCTCACTTGTCTCGTTTCCCTCAACGATTTTCTCTCTCCCTCTTTCTTCCCCTACTCGCTCGCTCCAATTCCTCTCGTCTCTCTCCCGGATTAGCCATCGCGTAACGTCGCGCTCTCTCTTTTCCTCGTCCGTCTCGCGGCGCGAAGGCTGCGCCTCCATTCTTTCCCTCTCTCTCTTTTCCCCCGCCTCGAAGCGTGGAAGCCGCGCGCGCGGACCACCTGATAATTTTAGACTCTCGGCGCAGCGGCTCGGCACTGCTCAGCCTGCGCCGCGCACTCGAATATCGACATTCGACCAACGACGGCGGCGGCCACGAGAGCCGCGAGTCGCACGCGGCGAGATCCGCGAGGGGGGTGACGGGGGATGGCGAAAGAAAAAGCGCGTACGATATTTCCCCTTTCTTGCTCGCTTCCTTCCTTCCTTCCTTCCTTCCTGTAGGTGTCCGCGTCGCGCTCTTCCCTTTCGTCCCCGCGAGCGGGGGAAGGATGATGGCGGCCACCCCTCCCGCTTAACCAGACTTTCGCGCGTGTCCCTTTTCCCTTTCCCTTTCTCCTCTCCTCTCTCTTGTTCGAGCGCGGATGCTCGATCGGGTGCTGGACCGAAAACCGGGACGCGAGACACGAGATGGAGATCAAGTCCCTGCGGGTGGACGATTCTATCGGCGATTTAACATGCATACGCGGCAACTTCACGCCGCGTCGCTCGGATCTTTTCGACTCGCCCGCGGAAATGCACGAGGCGCTCCGGGCGCTCGTTCGTCGATCAGCTGTCCGCCGCGAGCGGTGATCGCGGTCCAGCGTCAGACGCCGTCCAGTGTCAAACGGTGTCGGATCATCTCGCATTCTTGGTGTCACGGCTTCCAAAGGGATGAACTGCGAGATCGCGTACGCGCGGGATTTACATCTCATTTCCTGAAAACACATTCATAATATATCTTATAAATATTTATATTTTAATTAAAATTCTATTCATCCGTGTTGGCTTTACTTTAATCGCGGAACCATTCATTCTTACTCCGATATTTTACTGTTTTTTTTTATACATTTAAAATGCTTTTTACAATGTCTAATTTCAATAGTAATCTCTCTTTCAAATATTTCTTAGATGTAAAAATTATAGCGTACAGTCAAAAATTAGATTACTTACGGATAAAAATCAGATACATAATTTTACAGCTGATATATGCCAATAATAAATTTTTACGTTCTTAACATGTGTCTAAAGTATATTAAAAAAATATATAGAAAAGTCTCTAGCTTTAGCCTGAGACAGACTTTACACGTGAACGGCAGAATGATAATAAAATCGATGACACGGAATTTCACCAAGGGAGGATTGGCCGCGCGTGCCACGATGATAGAATAATGTAACGCGATTTTACTCGATGATAATGCGACGAATTTATGCGAGCCTCATCTGTCGAGTTTCATTCGGACCGATAAAGTATCTTGCTCATCAAGAACCGGCCATCGTTCATCCCATCGATCGTGGTTTCTCCCTTGGAAGACGCAGAAATATGGACTAAGCCGCGTTTAGAAAAGAAAGCCGCAGAGAGAGATGAGATAGAAATCGGTACAGCTAAAAGTCGCCAGGCTCGCAACTTGTAATGCGTTTCGTTGGAGAGACGACTTATAGTTTGAGCCTAAGCCGGTCAACCGGAAAGACTGTAACCCAAGTTGTGACGCGCGGGTCAATAATACCCCTGGGCTATTTTTAATAACCTGACCATGCACAGGGAGAGAGAGAGAGAGAGAGAGAAAGTTGTGTGAGCGCGAGCGCCCACACACACATACACTCGTGGAAAGTGTGCACGTCCTGTGTCCCAGAATGTCCGCGGGACATCCTACAGGACCACGCAAGTACCGAGAGTAAAAGGTTCATCCCCGATTCAGGACATGCTTCTCCCACGCAAATCAAGCGCTCATCTATTTAGAAAATTGTCCGATAAATATCTTTCTCTCTTTCTCTCTCTCTCTCTTTATCCGGGTGGCAATTAATTATCAATTAACGTTAAACTGAAATATTAGTCTGAAATTTTAATCAGTCTTAATTACGCGATTATCGCGTAATTAAATATGTTAGAAATTTCGATTACAAGTTTTTGAGCAAGAAATTAATTTTGATTTTTTCCAAAACGTGACTTTTGAACGTTCCATTAACGTAATGACATTTTTATCTCGTACACGATTTAGCGATTAGAAATGTTTGCGCATTTTTTATCCTGGAATTTTTACGAGGGAGAACGTGGCGGTTGTGTCACGCGAAAGCCATGACATTATGCGATGCTGCGGGATGAAGGGATTTTCGAGATGGATTTATAACGACATGAAATGGTTCGGTCATTTTCCTACGTCCGTCGAATCCTCATCCCCGCGAATTCCCGCGGATTATAGCGAGCGATTCGATCGATCGAGCACGTTGCCAATTGTATAATTCGCTCGAGAAATATTTGCATGCGATATAATACGCGCCTATACGGTCATCTGCATTCTTCGTCGATACTCTATATTATTCATGCGCGATAATATAATGCAGATTATCAAATTACAAAATTCACATTTATGCGCTAATCAAGTTTTGATAGAAACGTAAATTTTCGCATGCACCAGCATTTTCGGACGACTAAAGATTTACATACGTAATTTTCCCTCAGTGTATCGCATTAAAGTAATTTGTGATTTGCATAGATCCCAAATTAAATTCAGGAGAGATATTATAAATCCAGTATACGAGGAAATTTATATACGACACATATGCACACTATTATATGAATTGTAGAGTGTGTTTACATTGTGTAAATAAGATTAGTAGTAATTTGAATGCATATTTTTTAAGATATTAATAGATGAAAACACTGTTAAATTAATTGGTATATATTATCTATTAGATAGCTCAGAGATTAATGAATAAAACAAAAAGAATACAAACAATATTAAGCAATAATATTTATAAATAAAAAATAATTATTGTTTTAGGTATTATATATTCTTATGAAATATGTGAAAACATACACATATAATAGATTTACATGATTTTAATATTTAATTGGCAGTCAGAAACTTTTTATAATTTTTTTTAATCTTAAGGGTTTCAGTTAAAAATAAACGCATCGATTTTCGAAAAGGTAATGCATAAACGATGTTGCTGTAAAATTAATTTTGTGTATTATACAATGTATATTTTATTAAAACTGATTATTTATTGAAAATTTATTTTCAATAAATATAATATCAAATTTACTTTAATCATAATTCTTGAAATATAAAACTGCAATGTACGAATTCTATTGCAGTTTATAATTTGCTATATAAAATATATTGTATAATCACACAAGATTTCGAAAACAAATAAATGCTGAAAGGTTTCAGTACGTAGAATAACTATATTAAACGAAAATAATGTTATTAAATAATGTTATTAATAATGTTATTAAGTATATAAATGTTATTAAGTTGAACAATTTTATTAAGTTGAAATCCCCCCATTATATTATTATATTAAATTGAAATCCATTACATTATTATATTAAGTTGAAATTTATATATAATAATAAAATTTTACGAAACATGTCGGGGAGGAGGAAATATCCTTTAGATTTCAATACTATTACCATCTAAATTTATTAATTACTAAAATAACTATTTATTAACAAATATACTTGCCATTTTTTTGACTAGTACCGTCATTAATATTGATAATATTTTGATGTATTTGACGAGGAAAATCATTCTTCTCGAATAACGTCGAAGATTTGAACATTATGAGATGGCAGTATTGCATGGCCGATCTCATCGATAACTTCCATGGCATATAAAATACATAGACGATGCATTAGCTGCCGACATGAGCACGAATATAAGGAATAGAAATAGACACAAGTAAGGTGCATTTTAAAATGCGACCTTAACTCGAAATGCGATCTTCTTCGATTCCTTTTTTCGAGTAGACTCGGTTTAGCTTGTGATGCTCAATCATATCTTTTGGGTAATATTTTGAATTGTCCGATACACACACACATTAAAATTTTTATTTACGCTCTTTTCCATCCCCCCCCCCCCCCGTCAACTTACAACAGATCTTCCTTCATTGCAGAATAAACTCTATCTATATATTTTATATGCTATGACAACTTTCAACAGGGACGGGATAAAATACTTGATCGCCTCGTGTTTAAACTAATCTCCCTTTTTCTATCCAAAAGACTGGTACTGCAAAACTAAGAAAATTTCCAAGTAATTAAATATTATATTTCATTATCTTTTAATAACTAATGAAATATCGCACAAAATGAGAATAAATGCTTTTTCAAGTTTTGAATTTCCAGCAAGAATTCTGAGGGGCGCTCGCAGATTTCTTTACGCTCCTTTGTGATGATGCGTCACCGATTCAAAGATCTATCAGCTGTGTTCAAAGTTGGCGGATCGTGGATTGCTCGTCGTGTCTTTCGATAAATCGCGTTATCGATTTTCCGAAATGCCGAATTTCACGAAATGGCATTTCGCGCTACTTGTTATCACGTGCGTGTCCTTTGGTAAGTGATAAAATTTCGATCGTTCCATCTTTCTCTTCTTTTTCACCCTTTGTTATTCCCTGTAATATTTTTATCGCAGGCCACGCCCTGGAATGTTACGTTTGCACGGATCAGGAGGGCAATCAGGATAAGTGTCTCAATACTATTAAAACCTGCGAGCAGGGACAGGATTCTTGTCTCACGGATATCAGATGGGGCAGTAAGTTTAGTTTTCTGCATTTTACACGCAGTCTTTTTTTTTTGAGGTTATGTGAGCTTTCGCTCAAACACGTTCTCTTTATCTGTATCTTTTAACTTAAATCAATTACTATTGATTATTATCGACAATTATCGTTTAATCATTTTTGTATTGAAGTCGATAAAAAAAACATTTAGTTAATTGGAGTGTTGATATCTTTATCTTGAATAACAATGCAAAGAATATTAGAAGCAACACGAGTACCTTATTTTTATCAGTTTTGAAGAGGAAAATCAAATCAAAGAGTTATCTCTAAATATAATAAGTTGATACAATATGCTTGATGTTAAATTTTTATACAATAAAATTTTCTTAACAACATGACAAGTTTAATGTTTGTTATAGGTAGGCCGTATTGGACTCAGGGTGCCAAGAAACAATTTTACGTATCTAAAAGATGCGCCACTAAAAAGGAATGCGAGAGATCACAGCGGAACAGTATGTCTGATTGTACTTATATCTGGTATCTAGACTGGCAGTGTTTTTCTTGCTGTCAAGGTGACAGATGTAATTATTACGTTATTGTAAGTATTATTTAAGTATTATTTTTCTGCGCTTATAATAATTTGGAACACAATTTATATAAGTAAATACTTCATACTTATTTCAGTCTGCTGGAAACGAAACGAAACTATATAGGGGAATATTTGCCATAACAATTTTGATCTCATTGTTGGGCATATTGAGGTTTTAATGACAATGATTTTGCAGAAATGATTGAGGTTGACGTTTTAGTCAGCTAACAAGTAATCAATCTCAACATTCCAGACTGGCAGATGAAAAATCTTTTTCTTTACAACGACGATAACTGACAAATATTACATGCAAGATAATTTTACATTTTTCTAATATGTCTGAATGCGTCTGATTACATTTCAGAAATCTGATTTTTTATGTTGTATACAGTCTTGTCTCGCAATATCGTTTCATAATGATAGTTTTAAAATAAGTGTTCACATTCACGTAAATTATTCAGGCAAACGTAAATGCATTTATAGTAGATAATACAGCCACAAATATTTATCGAGTTTAAATCTCTATATCTGATCTTAACACTATATTGTAAGACATTTAATCCGTCCATTTGAAACAATGTTTCATTTGTTATAATATATACTATATATATATATATACGTATGTAAAAAATTCGTGCCTATTTTAACAAATATTATATATACACAAAAAATGTTATATATACATAATATGAATATTCGTCCATTTTTCAATAAAATTATATTTATATTAATAACAACTAGTGTTTAATCGTATAATAGAGATAACAATTTAAGAGAAATAAAAATTTGAAAGTATTAATCAAGTAGTAAAGTAATTAAATATACGATATTGAAATTGTACTTAATGTTATCAATCCGCGGAATCACTTGTTTTTACAATCTAGTAAAGGGTATATGACAAGGTGATATGACAAAATACGAATTGGGAACGCTGAACCCAAGGAATACATACCGACGTGTCTTGTTTATGATTGATCATATTATCATGTGTAACGGATAATCGATATCTACACAGAGATAAGCAAAATAAAGAAAGTACATTCGTTTATTATATTTGTGAAAACAATTTCAAGATTGTCGCGCCACCCTGTATGTTGCCAGTATAATCGAGAGTGACGTTCAGGTGCGACTGCAGTAATTACAGTGAAGCGGTTTCGCGTACAACCGAGAACGTTACGTTGCTAACGATCAAGTAAGTACACATTATCGCGCGAACGTTATCACATATAAGCTTACCTTAGACGATCTATAATTCGGAAGATAAAATTCACTATTATAATTTTTATGGTACAGAAAATATATATTTGAAAAATTAATATTAAGATATACATATACATTAACAAGGAAAATAGAAAAAAATTTTTGTCTTCTGTTTTGTCGTGAAATATAAATATAATATATTGCTCAAAATGAGCTTAAAAAATAGAAAATCAAACTTTTGACAGAAAGTTTTTTTTGTATTAAAATATATAATTTTTTTATATATGTAAACTTTTATATTTGTAAACTTTTTAAAATTAAAAAAAACATAAAGCATTATTACAATACATACATACTTTACATGTGCGCGTTACACTTAAAAATACATAAAGGAAATGAATATGTATTAGCAAATTTAATATAAAGTCTATCTAGCGTACGTTAATTGTACAATAGACATTATTTCCTTATCTTAATGCTCGCAATAATCTGACATTTTATAACACATCGCATCCAAGGCTTATTATAAATTTTTTTTAATGTTATCGATGTCTTCAATGTCAAATAATTAAAAAAAGAGAGAAATATTTCTCGATGAAATTTTGTTATCAAAATCAGATTTTTATTCAATTTTACATATAACACGCAAGTAAGATACATTACGGCTAGACTCGTTTTCTTACGTAAATAACGACATTAACATTCAACGACAAATTTTTATCGATTGATATGAAATACTTAAAAATTTAATACAAACTTGATAAAATCTAATATTGACATAACATTAATCATTCAAATAGATCCAACCGAATTTAGGGAGCGTTTAATTCGATTCTTGGAAATATTTAAGTGAAGTGAAGAAAGAATGTTCGTATTCATATTGAATTTTATTAGTGATAAATATAGACAATTGCTTTACTAGAGCCACCATTGTAGCTCTGCGTATACTAGCAGCGAGACAATTTGACCACTTAAGCAGGCGCCTTAGGCCCCAATACGTCGTCTCGTGATATGAAAACATTTTATGTCTTTAGTTGCGCGCGGACCGTTCGACGGTCAATTTGCACGATTTCTTTTGTTAAGATTCTCGCACTTTCCTGACAGAAAAATGGATTGTGCTTTAACAAAACTCGTCATGGTAAGCGGCCAATTATGCAATTTGTCTCGCAAATTATACCGACTATGATTATAAACAGCATTCACAGAAGTATCGATTTTCAAAGCATATATCTCTTTGGAAGAATATAAATAAATTATAAAGATAAGAAGAATTTTTTTGCGAAACTTATTATCGGTTACATCTTGGATTTTCGTGGACGCAATTAATGTTTTATTACATAACTGCAGTTATTTATATAATATAATTAGTCCGAAGCTTGATCGTTATTACAAAATGATAGTGAATAACGTCAATTTTAATCGATTATAATTTTATACAATTTTTTCCTTTAATTTAAAAAATTTTGAAAATAATCCACAAAGTCTTTCGACCAATCAACTTATAGATATTGTTAATTTCTATTTAATGGATATTATTAATGTCTATTTAAATTTTACTAATTGCACGTATACGTTCTTTTTCAGTTGTATAACATGAAGTGGAAAATCCGCGATGTGTACAAGGTGTTTAGCCGCAAAAAGGTGGTGAACATTTCTCAAGACTCTAAATTAGCGAGGGTCTTGTCGACTCTCGATCTCACAGCCTTAGGAGTTGGCTCGACTTTGGGAGTAGGTGTGTATGTCTTGGCAGGAACTGTTGCAAGATCCACCGCTGGTCCTGCCGTGATCGTTTCATTCGCCATTGCTGCGATAGCATCGATGTTTGCAGGTATATCCTCCTATCAGTTTGATACAATGATAAGAGACCATTCCATACGCTTTCTACTTTATCGATTTCTTCCTCCTGATACAAAGCTTTCAGTTATTACAGCATAATTTCTCTCCAGCGAACATTTCTTTATTACTTTCTTTATTACTTTCTCAAACAGTTTGATAAAGAAAAATATCTCGCAAAGAAGATATACAAGATTAAATGTTGAATAAATAATGAGCATGTTTTTCGATCTTATTTCAACTCCCGTTGCTATCTAAGCAAACCTGAGTCCTGCTATAAATGCTGCAAGCTTTGCAGAAAATGATACTGATAGAAAAAAGTCACCCAGTTTTGATTTACATAACAGAGGTAAATTTTTTAACACGTTTAGTTTAAAGATTCTTAGAAAAAGATATCCCAATTGATGAAGTAATCGATAATCTTAAGATAAGCTTCGCATTCAATCATTTCGCGTATTCGACAAATAATAATGTCGTACGTGCATACTATCGTTATAAAAGTTTTATTATATAATTTCACATAAGTTGGTTTTCAAAAAAGTGCCTATTATAGTTATTAAGTGTATCACCCAAAATATAAATCTTGATCGATCAAGAGAAGCAATTCATATTGTCAAAAAATGTTAAAAAATAAATATAATTCAAATTATATTACATTTTTTAGTCCAAAAATAGCGCATAAGATTTCTTTTATATAAAGCTTATCCCAGGTAGAATATGAAACTCATAATGACATTATTATGACGTCATCATTTTATTTATCACTTAAAAGTTACCTAAACAAAAATGAGTTAAAGATGACAAAAAGAATCATAAATTTTTAAGTTCAATAATTGCATTATATAATTTTAAAAAGATTATGTTGCTTAAATATAATTAAAATATACATGAATAATTAATTAAACAAGTAATTGCATAATATATATAAAAAATGATATTAATAAGTCACCAAAACATTACCAAAAGTATGTCAAATGAGATCATTATGATTTTTCTAAAATGACTTTTAGGAGACGTCATAATGATGTCATTATGAGTTTCATGTTCTACCTGGGATATAAAGTCCGGTTTTTTTGTAAAAAAATTTTTCAGATGAAAATAAAAGTATATTAAAAAGCCAAAAAAATAGTAATTTATTATTCTAATTTAAAAAATTACTTTGAAATTAGTTACTAGTATCAATTGTAATTTTGTCTTCAATTGTACTTGCAAATGCAATAAATATTCTTATCAAATTATCATTAAATTGTATTTAACATTATAATTATTTTCTATGATAAAAACAAGGAAATTTATTTGAGTCTAATGAATCTATATATCGGTTCTTAATATTTGTTGATAAAAATTAAATTTATTTTTAAAATAATTGACATATTTATATTATATATATATTTTACATTTTGTGTTTATTATTTTAATACGTTGCACACGTTATTTGCTTCCTAGGACTCTGTTATGCAGAATTCGGAGCACGAGTGCCGCGTGCTGGATCCGCATACGTTTACAGTTACGTCACAATGGGCGAGTTTGTTGCATTTCTCATCGGCTGGACGTTAATTCTGGAGTACGTCATCGGCTCAGCTAGCGTGGTACGCGGTCTCAGCACATATGTCGACGCGCTCTTTAACAATAGCATGAGAAATGCCTTCGAATCAGCGGCACATATCGATATTAATTATCTATCATCATATCTAGACTTTTTCGCATTTGGCATCACTCTGCTGTTTTCAGGTAATAAGAAAATAAATCTTCAACTAACTCAATTTAATGTATTTTGATCGACAAAATATTTAAAAGACCTTCCTCAATATCTCTATTATATCTTTTATCACAAGTTCTATTATTAATTTATTAGTTTACGTAAACGCGTAGGAATTATAAAAAGAGCTGAAATAATTTGCAATAACTTTTGTAGTTGCGCTTGCTTTTGGAGCCAAGGAATCTTCGCTAGCAAACAACTTTTTTACATTAGTGAATCTCTTTGTCGTACTTTTCGTCATAATCGCCGGTTCTACTAAAGGTAAGCGCTCATTTAAATTTATCTCTTTTGTTTACATATCTTGAAAAAACCTTGAGTTAATGATAATCTACATGTACAAATTTTATGATATTTTTTGATGATTTGAATTTGTAACTTAATATTTAAATTACTACATATTATTAATTATTACTGTTAATGATAAAAATAATGATAATAATATAATTAATGCTAATACTTTAAATATAAAATATAATTATAAATATAATTATAAAATATAAATATAAATATTAAATTTAAAATAATTGAAAAATTGTTATATATATAAACTCATAAGTTAAGATAGTGATAGATATAAAGATATATAAAATTTGCAGCTAAAATTAGTAATTGGAAGACGGAGCCTAAATGCACCGAGACAAAGTGCGAGTTCGGCACCGGCGGTTTCGCACCTTATGGCATATCGGGCATCATAAGCGGCGCGGCCACGTGTTTTTACGGATTCATTGGCTTCGATTGCGTGGCAACTACGGGAGAGGAGGCTAAAAATCCGCAACGATCTATCCCCATAGCGATTGTCGCATCCCTGATGATTGTCTTTCTGGCGTACTTTGGCGTCTCGATGGTCCTTACCACCGTGTTACCGTACTACGAGCAAAATCCCGAAGCACCGTTCCCACATTTGTTCACGACATTAGGATGGGACTGGGCCAAGTGGCTCGTGTCGATCGGAGCAATTTGCGGACTATGCTCCAGGTAATATTGCCCTTCGTTATACATTAAATTAAACAATGAATGAGAAAAATTTATATTTTTTGCATACACTATTGAACACTATAAAAGTGTTTTAACTTTTTTGCAAATGTAACATATAGATAATTAACGATATTCTTTTGTTATTTTATAAAACAAATTTTAATCAAAAATCTTTGATATTATTAGAAAAAAAAAAATATATATATATATATATATATATATATATATATATTCATAAATTTTATATATATGTTAATCTACATCTCTTATTAACATATTTTTAGAATTTGAAGAAATGATAAAAGAGAGAGCAACATTTCCTTCTATTTATCAATTATTTTAGTCTTTTAGGTGCGATGTTTCCGCTGCCGCGAGTAATCTATGCTATGGCTTCAGACGGATTAATCTTCAAGTGGATGGGCAAAGTAAGCTCACGATTCCAAACTCCGTTCATGGGCACGCTTTCCGCCGGGCTTCTTACAGGTTCGTTCACATATCTTATCCTCCATGATCAATCAAACGGTATAATCTTTTGATGATGTATTATAGGCATTCTAGCGGCGATATTTGAACTCACGCAATTAGTCAATATGATGAGTATCGGTACGCTACTGGCATATTCGATTGTGGCCTCTTGTGTACTTATTTTACGGTAAGATATCATAATTAAATTAATCTTATGTCTGTACCCAGGTAAAACATGAAACTCATAATGACATCATTAAGACGTCTCCTAAAAGTTATTTTAGAAAAATCATAGTGATTTCATTTGATATATTTTTGGCAATGTTTTGATGACTTATTTTTGATATTAAACAATATTCTAGCGAACTCTTCATGTTCTACTTGGGTAACTTTTAGTTTAACTTTTCAAGAATTAAAAGAAATTAATAAACTGTCGATTTATATAAAAAATGATATAAATTAATCAGATCACACAATTGATTGATAATAATTAAATGCAATTTCTGTCATTGATTAATAAAAATAACTAATATATATTTCTTTTGCAGATACGAAGAAAGCGAAGCATATGAGAAGAAAGACGATCGCGATCCAAGGACTTTCACATTCGTCATAAGACAACTGGTAAACGCGAACAAATTAAATCATTCCACTAAACTTACGGCACAGATCGTTACTTCTCTCGTATTTTGTTACAGTAAGGTTCATTGTATTTTCATTTTCATAAATTTAATATCTCAAAAAATCTAATGTAGTACACTACAAATTCTTTTGCAGTTGTTCTTTGTTTTGGTATCGCTACTCTGTTATCAACGTATATAACTGAGATCAGCGCTGGAAAAGCGACTTTCGTGGTATTACTCGCCGTTTTAATCGGTGCACTCATGCTTACTCTTTGTTTCATTTATCTCCAACCAGTTTCGGGCAAGAAACTTACATTCTCGGTATGATATTATTTTTTTATATCTATTTCTTATATGTATATGTATATCTATTTCTTATATTGATATCTTAATATCTTAATAATATCTTCCATAATCTGTCAATATGTGGAATCGTGCAAAATATTTTTTTAAATTTTTATTATTGAATATTATTTATGAGTATATATCAAATTTCGAATTAATCTTAATCTTAATTTTATCTTATCTCGAAAATCGTCACATTTCGATTAATAATATTATCAATGTTTTATCATTTTTCTTGTATATAGAACATAAGTATATAATATAAAATATAAGAGAGTATATAATATTATGAATTGATAGTTAAATAGTTAAATTACTGGAACCATAACATTTTTTAAAGTAATCATAACATGCCTGTTGTGTTAGGTGCCGTTGGTACCATTCTTGCCGGCGATTAGTATACTCATCAACATTTATCTTATGATGATGTTGGACGCTATGACATGGGTACGATTTGCCGTGTGGATGATAATTGGTAAGTTTATGCAAGAGACGGATAAATATAAATTTCTTAATGTATTAAATTAAATGTATCGAATTATTTCATATGTTTTATCGCGTAGGCTTGGTTATATATTTCTCTTATGGCATACGACATAGTAATATTCGACAAATGAAGTTGCCGGCGAGATCAACTGATAAGAGTAAAGATAATTCATGGAGAGATGCTGATTCTTCTCATGCCTTGTGATAAAAGATGACTATAAAAATAGATCGTTTAATTTTAATTTATTGATTGGAATCAATGAGATAACTCTTTTAAAATAATGTAAAATATTATACTCATAAAATACCTGCAAAGTATTTATTAACTTTCTATAGTGATTTCGAAATAAATGTTCTCTCTCTCTCTCTCTCTCTCTCTCTCTCTCTCTCTCTCTCTCTCTTCTTTTTGTATTATTAAATAGTAAAAAAAATATTACTTTGCTATATATTAGTATATCAGTAAAATTTTATCAAGGCATATGTGTCAATAATCAAAGTAAAAAAAAGCGAATATAGTCAAATAATAGAATATATCAATAAACAAAAGTAAATACAATAGCAATCAAAGAGAAAATAATATCATGTGTATAAAAGATTAATCTAATAATTCAAAAAGCTATTTCCGTAAAATAAATAACTCACACCTAAAACCTAATTATGTAGCATAGAGAAATGTGTTATACATTTAATTATACATTTAATTAAATAAATTTATGGAAATTTATTGATAAAAATGTATCAAATATGCAATAGTGTATTTTATCTATTTCATTATTTTCTCAGCGGTTATATAGTATTTAGTCATATATATTTGGAATTGATATTTCGAATATTCATGCAATAAATGTGGTAAAATTGTAGAGAAATTACAAAGTTGTTTAATTTTTCTAATAAGTAATAAAGTTACTTAAAAATAGAAAACATGAAAAAAAAAGAAATATATTTCTATATTTGGTTTATAATTATAATATAAGAACGCAACTCCTCAAAGACGATAGACGAAACTACTTATATTTGCTGATCAATTGATTAGCATAATTGATGTAATTCTGCTTCGCTGCTTCTTGAGTAATGCCCTTCTTCTTATTCCATGCTTCCCATTTTGCTTTTCCTTTCAGATCCAGCATACCAGGTTTGGCTGAAATATTTTGTAATATGTATTATTATATAATATATATAATAATATAATTAATTATATATATATATATATATATATATATATATATGATTTAATAAAATTATATGAACTGATTGAATAATTATTTCTGTGATATAAATATTTCCGATATATAGAGTGACCATTTTAATCAATCCATGCGAATATCTCGAGAAGAAGTTTTTCAAAAACAATGTTTCAGAAAAAAAGTTTTTATAGTTTCAAGGAGGGCATAAGATAGTGGCAATTATTTGACCTTGGATGATCGTTTAAAGGTCGCATGAAAGTCACCTTCAAATTTTTAATCCTTCCTAAACCCCCATTTTTCATTGCACATTTTTATAGCTTATCTCGAGAGCTTTTCAAAACACCATAATAAAGTATTTTTTCATTGAATACTGAGTTATGAGGCTTGAAATAATTTCTTAATTTTACATGAATCATAAAATATCTAATAAAATATTCATTTTTTTATTCTCTCGAGATAAGCTACAAGATTGTGTAATGAAAAATGGAGGTTTCCATTTAAGAATTTGAAAGTGACTTTCATGTAATCTTCAAATTACTATCTAAGGTCAAATAATTGCCTCTATCTCATGCTCCCCTTAAAATCATATAACTTTTGTTTGAAACATTTTTTTGAAAAATTTCTCCTTTTCAAGATATTCGCATGGATTGATTAAAAAATTAAATGGTCCACCCTGTATAATTTATAATTGAATCAAATTTTCAAAATTTATTATGATATATTTTGGAAACTTACATGTGTTATTATCACCGACTGTAGCTTGTTTGAACAAAGCGTAAAGTTCCAAAAGCTCCTCATCACTAGGACGTTTCGTAAGCGTCTTTATAGCTTCGGCGGCTGCCTCAAATTCCTATAAGAAAAATTCAAGCTTGTGATTTTAAAATATTTCGTTAATCGTATTCATCAAGAAATAATATTATGTGTTATTTAGAAAAAAATACTATTTTAATTTATGCTATCATTCAACCACGTGTTATAAATACGGATTATGTACTTAGAAAAAGTCGCAATGACGTTTGAATCTATTGACTTTGGATGACTGCGTTAAAAAAAAAGAGAGAGAGAGAGAGAGAGATTCGGAAGCAGCTATTAAACTGCAAAATCACGACTCAAAGTCTTGTATTTAAACTATTAATTTAAATATTATATGCTATTATAAGCTAAAGAATAAATTTACTTGTAACTTATATAAAGAGAAAGAGATAGAGAGAACACAAAAATTAATGAGTAACGCAGGAAATTTTTGAAGTTACATTAGTGAAAAACAATTTTAAAATTTCTAACCATTGTAATTTCCAAACTTTCCTCAGACGAGTTTATTTCCGATAAAATTATGATTTACCAATTACCCCAAATTTCTCCTCGGAGAAATGCATACGATAATATTATACGCGATCGCAATATGAGACCAACGAAATTAGTATGCTACGTCGTCGATCGATTTTCGTCGCTCATTTCCCTTTTGAAATTAATTTATCGATGCTTTTTTTGTTGCAACGTACTTCGAAAAAATTAGTGCGAAACGTAAGAATGTCGAAAAATCGAGATACCAGTTGAATCTGTTGCGACAAACTGAGTAGAAACGAATAAAGGATACGTATTTGCATTACCTGATCGAGAGACATTCTTGCAACAAATCGTTCGACTCTTCTGTAAGCACTGTAAATGACTTTGTGACCAACGATTGATCGTATGCGTAAGTTAAAAACGTTAATCCCCACCTCGAAATTTATCACACCAGGGTCGAACGATAAACTGGTTCCTTTTTTTCTTCTTAAGATATTAACATTTCTGATTCATGCAAATACATGTATAATCAGTTATACATGTATAGTTATCTCATGAATGTATTCAAAAGTTTTCCATTATAATTTTGTAACAATATCAGTAGTGTAAGTTAAAAACCGTGCAAAAAAAGTAATTAAGCATCGTAATGTCTTTGTTTTCAATTTTTAGAAAAAAATACAGGACAAAATAGGAATTTGAGACATCAAAATATGCGACTTAATTTTATAAAAGAAAATAGTGTAATAATTTTGGTCATATATGATTATGTATATAATATAATGTAAATGTATAATATATGATACGTACGATATTTATATTATCAATATTTAATGATTAGAAATTAAAATCATAATTAATAATTTTAATTCTTTTTTTAATTAATAACATATTACAATAATAGACATTTTTTAATTAAATTGTTTTCATCCATATAATATATTATCTGTAAATCCTCAATCTTTTTATAGATAAAATTATTCTAACATTTTTATCACATTTCAAAATTAATTTTAGATTCTGATAAGTCTGATAAGCTATAAATAAAAGATTAATCGCTGCCATTTTTATTTAATGGAAAAGAGGAAATATTCTCCTTATATATAGAGATCAATATAATATACACAAAGATCAACATAACATATGATATGTGTATGTACAAAGTTATTATGATATGATTTGCTGAGAGATTTGCTATCCAAATATTTACTACATATTTACTACATGTCCATGAATTGTGATTATATATTTTGTACAATAATATTTATTTATACAATACATTAATATCTCAAATTTCTCTATAAATATCTTCGATTATATCAATTTCAATTTCTTTTAAAATGAAAATGTCGAAAAGAATCATAGATATAATTTATCACAAAATACCAGTTTTTCATTTTATAATATTTTTATTATAAATTTTCGTATTATAAAACTATTAGAGTTTACTTGAAATTGAATTAGTTAATAAATTAACAAGTTTTACTCTTTACACATTTCTTAATTTTCTTTTAATATTATTTTTAATATTATTTTATTTTTAATTGTATATAATTTAAACATATAACTTATATAACTCTTTTCCTTAGTACTTTTTATTAAAAATATTAACTCTATCTTGAAAGAATAAATCAAAATTAATTTGATGTAGATACTTATAAATATGCGAAACTGTGTACCGGTTTTAAGATCAACCGTAGAAAACCCCGTTAGAGAAAATGACACTCTATAAAATCTATAAAACCTTTGCGCGACCTCATGAATTACAACAGTTCGAAATAAACAACTTGATAACGTTGACAACAGTTATTTTACATATTAATGAAAAACACTGTATAACAAATTAAACAAAATAAATAAATTAACAAAATAAATTAAAAGAAGATTCAATTTAGAGAAATCTATCTTTTTTACTTTATAAATTCATAAATTCTTAATCATCAATAATCTTCTGATTCCTTTTCTATTTTATATTATTCCGTTTATATTAGCTTTAAGTCTTTTAACAAAATCATATAGATAGTTTTGTTAAGATTTTAATAATTCCATTAAAACACTTATTTTTATTCAAACACTTTTCAAGTAAAATCCATGATTTTTTTGTAGATTAATTAATTTTGTAGAAATCAATAATTGCAGAATAAATTTCTAAGGATTAATCTCTTTTAATCTATTTATCTTATTATTGCAAATAAAACACGATACCTGATCGACCGACATTTCGATGTGAATCCGCTTCGAGTGCGAGCTGTCTACTGGCAGTCATGATTCTACATTTCCTGATCGCTTAGAGTTTATTGCTCTAGCATCAACTAGGTGGGGAGTGCGCACATTTAGATCCTGAATTAATATTTGCAAGTTATCACTCCATATCATACATGTATTCTCAAATTTAATCATGCATTAAATTCTGTATTAAATAAATGATAATCAATAGATATTAATTAAAAAGCAACAATAAATGTTTTGAGATAAAATGAAAATTATATATATAATACATACGTAAGAACTTATTTTAAAAAAATAATTATGTGTGTAATATGCAGTTTAAGTAGTGAAAAGAAATGCGTGAAGGAGAAATATATTTATAAAATATAAATTACAATGATTATTATTATATGTCTCTCTTATTGAATATTATTATTATCTTTTGAAACAGTGAATTTTTACTTGATGTAATGCGATTTAATCATATAATTAAAATAGAAGCGGATGCGTAATTGCAACTAATTCGTTCCTCAAATTAACTGCCAAATTAACTATTACGTGATAACGAGGCATACAAGCTAACTGTAATCTAAGAATGTACAAGCGATGATTGCATGTATGATCAATTTGAAAGAAACTAGAGAAATATTCAACGTGTTAGCTAATATTTCTATGATGCAGATACATATTTCAGATTGCATTTATATAAAGATTTATGACTCATACATAATAATTAAATATTACGATTTTTAATTCACTTTGAACAAATTAGAAAGATTCGCATAATGTAATAATTAACAACTATTAAATTAGTTAACATATTTTAGTTAGCAAATAACATTATTTTCATTGTCTGTATGATTCATATTTCTTTTTTTTCTTGAATGAATCGATCGCTGTATCATATTTAATCATCGTGCTCCACTTTGGACGCGAGAAACCTTCTCTGAAATAATAATTTCGCTGATCCTCACGCATGCATGTATTCGACGAAGAGCGAACGGGGCCAATGTGCCACATCAGCATCCAAGACTCACCTGTGCAGGAATGTAGGAATTCTCGATTACCTCTGACGCGCATGATCGATACCACCATCATCCGTGCGCATCTGTATATGTATATATGCACTTGCGGTGCTATAAGAAACACCATCAATTCTGTTTATGAAACTGTTACAAATAATTCTACAGGATGCATACAATGATTTTTATGATAGATTTTGCTGATTAAAAACTTAAGTAAGTCGCAAAAATATTTCCTTCAATTTTACACGAATAGAAGTCATTGAAAAGTATTATAAACTTTTTTGCTGACAATTATTTTAATCGTTATCCGATCTCTCTTTCCTCCTTTCTCTCTCTCTTTTTTCTGCTTCTTTCTCTTTCTTTTTCAGATATAAAAAATATCCTTCGCAATTTTAATTATATAATATGTTGTTGTATTGTTGTAATTAATAAACAATTTTGCTAGACAGAAAAAACTATTGTACAATTCAAACGATCATGCAATTATGTGGCAATCACAATATTTTGCATCAATACGATTAAATTGTGATAATTAGATATCATGTTTCCAGAATTGTGCTTCAATCTAACATTGTATAATTCATCTTCCACGTTATCTATTTATTACTTAATTTTGAATAATTTATATGAATGGTTGACTTTAGAATTAAAATTTTTACAATATTTATATTAAAATGTTGCGGTAAACACACAATACGCAAAGGTATGTCACATTGCGTACATGGGAGAAGTTTGATTATGAAAACTCGTTGAGAAAACAAAACAGAGAAATCCGTAAAGAAAGAATGCGGAATAACACTGCTAAACTTTCAAAGATGTTGAACACGCTGTTAAAATTACATATAATTTCCTTGTTTCTTATTATAAAATGATACATTGTTATAAAATCGATATCAATTTAAAATAAATATTAAAACATAAAAGAGGAATATATTTAAAAAAGATGAAAAACCTAGATATTTTCAAAGATTGCATTTGCGTAAGTATACATATTTATTGAATGCCTATTGAATATTCAATAAATATATATAATTAGATATATTCAATAAATAAACATATATTTAAATATTTAAAAGAGAATTTATATTTTTTATAACATATGTATATAATATAATGTATGGTTATTCATTTATGCAAGCAATCAAATAATATGTTTTAATATCAAATTATGATATATTATATAGAATCAAAATCAATAAAAGCTAAAAATTTCAAACATAAATCTGTATAAATGGCAATATAAAGGATTTTATTGATATTTTTGTCGAGAGTTGTTAATCGATACCAACAAAAGTGTGCGTAAAGATGATAGATTAAAATATTCAGTTTTGAAATAGAAAAAAATTCGACTTATCTTATCTAATTAAGTACATTGATTTTTTCTCTCTAGTAATAAAGTATTACTTGAACACTAGAAAACATACATATATAAATGTTTTATATATGAATTGAACAAGAAAATAAAAAATGCTACTCAATTGCTATCAATAAAAACAGCGCGTATAATTTTTATAAATATTCTTTGACATGTAAATATTTTATAGAAAACACTCTTGACTACAGATCATTAATAATACAAAAAGTTAATCGAATAAAAACAAAAAAGTTGTAACACAAACTACATTTTGAAGCATAAATATAATTAGAATTTTAATATATTCGTCTGGTAGAATATGCAAATTATATTTTGCGATCATAATGATACTATTAACAATAATATTATGCAATGCTATTTAATAATAACATTAATAAATGTAATATTACTAAAATCTTAATAATAATATTATTAATATTATTAATAATAATATTATTTAAATCTAACATTATTAAAATAATATTATTATTAAAGCAACATATATTTCAAAGAAAAATAATGGAAAGAAAATCTTGGTACTTTAATTCTTAATTTCTCACTCACTACTATATCATACTTAGATTACATTAATCTTTTCTTCTCAAAACTTTGCAATTAACGTGAAAAGCAACGTAATTAATAAATCTCTGTAAGGATAAATCTGTTTAAAAAATGTAATAAATTGATAATTCGCGCTACGGGCCTGCGAGGCGAGTCCCGCCGAGGATTGCCGAGCGATCCCGACGATCTTCGGAGTCGGCTGCGCTACGCGAGTTGCGTCGTCTGCGTGCGCGAATGCGCAGCGAAGCGCTCCGAAAATCCGGCGCGAGCGTGATTTGTCGCCGCTCGCGCGCGCCGCGCGATCGCCCGATCATCGCCGGTGATCGATCATTAGCGGCGTCGCGTTGCGTCAGTGTCAGTCTGTCAGTGCGCTTCGCGCCGCGTGATCGTGCGTTTCGCACTCTGCCGTCGTCGTCGTCGTCGCGAGCGCACGTGCGATGCCACCGGAGTGCGCGGGATACGAATACGCACTTACGAGCCTTTACTTCAGTCGCGCCCACGAGACGATCGCGCCAAAGTGTCAAGGGAGTCTCGAGCGGGAGATCAAGCGGAACGGGTCGATCTTTTCGCGAAGCTAGAAGCTTTGCGCGACGTTACGTGACCGACGAGTTGAAAAACAACAAGTAATAATATCCGTCTTTGCTATATGTGTATCTGACAGCTTCGAGCGTTATGTTTCGTCGACGAGTTCGACTTCGCGACTGCGATATTAACGCTTCGTGATTTTGAGGCAGATTCGAGTAGGTATTTTATTATCTATGATTACGTGAGAAAACGCGTAACAATTTCTCATGTATAAAAATATCTTATATTTGAAGATATTTGTATATTCTTTAATTTTTTGAGATCTAAGTAAAAAATATCTGCAAAGTTTTTAATGGATGTGATGAATTAATCTCTCTGACATAATAATTTCATATTTAAAAATTATCAACTGGTATCAATGTAATTGTTAATAACTTTTGTATTTATTTATTTATCATGATATATGCGTATAATTGACAATTATTGTAAATTATTGAATCATATACAAAAAATGTAATAATCACAAAATTTAAAAGAAATATTATTATTATTATATATTTGTGTTTATTAGAATCTTATTGTGTTATTAGGTTATGTTTTAATTAACCTATTTAATCGATAAAAACAGAAATTGATTTCACGATTAAACACACACAAGATAAAGTAAATAAATTTAACAATTCTAAATTAAACTATTGTGACAGTACAAAGTACGATCAATTAAAGGTAATTAATGTATTTAATTCGCGGAGAAATTAAATCGAAAGAGCAGAAATTAATTTTTTAACGAGAGAAAATTTTACATTTAACCTAAATTTATTTAATGGATCGATCAAAATCAACGACTTTTTACCAGGCAATTATAATGAAAAGCTAATAATAATGTTTAAAATAAGGATAGTTATATCGATTATTAGATCTCAAAATAACAAAAACGAATAGCACAATTTTTACTTCTTATTTTCTTGTTTCCTTTTTATTACATGGCATTTATGTCACAGCAACGGAAACTGCGATAGGCTTATCTGCGATTATTCGTCCATTTGATTCGTAATTTCATATCTCAGGAAAATAAATAATTAGATAGATTATGAAAATGTAAATATGTTTGACATATTTTATCTTTACAAAAAGTCATATTATAATATATATAAAGTACACATTTATAATTAAATAATAATCCATGTAATTACGTAATAAATTAATATAATTGTCAGTACATTGCAATTAATGCTCATATGCACACCCAATATTCGTGATAAGGACATTAAAATCTCTTATCGGCGTTTTCGTGGAAAACGTTTGAAGTTGTGGTTCTATCAATCTTCTTCATATCGGGTTATAATCGATGATGATTTTTTTAAGCATTTTTTTTATCAAATTGTGCTTCAAATTGAACGTACACAAATTGTTGATATTTATTATGAATGCAATAATATAAAGCCGCTACATCCGATTCAGAGATTTTACGTTTAATCGATCAAGAACATGTATAAAGAAAGGAAGAAACGTTGTAGAAGATACATAATTTTTAATAAAGTAATAATTGTTATAAAAAGATAATTTTTTTATATTAAAATTGTGGATATGGGAAAAACGAATAATGTAATAATAAGAATATCATATAGAATGAAAACGTGAAAAATAGCGTGATATTGTATTAAATTTTTCTTGAAAATTACAGATTTTAAACACAAAGACAATAAACAAAAACATAAAATAATAATATGTGAAATGCTCGCGACTTGAGTGAATCATAGATGATTGAACCATAAAAAAGGAGCCCTTCGACATGAGCCCTTCGCCTACGGCCAATCGGAGCTTCCTGCACGGGACTGGCAAGAATGCCTTGATCCCCGACAAAGTCGTTTACGCCACACTCGACAGCTTAGCTTTGAAGCGAACGAGATTGCCTCTACAGTTGCTTCCCGTGGAGAGCGATAATGTTGCGGACAAGATGGAAAATTTAGACAAAGAAAAGCGGCTCGTTAATGGAAAGGCTTTGCCCAAACAATCAACTTATGAGGTACGTCGAAAGTACATGTTTAATTTTTGCAAAATGTATCTTGAAATATGGATGAACATAGATCTCATTCACAAAAGAAATTTGACTCTAATTTGAATCTAATTCTGTATCTTTAAAAAATTTGAAATTTACGGGATAGCTTAATTGCATCCAATATATTATTGTAAATATATTATAATTAATTATTGAGTTGGAATTACATTATCCCATAAATTTCAAATTTTTTTAAGATTTATTATAATATATTATATTAATATTTTTTTAAGAAGAATTATATATTAATATTTAAGAATAATTCGATTGTCAAATTTCTTCTTTCATAGAATATGTGATTTGTAAATATATTTAGAATATATTTACAAATCACATATTTTATGAAATTTAATATAAACATTTACTTTTTGTTTCGAGAAGTAATTTTAGACGCAACAGTTCTTTAAATCTCTATAATCAATTTCATGAAATTTTTTAAATTATTTTTAGGATATAAAAAAATTAGACAAGAATTATTGTTATTTGTACAATTTGTACAATAGAATCTCATTTGAACAAAAAGTGAGTTTATCAGAATTGTTGAAGATAAGGCAGAGACTCCAGTTATTTTCGTATATAAACCGGATGTATATTAAAAATAAAAGTTTACGTGACTCTCTGTGAGAGACAAGTAAGATGTCTCTTACGTGCGTAAGTCGGGATATACGGATATGCGAGCAAAAGGATGCTAATAGTCGGAGGAGTGGCTCGTTAGTATCTCTAGCTCTTACCATTGGATAAGAATCGCCAGGAGTTAACGGAGTAGCACTCGATGTTTATCATACATATTATCAAGATACCGTTATATCAAGAAGCACAGATTGCCGAAAATTTAAACGGGCGAAACTTTTCCGAAGCGATATCAAGCGCCTTTTATTGCACGATACTGCTTTATTGCGGGACAACTACGATTTCCTCGTATCACTGACATTCCATCGGATCAGGAATGCGAGTGACGGGGTAAAACGACCGACTTATAGTCGATACATGTGTCGGCTTCCATAAAATTGCGAAATTCTACCTTAGTCACGATCAACAATTGTGCCTTATAAAAATATTACATTGTTTTGTTTTCATTATTTTTCAGTCTTTATAAATTTTACAGTACCTTTTATTATGTTTCTCATTCCCATTTCCTAGATACACGTTTCTACGAGAAAAAATGTTTTGCTGACTTTTGCTGCTTAATCAAACTACCAATCAAAATTATGTATGTTTCATTTTTATAGAATACAATGGTTTTATATTAATTAGTAAAAAAGAATTTGCATTTTAAGAATGAATTTTCAGCGTGTGCTCTATGATTTCTAAATCTCTCTCTCTCTTTCTTTCTCTCTCCATATAAATGATATTCCCATAATAATATAATTTACACGAATATTCATTTGTAATATAATTGGCCATTGTTTAAAGATTCACTCAGAAAGCTATCTCTATTTTATAGATAAGCATTGTATATTACAACATACATATTTCAAGCTACATAGTAGCATGATTGTCAAACAAAAGAATGAAAAATACTAGACTGCTGCGGGAATTTTTCTCTACTCGTAAAAAACTTTCTCTCTTATAACATCTGCAGCGGCCGATTCAATTAGTCATTTAATTACACTCGTTTCGTCGTTAGGTGAAATCCGGGGCGAGTCATCAATGGAAAAGTTACTCCAAGTACGAGGCCTTCTCTTTGACGAAGTCGGAGAACCAGTCGACATCTTGTACCACCAGAATATCAGATTCCGGCACCAAATGCAATATCGAGAATATTCCCAAAGAGGAAATTCAGATGCGAACAAATGCGACGGAACCTGAGACGACCGTAGAAAGTTTACCCTCTATAAATCCAGTTGTAAAAAGAGAATCTTGCATTCAAGACTATCGAAGCGACAGTAACGATGATTTAAAATATCCACGGATAGAACGAAAGAATTCTCACGTGTACGTCAGGATCACTGAAAGTCAGGGCGAGAAAGAAGAATGCGGTGTCGAAGAAAAAGATTCCAATTCATCCAGCGATTACGAAAAGATGGATATAATAGATTCCAAAATATCTACATTTGACGAGACATCTAAAATCGATCCTGCATTATCAGATAAGACAATTCTCGAGTCCCTAACACATATTTACAAAATCGAGAAAAATATCCCAATCGCTTCTGAGATAGTCGCAAAGTCGCAGTCTGTAAATGATCTGACGACCAGAGAGATTACGTACGGAAATCCTTTGGGATATTTGAAGCAGGACGCGGAATCAACCACGAGTGACGAGGACGATAACGCGTCGTCGCGACACAAAAAAAAGAAGAGACGTTTCACCAGAAACGTGCTGTACTATGTACCACGGCATTTGGTAAAGCAGCCGAAAAAAAAGAAGAAATCGAAGAAAAAGTATACTCTGAGCAGTTCGCTAAGTTCGTTGCAAATGACGAAGACTCAAAGCACCTGCGCCGGGACCAGGAGGGAGGAACTGAAGGGCATGATCATCTCGTCGCCCACGAACTTTGTCCATGTGGCGTCCGCCACGAATCCCAGCCTGGTTCGCGATACCGTCGGGTCCAGCTTGGAACAGGTTGTGATTACTCATCAGCAGATATGCGCGGCTTTGCCTCTACTGATGAGAAAGGATGAGCGACGTAAGTCCGAGAACGAGAACACTGAACGGCTCAAGGTTGTCACAGGAATGTCCGACGTGATTTCCAAGCAATCCGAAGAAAACCAATCGGCTGTCGAAAGTGTCGCAGGTACGACATGTTGGATTTCTTTGTTGAGTTTGATAATGGTGAAAGAATTTATACAAATTTTGTCTTGCACAAGTGCGGCCTGATTTGCGCGATTTACCTTTGCATATCTTTGAATCTATACAATGAATATACATCGAGTTGGGTAATTAAAAGGATAAACGAGAAGTATAATAATATTTTTTAGTAACAGAATTGTAATATATGTATTATTTTAAAAATCTTCAAATTATTGAAACATAAAGTAATTAAAAATAGTAATCATATAGATGTCTTATTTTATAATAATTTATTGCATTGCCCTAGTTTTTATTAGTTTTCAAAGAGTACTAGCTACTTTTTAAATCTAGATATCACTTGATAGTTACATAATATGTTTTCACTAATTATATATTTTGTATTACGTACAATATCTATTATATATATACATATATTTTAGAGAGAGAAGCTTTCGCGATAAAATGTCATTTTGTGGGGAAACAAAAAGCTTTATATGTATATAATAATTATTTATATGTATACAATTATTTTCTTATAATTATATAATATAATTAATCATAATTTCAATTTAAAAATATTATTTTAATTGCATCTTTTATCAAGTAATATCGATTAAATTATGTTATGTATTTTTTCTCTTGGAAACATACGCACATAATACATAAAAAAAAACGATAAAATTTACTTAAAATATAGCATATTTTTTTTTCAAAATAGTGTAAATGGTACGAGCAGGTGCCTATCTCTGTGTCCACACAATATGTATTTCCGGCATCCAGCGATATCTTGTTTGAAATAAAATCTTAACAAGACAAATTCTCTTGCAGATAAGAGCGATCGAATCAACTATGCCGAGATAAAGAGCGACTTTTCAAGGGACTTGCAGGCGGCGAAAGTTTTGGAGCCCAGCCAGGAGCTGGTGAAAACAACGATTGAAAATCAGGCCGATTCGCCAGAAGGTGAAACGTATGAACCTGTCTGCGAGTCTTCTCCTCAGGAGCCGCCGCAGGCCAACTGTAGCTTTCTGTGGAGCAATCACTGCGCCAAGACTTTTCCGGATAAGCGCGACGCATCCGCTATGCCGTGCCATGCCTTGAAGGAAAACGATGAAGGCGTCGACAGCGAAGGATACGACGATGTCGGACCATCTAACTTCGTCGCTCAAGCGGTACGAATTATGTACAACGATTCCGTTATCATGAACCTCGATGGAATGGAATCTTCGTGCTAATGTAATTTGTGTAGATAGCGAAGCGATATGAATATGTTATTTAATAATTAAATAATAGTTTCAACTTGGGAAAGTCCGATTAAAAATTATGAAAATGAATAATAAGAATATTTATTTTGTTAGACGCAGAGTAATTAACGGAAATTATTTATACTTATCATGCAAAATTGCCATATTCGATGAAACTTAAAATCGAGTAAATGCATATATAAATAAATCTAAAAGTTATTTAAAAAAATTTTATCGTTGATTAAAAACAAATTTTGTCGAAAAAGAAGATATGATATTTAACATCTTAATGCGAGAGCTCGTATTGATTTTCAAGGAATATTTGCGCAAATTGATGCGCGGATTTAAGTAACCGCGTGCATTCTGATTGCTAAATGCAATTTCGCGCATTAAATTGGCAACCGTCAGCAAAAGTGAAATGGAATGTCGAATAATCGATTCGCGCGTTGCATGATACTAAATTAGAAACGGAAATGCGGCATCACGAATGATGCGTAATTTAATTCGTTTCTCCTCAAATTTCGCTTCGAAAACTATAACCGTACGCGTATTATGTTTCGCAAGAAAAATTGACGATGTCGATTCGTCGATCGCCGCGACAGGTGCGACAATTATTTGCTTCTTTAAATTACAAAAGAATGTAAGGCAATAAATCTTTTATCAGGTGTCCGATTACGACGACGTGGGTCCCCCGATGTCTCGCTTCGAGGTGGAAGAAATTAGCGCCGCTGATGCTAAAGATTGCGACGAGATTTACGACGATGTGATGCCGCCTAGCTTCAACCAGGACAGTTTAACAGTCATCGACGAGAGCGATTATCTGATTCCAGAGGTCGGTGAAGAAGGAGTACCGAGTAGGAAGCCACTCGTAGAATTACGAGCGACGTGCAAGGATCGCGCGGCAAAGGTGCCGCAATGTTTTGCTCCGACAACCGGGAACGATCGGTATTTCACGTCGACGAACAATGAATATTCCAGCGTAGACTGCGAGAGTCATCTGAGCGAGGAGGAGCGGGACGAGCTGGGTGTGTATGACGACGTCGGCCTGCCGCCAGGCGAGGAACGTGTCAATAGCCTTTACGCCGGCTCCACACCCGGCTCTGTCTTAGGATTGACCTCGTTGAACGGCAAAGAATCCGAGTGGGAGGACCTGGAAGAAGTCTCGCGATGTCCTTGTCAAACCAATGATCCATGGTAAGCATGGAAATGGGAAGAATAATAATGAGAGAATTTGCTATGTTTGCGAACTTCAAAATGGAAACAAAGACATATCGAGATACATTTTAACCTTTTTGATTCGAGATAAAGAACAAATATTCCTAAAAAAAAAACAAGAAAGGATAAAATAAATATTAATAATTGCAACATTCGATTTAAAGATTCGCTGTTTCAATAAAACAAGTGTAAAGTGTTAATACATGTTTAACTTTGCATGTTTAACTTTGCATGTTTATATTATAAATATAAAAAATGGGGCATGTTTTGAAAAACTTTATCTAAGAAGTAATACGCAAGTATTGTTAGCATGAACTGGAATTCGTTCGCGCGCGCGCAAAAAAGAGATAAGACTTGTTTAAAAACTAAACATTTTTTTCTACAACTTCATTATAGCGATAACGAAGTAGACTCGAAAACAGCGTGGCTAATTGCCTTCCCTTCGTCGGAAGAATGATTAATCATTATTATTAAATCCACAAGGTTAATATATACAATGAAGTGTTTCGAAAACATATACGGACATCACTGATTGTCAGATATAGCGCGACGCGATTAAAAGCGACGTCATTGTATTAATATCACATCGTTATCACTGCATTCCGTTTGAGATTGAACAAGTCATTAACTCATGCTTAATACAATGCTGCTATGATAATTATAGCGCTGACGCGAAGATGAGACAAATTGAAAATATTTTGTTGATAAAAGAAATTTTATATAATTATACATCTCTATAAATTTGTATGCGTGAAATTATATTTTATTATAATAAATTTATAAAATTATTTGTAGCGGAAAGAGTACCGAGGGCCAAAGTGTATGGAGCAAGAAGAAACTCGCTCAGCGATGGTCGCGGAATGTCAGGAGACAGCGATCCAGGAGATCTCGCAGAAATATCAAAGCTACCGTGCCGACGAGGACGACTCTCGAGACCGCAGTTGACGGTGAGTACTATCCAAGAGGAAATTTTACTATTAGGTAACGCTCGCCATATGTTGCGTGTATGCAGGTAACGTAATGTCGCTAAGAATATATACTTGAATGTCCCTCCTTGGAGGATTCCCGCTATAATCACCGGCATTTCACAAATATCGCGTGTACGTTCACATATATACATACGTGCGTGACTTGCGTCGGTGTAAAATTTTCGCGTGAGACGGTTCCACAAAATCACCACAATGTGCTTTCCGCTTACGCAATACACGCGCGCACTTATGCGTAAATGAAAGCTTGCCACAAAAATCTCGATACGTGGCATAATTTAAATTTTCCATAAAAATACTATAGTTAATAATTTTTGCATTTTAATAACATATATACAATTTTGTGTCATATTTTTTAGAAGTTTAAACTAAACTATGTATATACGATTCCTCGATCATTATCTATTTATAATTTTTTCTAAGAACATGCTGTCTGCTGGCAGTCTGATGTTAGATGACAAAAATAACCGCGTTATCGTGAGATGAAAGAATATTAGAGATAGCTAAAATGATATAGCTATATCATCAATATCGATATCTATAAGTGTATAGATTACGAATATATTCGTCACGAAATTATCCGATGATTTTCCACCGTTGAGTAGCTCTAACTGTTTCGACAGTACTTTCGACATCGCTCAATGATGTAGTCTGCGTAAGCAACACGTCGCACGTGACAGGATTTGCACAAGCATTTTGCCATTCGACCGTAACACGTATTTCGTTAACAGAAAAAAAAGTATTATATCCGTAAACATTCAAATAAAAGATAAGGCGCTCTATTATCAAGATGATTAAGCAAAAATTACTAATATATTCCTGGACAAAATTAATGCATATTTTTTTTTCACTTTTTCTTTAAAATTTAAATATCAGCTTTTAAAGAAAACGTGAAAAAAAATTACGCGTTAATTTTATCCCGAAGTATATGTATATATTCATCGATTGTTTACCATGAAACTATTAATACCTCAGAATTTTAAAATTCTTAATTATTGGGAATTTAATAATAATACTTAATTAATAAATATAAGAAATCTATTAATAAATTAGAAAGATGGATTGCGCTATAAATTTTAAAAAATCCTATTGTATATCCTAAAAATATGAGAAATACATAAGAATACATGTTTAAGTGACAAACATAATCATCTCTCTATTCGAAAGTAAAATAGTGTAACAATCCTCTTTTCAAGATCCCATTATCGAGGATATACACGCGGCATATTAGCAAATTGATGAGTGTAGATCGAACATGAGAATTTCACTTTCTGAAACACGGCAGGTCCATAATTATATCCGAGAAAGTCTGGATGACGATACTGATTTTCCAATAACGCGAGACGTTGATCGAAACGGCTGTCACGTCTTCGGGATTCCCATCGCCTGCGAATTGGCACCGTCCGGGAATTAATATGCCGCAGAACTGATTTCATTCCGAACGATTATTACCCCAGTCGTTTATTTTAAGAGTGTACATACATACGTGCAGCATTTCAAGAGTGTCACGGTCGCGATTCTGCGGTTTTGCGAAGTAAGCAAGCTGTACGGATTACTGAATCCGCAATCGTGTCTATTCGCAACATCATACCCGAAGGACAGTGGGCGGGTATAATTGACTCGACGTACATAGCACGGTATCGCATTTATAATATAATTGAAAGACAAGGCCGCGCGAGGTCGAGGTGCCGCGACAAAGCCTATTCTCCATTAATTCCAAGTTCCGCTGCACATCGCCACGTGATCGAAATGTCAATGCAATCGCGTACACGCATTTAAGACTTGAGAATGATTCCGTCGACAATAATTTTTATAATTTGCAAGTTTCAATAATCTTACGAAAGCTAAAATTAGCGGGAAGAGTTCTTATAAAAGCTAGATAAATAGCATTATATTATATTTTTTCCTATGTCTATTTTAATTAAAGATGGATGCTTTCGAGAGATTTTTTATCTTGAAACTTAAGAATTAAATTTTACACAAAATTAATATTTTTCAATTCTTTTCAATTCATTTATTTTGTACAAAATAATTATTTGCCAATATCAAATATAATTATTTTCAGAGTTTTTTTTAAGAAAATAATATTATCAATCAATCTATCATAATATTTAATCAATTATTTAAGAAAAGAATAATATTAATAACATTTTTTAAAAAAGAGAATAATTTTATTGCAATTTCTATAAATTATTTAATATATTTTTATTTATCATCGAACATGTACATATTTATATAATATAATTCGAATAAGTATTTCTGGATTAAAAAAATAATTATCGACATACTCAATATCCATATCCCAATTAATATTAAAAATTAATATTATATAACTATCGAAGATTCGATTTAAATGAATCCTTGGAATAAAAATGCCGCGTCAAAGAACGTCTATAATTTCGCGACTCGTACGACGCATTGTACCGTGCTATCAGTAAGGATGATCACATATCCAGGTAAAAGTTTTTACTTGTTCGTCGCACATGTGTTTTCCTACGACAGCCGATCACGTAATGCGTACACATATGTGTGCCTTTTTTCTTTTTCATCCGCACAACTGCAACTACCACACATGGATCCACCATTCGATAGACAAGAATGTTGCAGTCCATTCTAATACTAAGCTAAGCAAAACACGCAATTATATTCTATTCGCGAGAGATAAATGCAACATGTGCGAGGCACATTGTTGAATAAAGAATACGCGGGAATTGAAAACCGGCTCAACATGTGCAAGATATGACTGATACGATTGAGTTGGAAGTTTGCCATAAAATCGAAATTCATGTCAAGATCATTCGATTTATTCATTTAAATATAATATCGAAATAAACTAATGATAATAATAAATATAACAAGTATTATTGTGATTCATGCTTAGTACCGTAGCAAGAAACTGAGAAAACGGTTTCTGCATAGCATGTCCCGTTTTATGGAAAAGCGTTTTGCACGGTCATTCGCCTCGAATATGTATCAACGATCGACTTGAATACAAGCTCACTACACGCTCGATGCACATGATAATGAAAATCTTTCAATTGCCTTCAATAGCCATTAACTGTAGACTGAAAGAAAATATTTAATACATTTGCTTCTTAGATGATTGATCTTCATATAATCGATAATGATGATTCTGCTTCATATAATCGATAAAAGTGAAGAAAGTTTTTATAAATACATTTTGTTTTTTACAAACTGTGATTTTTGCAAAACGATTTCTACATCATATGTCCTGGTAATTATTGAATTGTAGGCAATTGGAGATTTAAGAAAAGTATCGTGTTCCTAAAAAATATTTCTAAAAATTTTTCCCTCGATTTTTATTCCATTCAAATATATATGACGATAGAATTATAAAGATCATTTCGTTCTGTTAAGATATCTATAGCACAAAGATAACATGAAAATAATATTTTCTTGATAATAAACACATCATCTACATCAAACATACTCGACTTAAATTTTATTTTCAATAATCACAGTTTTCTTATGGTTTCGAGTCACATGTATATCTATCGATTACACGTGCAATACTGGAGAAAATACCGTAAGAAAATATTGAACAATTTAAATACCATATACAATAAAAAAATAGTCTCTAGGACAAATTTAACATTTAACGAAAAATTCAAAAATCAATAGACAGAAAACCACAGCGCAAAGATAACAGTAACGCAAAAAACAAAAAGACAAAAAATTGATGACAACAAAAAATTTCACAATAAAAAATTATATTCAAGGAATGACAAACGTTTCGATCCGATTCTGGATCATTTTTAATGTCTCGCAGATTACAATAACATAAGATTTAAAAAAATCGCAACATAAAGCAAGGTCAAATCAAGAAAGAATAGATGATCGTTACAATGTATTACAGAAAAAAGAAAGGGGGAAAAAACGCAAAAATCGCAGATTTCGAGAATCCTTTAAGAAATCGCCTTTTTTGCAATCACGCTCTCTACGTTTCGATATCATAGGTGAGTGGCATATTATTCCGTCGTTTTTGCGAGATTTATATTAGAATTTTATTTGCAAAATTATAATTATGCGTGCGTCTCATAATGTCACCATTCTTTCTACGATTTTTGCGGTTTTCCCTCCTCTCTTTTTTCTGTAATACATTGTAACGACCATCTGTTCTTTCTAGATTTGACCTTGCTTTATGTTGCGATCTTTTTTGAATCTTATTTTATTGTAATCTGCGAAACATTGAAAATGATCCAGAATCGGATCGAAACGTTTATCCTTCCTTGAATATAATTTTTTATTGTGAAATTTTTTGTTGTCATGAATTTTTTGTCTTTTTGTTTTTTGCATTACTGTTATCTTTGCGCTGTGCCTATTGATTTTTGAATATTTGATTTATATCATACAACCACTTTTGCATTAATATGATTTCTTATTTAATGAAAAGTGACGCTTCTTCAAAAGTTCCTAAAACTTTTTAAAAATTCGGAGATTTAAATTTTCGACGTACTCTGGTGTTTACGCCTCCATCGTGTGGAAGCCACCTTAAAAAGATCGTGTGAGGATCCCTTAAGAAATCAGCGCGCGAGGTGAAAGCGCCAATTGCGCGCTCTCATTGTCAGTCACGGCCGAGCCGCGGGTTGTATCGTATGGTGTGTTTCTGCCTCGCGATCTGTCGCTAGCTCTCGGCTAGATTGCTCTTCAGAAAGAACAAGCTTCCCGCGTGTTTCATCGCGGTACGTCAACAGTGTGTGTCGCGACGCCGAGTCCTCGCGTCTCGCAATCTCGCATGCGCATCGACGAGATGTGGCAATGAGAGAGACGCTGAAGACCCGACGACCCAATACCCAAGGTAAGAAAACGAAGAGGGCCCGCCGCATCACGCTTGCCCGCGCGCGCCGGACGTCAAATTTCAGGGGAACGGGTCTGGAGAACAATGGTAGTCGCGGAACCTCCCTCGCGAATATCCTTCACTCGTCGACGAGTCGCACATCCGCTAATTGCTCTGCGTTGATTTTTGCGAGATCACTCCCGGATTTGAATAATTAGCGTATCGTTAACTCCGCTTATATGACAGTTTATAGTTGCTTTCCTTTATGAATATGATAAAGATTGGACGTTTTTTAATTTTATCTTTGTGCTACTTTCCGATCGTAGGTCTTTAATTTCTTTATAAGTTCGCGGGTTTCTTTTTAATTTACATCAAGATTCGCATCAAGTATTCTTTTATTTTACCAGATCGAATTGATTTAAGTTACGTAGATCTCGGGGAAGCGGCTCGAGAGAGTTTCTACTTTCCTCGGTGATGAGAAGAACCCGGAATCGAAAAGAACCCGGTAAAAATGCTCTCGTAACATACTCTCCTCCTCTCGGAAAAACCAGTTCGAATTCACATTCAATTCGTCGTTCATGACGCGAGAATGTCAATTTATCTATAATCTCCGAATCTCGCGTTGAGTAATACTTTGTGCAGCTGCGAGAGAGCTGCGTTTGATGACGATTGTCGCGTGACAGTTATATAAAACCGTCCACCACTGACATTAACGCAATGTGACAGTCGCGAAAGTCGTCGCCGATGGAAATTCCGACGAAAAAAAGAAAGAGAAAGAGAGAGAGAATCCGGAATCGCGCAGAGATTTCGCCATCCATGGCCATATTCGAGACTCACCTCGCTTGTACCTGTCTCTCCCTCCTGCCCCCTGGTCCAGCGCGCGCGTGGGCATGTGTGTACTTTTCTGAATCCCGCTCGGATCTGACCCTGAACCGGATGATTTCAAGTGGCCGTCAGTCTGGGCGGCGGCTCGATACTTCTCATCGGCGAGCCGGACGAGATCGCTAGAGGATGGAGATCAGCGAGCCGAAACGACCATCTCCAGCCGCAGCGGACCCAGGGCTTGGTGCAACTGCGCGTCGTCAATTTCGACGAAGACATGGACGTCCAGGAAACGTCGTGTTACGTGCACGAAGGTCCGCGTGTGATATTTTAGACCATCCGGGGAAATACGATTTTCATTCAGAAAAATTATTTATCACGAAATCTTAAGTGATATTTATCGATTGCGATGTATTTCCAAATTGGAACTTGAGAGAATACTCTCTGTATAATATTATGTTCCCTTTATCCTCGTGAATGTGTCGTTTTAAATTCGAGATGTATAAATATAATTCATACATCAATGGATATAACTATAATTTTAAAATGTATATTGTCTACTTCTTAGAAAAACATTAAAAGGATTTCTTTCGTACCTGGAGAAATCAAGGAATTGTTGTGAGACTTTGTGGGATTCCAAGAATTTTCCAAAATTTCTTTTTAATAATATTTTTATAATGTAAACAATCAGCCAACAATTTGCCAATAAGCCAAGTTATAAATCATTAAAATATATAATATTTAAAATATATTTAAATATTAAATATAATATATATCTTTTTGTTTCTATATTTTATAAATAAAAAGATAATATGTCCTATAACAAAATATAGAACATATTCTTATTATTATAAATTTTAATGATAAAGAAATGAAAATGTTATGCAAGTGAAGAATGATTATTTTACGAAAATTATATTCAGTTTTTTTCAATTTGTAAAACTAATATTTGAAATTTAAATAGTGTTTTTTCATCATAAAAGTGAAAAGGATTAGAAAATGCATATAATAAAAATTTATTTTAGAAAGTTGTATGAAAAAATCTTTAAAGTATTCTTTTCTTACCTGGAATTTTAAACAACAATATCGAACAATATGAAACAATACGAAAAATATATAATAAACAATATGAAAAATCAGTTAATTTTCAAGGAAATTTGTTACAAGATTTAAGTAGGCATCTGATTCTGGAGAAAGATTATTTCTCCTCGATTGTATGTAACAAACTTTTCGTCTAAAAGTAAAAAAAGAATTTGTGCTAATTACTGACGTAACTCAATTATCTTTACGTAACTTGATAATTTATCAATTTCTCTGATTGGATTTTCTGTTTATCAGACAGCGTTTCCGACGACAGCACGTACGAGAGCCTGTATTCCTGCCAGCCGGATGATTTTAGCAGTGATTCCGAAGCGGAAACGAGCGATACGCGACAATCGCATCACGATGTGTCCAACGAGTGCGTAATCAACACTTATCTGGAATGTCCTACGAGACCGACTCCACCACCGCCAAGGGAGGCCAGTTTAACACAGACCTTGGGCAAGCGAATAAAAATGTTGCGCAGGACCTGGAGCATCACGAAAGGCAGTCTTGGCAGGATAAGACGGCGAACGTCCATAGACGAATCCGGCTTTGATGACAAGGAATCCGGCAACGAGCATCACGATACTGGAAAATACTTCAACTTTCGTTTGAGGCATTTCCGAAAGAGCATCACTAGCCCGTCGACTTTCTATCTAGACGAGAATAATAAAAATGACAACGTTTACGATGCTCGCAATAACAACAATGGAACTGTCAAGGAGGCTATTTACACCAACAGTCAGTATATGGGAAGCGGCAGCGACCATTCCTCAAAAACTCCAAGTGACATCGGTAAGAGTCATTTTCTCAAGCTGTCATTTTTTTCTCTCTTATAACAAAACATAATGATAATTACATTGAATTCTGCAAAATGACAAAAATATTATAATTAATATACTATAATTAATATTAAAATAAATAATCAAATATCTCGAAAGCAAAAATACACGATCATGTGAACATTAGTTGGAGAAGATTCTGGCAATAATAACAATAAGTATAAAATGACTTAACGCATTATATTTTTAAATAGCAATTTTTAAATAATAAATTAAAAATGTAATTGCGAATATTATTGCGAGAGAAAATGAATTTGATGAGTGCGTCTTTGAGAGCGACCCGATTTTACCAAGTAAAGACTAAATTCAGAGGTTCTCATGGGTTAAATATACATCAGGTTTTTACCGCATTTTTCAGAATATTCCCATACTTAAGAATGATGCTCGTACATCGACGCATAAAAAGCGTGCACTTTCACCAGACTAATGATACTTGTTCTTAATTAATGTACGCGCGCTGATTCACGTATACTCGATTTATTTATCGCTCGTTTTTGCGCATGAGAATCAGCCAGTATTGACAAAATTTTAATACTCCTGTTTCAGATCATTATAGTGTGCTCGCCGATCAGGAACCTCTCTATCAGTTTTACGCGGCTGCAGTGGCTCGTGTCGCTTTTGAATCGGATTCCGAGGGCTATGAAGAAGTAATTTTTTGATATTTATTACATTTGAAATAAATAAGACATCTCTAAATATATTATTTGTGTATGTGTATGTACATTTAATTTAATATATATTATATAATATATAGAAATTCTTTTTCTAATAAATCTCTTTTCCTTCATGAGTTGCAATTCTTCTGAAAATAATAAAAGCTTTAATTTCTTTTTTCTAACGTTTAACTACTTTTTTAATTTTATGCAACTTGTTAATAACATCTATAATATTTTTTAATTTTATCTTAAATCTTTTAAATGTAGAACTACTTAAAGTTACTTCATAAATATATCATATTTTATTTTATGACTTAAAGATTTAAAGAATTAGGAAAAAATACTTTTATTTAATGCATTACTATTGTATATATAATTTTTCATCCGTAGGTAGAAGATACCATGTGGAAGACAGAACCAGTCGCAGCGAATCTTGCCAGAACAGGACAAAGAACGCTCTGGTGTCATACTCCACAAGTAATACACAGTGGCCTCTTGCGTAAGTTAAAACTCCACCATATATTTATACATATAAAAATATTGTTCATTTGAGATAAAATATGAAAAAAATACTTATAAAAAATTTAATAAATTAGAGAAACTAACAACGGAAGAAAAGAAGATTCAAGAAGCAAAATTCGAGATCTTGACTTCCGAAGCATCGTATTTAAATTCCCTTCGGGTCCTAGAAAACGAGTTCCTCAGTAATCATACATTAATGAACGAAATCCTGACGCCGATCGAGAGACAGAAGTTGTTTGGCGGGGTGTCGAGCGTGCTATCGACATCGCAAACGTTCTTAGCTGAACTGGAAGCTATATGGAGGGAAGATCCGATGCTGTCGGGTTTATCGGAGGTCTTACTCAAACACGCTGAAAAATGTCAGGCTGTATATGTGGCCTATTGTTCGAATCAAGTCAGCATAGACACGACTCTAAAAGAACTCAAGTAAGATGATTGTATAACTCTTTATATTTGTATATTTTGGAGAAAATTTGTATAAAATATATAACTTTTATCAAGCTATACACTAATAGATATATATTACTTACGATGTAATTATATTATGTTCCTTCGTTTAGAGCTCGGAAAGGCGTAAAGTTCTTGGAGACTATCAAACGTATAGAAATGCGACCACCGTGCCAGAATCTATCTCTACATTCCTTTCTAATGCTACCAATGCAACGTGTTACGAGGTGTGTCAATCAATTATTTTATATACAACTAATTTTAAAAATTCAAATAATTTTATTAACCTTTGTCATTTAGTCGATTATATAAGTTTGATTATTGTTGTTTGCCGAAAGTTAATATCAAATTATTTACATTGTTTTTCATAAATAATTTTGCATAGATTACCCTTATTAGCTGACGCTATTGTTTCCAAATTATCGATTGGAAATTCGGATAGAGCGTCTTGGGAAAAAGTTTTATCAACCTTAAGCAACGTCGTTGCCGAATGCAATGAAGGTGCTCGAGCTGCCATTCAGGAAGCCGAAATGGAAGCTTTAGCAAGGTAAAACTATCTATAATTAATAAATTTACATATAGTCTTTTATATATTAGATAATATAGTCTTTTATATATTAGATAAAATAAATCATATGTATATATTTGATTTCAGAAAACTGGAATATTCGTCGAAAATTAAACCGATTACGCTAAGGGGCAAGCAGTTAGTTAGAAGCGGATCGGTCGTACATTTGTCGATGAAGACTGACACCGAATACAAGCTCACGTTCGGGAAGAAGTTTAATAAGACACCACTCTACCTTTTATTACTCACTGATTATCTTCTAGTCACGAAATTGAAGTCCAAGTAAGACAACATCATTTAATATAATCACATTAATTTATCGATTAAAAGCATTCCTTAGGATAAAACTATAAATAATATACAATTTAAAGGAAGAATTTCTTGTGAAAGATAATAATTAAAAAGAAAAAAATAAAACTAGAATAGGATATAAATATCTTATACGTTCTTTTTATTAAATAAATCTCAAACACAAAACAAATTGTATATAACATAAAATACTTTGCAGTGCTCATGATGAATGCTATACCGTCATAGACGCATGTAAAAGGAATCTTCTAGCTCTGGAGTCAGCTTCTGAAGAATCGCCGTTCGCTGGACGAAATACTATGATATTAACTCTTCTGGAAAATCACTCCGGCCGTCATATAGAATATGTCTTAACATGCGATAATAATACCGAACGAGAACGATGGCTGGAAGCTGTCTCGCCGCCTAAACGTGGTTCAGTTGGCGAAACATTATATGAGTCTTGGGATTGTCCGCAAGTGATGGCCAAGTATCCATATTCACCAAATCAACCAGATGAGTTGTCATTACAAGCAGGTAATATATATTGTATATTTCATATTCGAAGATGTTATCAATAGAAGGAATAGTTTTAAATTTAGCAATAATTTTTTTCTTAGTAAACATTTATTTCATTGTTCTTTTTTTATTTTTCTACTTTTATGTTAAAAATATGAATTAAATAGATATGAAATTGCTCGTATAATCGCAAAATCAAACAACAAAATCGATTATTTTGATTATTTTTGACAAACTTTGACTCTTTAGTATATGTCTAATAAAATGTTTTGTATATAACGAGCAAAATCTCGTGACCCTAAATAGAAGTAATGTTCTATAGGGGATGTGATAAATGTATTGAGGAAAATGGCAGATGGTTGGTACCATGGTGAAAAATTGTTGGATGGTGAACAAGGATGGTTTCCGGCGAACTATACAAAGGAAGTGGCGTCAGAACACGTGCGTGCGCGGAATCTGAAACAACGACACCGTCTGTTGGCACTCAGTAGCAGTGTGATACAACAAAGAAGAGCGAGACAGAACCAAGGGATTCATTGATGAAATGAAAATGAGAGCGCGAACCGCTCAGAGACATTGTGATATTGTCTATAAAGTATTGACTGTTTATATTTATGTAATTACGCTATGACAGTATTTCATAATCAATAACCATGTGCCAATGTAATATTATTCGTCGCCAAAGTGTGAGAAATATTTTTTTTAATCTTTTACTATAATATATTCAAATTATAAAAAATTGACATAAAAATGATGGTATTTTACATATGTGTATATATAGGCATAAAAAAAGAAGAGGATTATAACAAATGTATGTGTGTTTATTATTTTTTATACAAATACAATATAAATATATAAATCTCATATATTCCTTAAATGTCTTCAATATGACCATATGTAAGAATATCTGAAATTAAAAATAAGTAATGAATAAAAATCAATGAAGATGGATATAAAATGAAACATGTAATTCTGTATAAATGCAAAATGTATGAAATCTTATTTGATATAAGCAGTGCTTTTGGCTCAGTGTATAAAAAAAATAAGAAAGAAAATATGTTGAATATAAAATATAAAATAATATTGAGTGAAAAATATGTAGAGAGAAGGAATATTTATTATAAAAATTAAGTAAGTAGCATGTATTTAAGATTAATGAAAGTAGTACGTGATAAATTGATAGAAAAAATGCATAATTATAAAATCTCATCAACATAAATACTTCGTCACGTTTCCTAAAATTAAAAGTTTAGGTTTCGGTTGTTAGAAGTTAATTTTTGTCCAAATATATATCTCCATCTTACAAGAAATTTCTTACATTTTTTTGCATTAATAAATTTTCGTATGTAATAAACTTTTTATATCTCTGTCATTTCTGTAAGGTAATCTCCAAGAGTAATCTCATATAAATATATAACAGCATCAAAATGACATATAAATGTATCGATTAATGAAATATGCATTGTACTCATTAAATTTGAAACATTTATATGTATAATTACACTGTTTATAATTTTCTGTAGATAGATTTGCAGATCTATAGAGTTTGTATGACATGTGAGCTTAATCAATCAGTATGATAGTCTTCATCTATCACAATAGAAATTGGACAATGCTCTTATCGAGCTAACAATTGTTGTAATTCATTAATGTTAAATGCGTGTTTTAGAATGTCCAGATGGTTTTACATCGAATAGCTTCCTAACAAAATACACTTGTATCATAGTCGTCAATGTGATGACAACTACTTGCGCGATTGACCACATCTGCACATAAGAATTATTATCCAATAGCAGATTTAAGTCTCTCTCTTCTCTACTCCTGCTCCAATGTTGAGTTTGCAGCATCTCATTAATGTTTTTCTCTACATGCACAATTGCATTCTGAAAGAAAGAAAATGTATATATAACATATAAAATATGTAAATGAAATTTATATATTATTTTTAATTGCAGAAAAATGTTTATAATATATATACCGTAAAATTCTCGACAGAAAGATTCAGTTCTTTCAATTCCTCAGTATATTGCAGCCATTGATCATACCTAATAATAGTTAATGATAAAAAATGAATAAATGAAACGGCACTATATATTATTTTGCACAATATAATTCTTTAAAATTAATCTTACATATTTTTTTTCTTACCTAATTACTGTAATGTATAAGTTTACTAGTTTTGCGGCAAATCTTGAAAACTGATTATCAATGCATACAGTATAGTAACCACCGTTTATGGATTGATCTTGATAATCACCATTGGGACGCCATTGATAAGGATAAACTATGTGTCCTTCTGGATTTCTCACTGCAAAACCAGCTTTTCCATCCCCACCACGCAAGACCTATAATAAAAAACTGCTTGAAGTACAATTGATGAGTGTAAAATATTAATTGTCAATTATTTTCTTGTAATGCAATTTTTATTAAGTCTTATAAGAGATTCTCACAAAACGATTTATCAGATACAGCCAAAATTATGACTTTCCAGGTATTGTATGATAAAATCAATACATCCTGAAACCAAGCAAACACGTGTCACGGCACTGGATCATTGCGCTCAAGGACAGGTGATTGAAATAGAATTTCACGAGACGTGCACAAACTGTCAAAGCGAGAACACGTGCTACCGAGCATTTCGTACAGCGCTTTCTCGAGACGTGAAACCTTTCGTGGCCCATTCGTGGCCAACCATATGGTTAGTCAAGTAAGTCGCATTTTTACTCTCGTTTTTCCAGCCAGACAATCGATCGCAATTTTCGACGATGGGTATCTGACCGGTCAGCCAGTATATACCTGGAAACTGACGTAGAAAGTCGCTCCTGGGTTCACATATTGAGAATAGCAGTCTTCCTTGCCGGCGTCGATGTGCACCTTGTAATCCATCGCTACCGCGGGCAAGTTCTCGTAAGAGAAGCTGTCGGTCTCGAAGGGCGCGATCAGGAGCAGAAACACGCCGAGTAGCACGAGCTGCATGTGATGAGACATCGTTTGACAATTAGCATTACAATGAATGACATTCATCGAACACGCATAACATCGCGAACGAGATCGCTGACCTACTGAGTGCTGCCAGATCTCCGTCGCAAACAACATGCAACACCTTGTGGAGGGGATAACGAGGATGTGAGCGTAACGTACGTGTGAGCTTGGAGAAGCGCTGAGCTCACACGTACGTTACGCTCACATCCTCGTTATCCCCTCCACAAGGTGTTGCATGTTGCTTGCGGCTGAGATCTGGCAGCTTGGCTACTGACAGATGGACTCCATATTTCCATATGTGTACGTGGTACGTGTTGCTTTTTACCCCTACCGGCATCCAACTGAACCTGGAGCGCAGTGCCTCTCAGCTGATTGTAAACTTTTAAATGGATCTTCTCTTTTCAGCAGCTCCAACATTTATTATATTTTTTTCTTCAACTCTTGGTTCGAGACCTATTTTATTTTGAATGCAGAAAGTGTAACATAATGCAATTTCCTTGGAGAAGCAGACGGATAAGAGATTTGCCTAATTTGTTTCTTCTTGTTGCACTTTCGCATTTCAAACTCTCCTCTCCAATTTTTCCCTTTCTCTTTTCTTTTTATTACATGCATCTTTCTCTTTTCCAATATTTTGATTAGTTTGTAAAAACAAACGGGACGAAAACAAATTTACTCTCGTAAGATAATAAGAATAATGTAATACAAATATTTATACTTTTATATACATGTATGCTTATGTGTATGCTATAAAAAGTTTCTTTGCTTTTTCTATCACATGTTTTTCATAAATTTAATTTCTTAGCTAACTTAGAAAATACTTGGATAATTGTAAATAAGAATCTTCATGAAAGAAGATAGATGTAATAAAATTATATTCTTCGATTATTATAATTTCAAGTCGATTCCTCATTGAAAAATTAAAATAGATAATTGCCTTCAACATTTTCATAATAAAAAGATGGGCCAAACTGAAGAGAGAATCTGTCATTGAAAAATAACATGATAGAATAATAAGATATTTTGTGCATGTGTGCTATGATTTATATGCAAATACACACTATAAATAAAATAGATACAAATAGAGCGTATCAGTATACATTTTTCAATCACTTATCAATATTTAACATGAATTGCTAATACATTTATTGAGCTAAATGATGAAAGAGAGAAAGGGAAAAAATATAATATTTTTAATAAGTATATCTATATTTTCTATAGAGTATTGAGATATATATCGCGCCGATCATCCCCTCCAATCATTATTCTCTCGATTGCACTTGACAACCACGACTAGGAAAGCGGCAGAAATCAGTCGTCGAAATCGGAGATTGAGTAGTGATCGAAGATCGAGTAGTGTTCGTTCGGAGTATTTTCGCGCCAAACTACTCCGACATCGCGGAAGATCCTTATGAGATTACCGCAACATATGTTGCGAGTGCTGGTAAACGTCGCGAGTATCTTTGCGAAGTAAGTGCCTATAAACGTTGCTCTCGATCCAACGAAAATGTCACATACACATTCTTGGCACGCTGTGTGATAGCAAACTTCGATTTTCATTGTAAAAAGATCAATGAATCCAGTGATCGATCAATTCGAAGAATTAAATAATAAAGGAATTAATAAAGGATTTAAATAGATTTGAATTTGAATAAATCTTTTATTTCGCTTGCAATTGTCGTTGCAAAAATATATTTTTCTGTAGAAAAATTTAATTACAAAAAAAGAGCAATTTGTAATCATTATAAATGTTTTAAAGATAAAAATTTAGAATTGATTCATAAATAAAATTTTATTTTATATATATTTTTAAAAAAATTGTGCAACAAACTATACATAATATATAATTAAAAGAATCTCGTTTGTTAAATCTTGAAACAATAAGTAAAATAAAGTTTTAAGGATTTAAACTAATCGAAGAGTTCTGCATGCTTCGATTGTTTATTAAAAATGATAAAGGCTGCAGCACACATTTTTGCATAAGCGCATAACTATAAACATAAGAAAATTGATTGGTCCCCAAGTATATGCATAAGAAAATGAACTAATCAATTTTCTTATGCTTATGTGCTTATGCAAAAGTGTGTGCTGCGGCCTTAAGAGTTTCGCTTAAATATTTTTCATCAAACTTAACCTTTGTAACTGACTTCCATTTTTCGCTGGAAAATCAGCTGTTTATATTCGCGCGCACGCACGTGATAAAAAAGTCCCGTCATTCCTTATAAGGATTAGGCTGATTGATTATCTCAAGTTCAATGTCAATCGACGAAATGATAAGACGGAAAATATATCATTTCGAAGCCTGGCGAACCGATTGACGTAACGTGCGGATGTTGCAGCTCACCTCGTGCAGTGTCTGCGAAAATAGCGGCGCGTCTCTGGGGTTTAGCGTTTATCTTAATAGTGCATCTCTTGGACGAGCCAAAGAGCGAAAGTAACGCGACGATGTCGTATATATTTATAGCGTGCAAGTCACAGATTTCATGGAATCGCCGGCGATCAAACGGCGTCTCCCACCATCCGTCCAGCTTGCAAACTGCGATACAATCACGCGTTGATTATGCAATTTAGCTACAATACGTTCCGCGGTCGCGGGACCGTGACTTTTTATTACTGATAAACAAGAAGTAAGATAAAAGAGTAACACGATTATGGACTTGCGTCTGCTTTGCGTAAACGCGGTGGTAAATAATGTCAAGACGTACAAATTCGATGCACGCGAAGGTACGTGTATGCTTTATACCGTTATCACCGTTGTATGTCGCAATTTGTTGTCTCGCTTGAAATTTTGAAAGTCGCTTATTATCCGACACAGGAATGATAATTTCTTCCGGATGGAATATTCAATTCCTGTACAAGAGATGTGATCTTCCTCACTGCAATTAATTTGTACTACATTTTGCCACTTATCTAATCACAATTTCAATCTATCTTTTATCATTTACCTTTTTATTATCCTTATCAGTTTGACACTTGTTTGAATTTTGCACTATTTTGAGTGTTAAACGCAAAAGATAACTGCTGTGCAACAGACAAAGTGAATCTCTTTTCAAGAAACAAAGTGATCAAGTATATTGTTTCTTTTATTTATTATTTTCTTTACAGAAAATGACAGGTGCCACATACTTAATAGGATTTTTGTTATTGAGAGGAGCAGCTGCGTTGACTGTTGATATTGAACATGATATTACTGTGCATATGAATCATATAACATCAGTTCCATTTAACATATCTAATTATAATTTATCATCAAAATTGTCCTTAAACGTCACCACTCAGGACAGTAATATTGCGACATCAAGTTTTCAGTTACAACGTGAAAATGATTATTTTGATGGCATTTTAAATATTACCGGTGTGTTTCTCGGTAGAACAAAATTATTATTTACTTTGGAAGAAAATGGGGTAAGTGTTAAATAAGCATTGTTTCTGAAAAGATATAATAAAGATTTTTTTTAGATTAAAGACAGCCAGGAGGTTTCTCATATTATTGTAGTACGAGAAGAACGTACAATAGATACCATATTCACTGCCAGTGTTGCAATACTTGTATCCATTTTGTATATTAATTTTGGCTGCGCAATGGATTGGAATATGTGCCGTGATTCATTAAAAAAACCAATAGGTCCAGCTATAGGATTCTTTTGCCAGTTTCTGATCATGCCATTGGTAAATTTTTTATCATAGATATAATATTACATAGCTAATATGTAGATATTTTTACATTTCCCATAATTTTTATCAAACAAATTTTTTCTGTGAATTTGTATTATTTCATATTATTTCCAGTTAAGTTTTCTCATTGGATCTCTTTTATTTCCTGACCGTCCTGAACTGCAAATAGGCATGTTCTTCACAGGAATAAGCCCAAGTGGTGGTGCTTCCAATATTTGGACGGTATTACTCGATGGCAATTTAAATCTCTCTGTTACAATGACTACAATATGTACCATTGCTGCTTTTGGTAAAAAATCAAAAAATAGAGATAATTCTTGTATATATAACATGCTATATAAAATTTTATTCTTTACAGGAATGATGCCGTTTTGGATCTTCACATTGGGCAAACGTATATTTGCACAGGGAAACCTTACAGTACCCTACCGTCAAATTGGCACTTTTGTAATTGGTCTCATAATTCCACTGGTTATAGGATTTGTTATCCAAAGAAAACTTCCAAAAGTATCAAAGATGTTGGTTCGGATAATGAAACCTTTCTCTATCATTTTAATTATATTCATTGCTATATTTGCAGTTTTAACTAATTTATACCTTTTCAAACTATTTTCATGGAAGGTAAGTTAATATTTTTCGTTGAATGAATCTACGAATAAAATACTAGAGTAAAGCAAATATACATGCAAAATATACATATTTATTTTCCTGTTTTAGATAGTAATTGCAGGAATGGGTCTGCCTTGGTTAGGCTTTACATTAGGTTTTATAGTAGCGAAAATCTGCAAGCAACCCCAAGCCAACATACGAGCAATAGCCATTGAAACAGGTATTCAGAATACCGGTGTAGCTATTTTTTTGTTACGTTTTACATTAAAGCCACCTGCTGATGACCTAACTACTGGTAAGTTTATACAATTACTTGTATAATTATACTTGTATGATTACTCGTTACAATTTTATATAAATAAATGTGTATTTATCTTGATTGTTTAATGAAATATTCTTTTTTCTTTTAGTGCTTCCTGTATCTACTGCAATTATGACACCAATACCATTAACAGTTCTATACATAATAAAGTTAATTTATCGATATATGCAACAAAACAGAAACAAAATGGTATTAGAAATTGTTCCATCATTAGAAAAACTCCAACAAACTACGGACATTTCTACTATCACGCAATTGAATGAATCTAAAGTAATTGAACGATTGACTGATAATTGATTCAATTGTGTAGAGTAATTCCATGTTTCAATAACATTAAAAAAAATATATACATATACATATATATAATATATATAGTATATATATGTATATATATATATATATATATATATATATATATATATATATATATATGCTCTTGTATATACATGTATAATTATTTATATCGTATATTAATATAAAAAATCTCAATAAGGATAAAATTATGGTTGTGGATACCATATAAATGATAATATTTATTATCTGTTAAATAATTGTTTCAAATATTTTTACACTAACGGTACTTAATATATTATAATTGACAATAATTTATAATTTATATTTAAGTACAAAAGTGTTTAGCAGGACGCTTAGTAAGGATATCTGTTGAATTTTTTGTGAGTTGAATCTCATCTGCATTTATATATACTATTCTTAAAAGTGCAATAACTTGAGAAATGTTGATATTTTTCTAAGCTTGTTTTTAATTGTAGAAAATGTGACAAATTTCAGTCCCTAAATATGTAAATACTATATATTTTTGTCAGCGCATTGTATCTGAAAATTTTTAAGTGGAAAAAAATAAATTTTTGACTAATGTGTTACAATTATAGTAAAGTCTATTTCGACTAAAAATAAATTTAGAAATTTATTTTTCCCGAACGACATCTATATTTTAAAAAATAACTATCAGCAGCGCCATCGTCTAACAAGCTGAATTTAGCAACAACAATGTGTTATCGAATTTGAACATTTCTCACGCCAATGTAACTAAACAATCATTCGATATACGTGAAAGCATAAATGAAAATTTCATTACAACTGTGCCAACTTTTCGCAATCCCATCAATACAAGGAATATTACACATCTCACGCGCAGCAGCTTCATAAAATGAAAAGATACAATATTTAAGATAATTGTTAATATCATATCAGTTGGATCTCTATTATCATATCGATTATACTTTCTCGTTTCGAGCACGTATGGCAATATGATAAATTGATTTTCCGACCAACACGTTGCTCTCTCCCACGTTCCTTTCCAAATTTTACGTCGAAAAAAGCTCGCAGAAAGGGAGGCAAACACGATCATGTCAATCATCTCGAAAGAATCTCTCCGATCAATCATCTCGAAATTGCATTGGTTACGACAAAGAGCGCGCCGAGGGTTGGCAGGCCTGGCTCCGGCCAGCGGTCGCCGCGCATTCTTGCTGCCAACTCGTGCTGCGCACGCGCGGTTTCAGTTTACAGTCCGAGTTTACGGAGAGCGAGTCGAGGCTCGAAGGCAGCGCGGACGATCTGGATCACGACGACTCACGTTGTTAGAGAATGCAATCTATCCACGACGGACGACGACGCGCAGATTGATAGCCGCGACCGAGCGTAATCGTCGAGCGCGCGAGATCAGGCGACAGGCGCGTATTTTCGCGAGCACGACCAGGGGAGAGGGAGTGAGAAACGGGGCAAGGGATAGAGCATGCGACCGCGCCTCTGCGACGTTACTCGGTGTGTCGACGAGGATGGGAAGTGCGCCGCCGCCGCCGCTGCCGCTGACGACGACGACGACGAGGGACGAAAGTGAGACAGGGATAACGTCGCTGCGGTACGTCGTGCGGTGCTGCATCATCATCGCTTAGGAATGGTATCGCCGTCCAAGCACCAACACCAGCAGCAGCAGCAGCAGCAACAACATCATCCTCATCATCATCGTCAACCCGGGCAGCCGTCGAGAGAGAACAAATCCGACCCGCGACGAACGTCGTGTAAGTAAGCTCTATGATTCCGCGTTGCATAATAACGCACCGGGCCGGCCGTTAATGGACACGAACCAGAAATGTTTGCCACGCGCGTTTCTTACGCACGTCTCTTCATTTACTCCACGTACAAGCAAATACACATGACACAAGGGACGAATTAGCGATCACCGAGAGTCGCCCGGGGTCCTACGCAAAGATATCGTTTGGTTACGTTTACATGTATCGTTATCAGAGGAGAGGTTGAGTCTCGGAGTCGAAAGATGATCTCTATGTTAAATTGGAGCGACTATGTTGCGAATAACGCAAGCGACTGTTGCCAGTGAGTACTCTGCGATCACTAGTGTTTTACTCTTGTTGTACAGCGCAAACACGATGATTCATATATATCACTCCCGGTTCGTATCTTTTTTTCAACACGACGAACGAGCTCCTATCGTTTGATTACAAGCTGCGCCAATTTGACTGTATCATGTGACTTGCACAGCGGTTGGTATAAATATAAGACAGCAATTATAACAAGTGATGAAATAATTGTCGCCTCACTGTATTTTTGTATTTTTGTCGAATACGCGAAAAGATTCAACTCCCAACCCCCTACACTTGAATCGGTTCATTCAGATAGACAATGGAAAGCTGTATTTTCGTGTCATGTCATATCATGCCTACAAAGCATCGTCGCGCGCGCGCGCGCGCGCGACTCGCGATGCTAGGACGGATAAAATTGAAACTTTCTTTTTGTTATAGATGTGCGTATACAAAAGGGGCTGAAACCTTTGGAAAAGAAGTCGTTTTATTTGGACATAAAGAACCATGTCACCGCGGCCAAGCTAGAAGCGAAGATCAGGGAGCTGGGCGGAGTGAGTCGTATTTCATCTTTGCTTGTTCCGATGCTGCGTTCGAGTAGAGCCCGTAGCCACGTTTCCCGCTTCGTTTCTCACCGCTTATCGATTTGTCAGAGCATTTGGTGTATTTCGGGCGAGTGTGCGAATCCTCCTCTCCCTCTCTCGTTCTTGTTTCTTTCTTCGTCTCTCTCTCTCTCCCCCCCTTCTCCCTGCGTGCGCTTCCCCCTCCGCTCCTCTCTTCCCGCCATTTTCGATCACTATGCCTATAGTCGCTTCGACGTAACGCGCGCGCTCTCGCTCCCCTGCCGAGGACGCGACGAAAAAAAAAATTCGAATCTCCGTCTCTCGCGGCGATGCGTTCTCCGGGCCATTCAAGCCGACCTCGTTGCCGCGTGATACTACTGAGTACGCGCGCGATTATCGAACTGCCGGAACACGGCAAACTCGTCCCCGAAAAATCCCGCGCGCCCCGATCTCGGTACTTTATCGGGTCACTCGTAAAACGGCTGCGAATTTCGATGTACGCGTATCGATTTTCCCGAATTAATTTCCCCGAGGCAGATTTATCGCTTATTTTTATCAATGTTTTAGGAAAGGAGAAATGTTTATGACGTCAGCGAAGCAAATTTATCGTTGATTAATATTAATAATACTTTGCAAAGGAAGAATGTTTACGTCAGAGGAAATGCTACTGGCAGAATTTTTATTTTATTATGAATAGAATGTCTAATTTAATCTGTGTCGTGACAAATTCAACAGAGATTTTCAACTCGTCTTTTTCAATCTAACGCAAAACTTTTTTACTTTATACGTTATACGTTAATCAAATTTCTAATTCTATAGAATTATACAACGTTTCTCTCAGGACAGAGACGCTTTCCATAAATATTAATCAACTCGAATTCGCGAAGAAAAACGTCAAGGTCCCCTCTATTCGCGCGTTGAAAAAAGTCGTCGCTCTTTTCTCCTCCGCAAAGTTGCATCTATGGATGTACGTTTCATTCGAAATGCGGGGAACGCGCGCGGCTGAAAAAGGACGACCCAACGTTTGCGGGACTGACCCTCGCGGACGTGACCGAGCATTACGCGAAAGAGGAAGCGGGTTTCCGTGCGTCGAGGCGTCTCGCGCGCGAGGCCGAGTCGCGTCGTTGCCGAGCCGCGCGCACGGGCTACGCCCTAAATTCAGCCTCTCTCGGCAACGGGCCGACGCGACGTTAGTCCACGCGTTGTACGTACGTACGTGTGTACGTATGTGCGATTGTCGGCCCTCGTAGCTACGCGCGCGAGACGGATACCCGGAACGATTTTTCTGTTGACAAACAATTTCCTCGTTTCGGCAAACTTCGCGCCGTTGCGCGCCATCTTCCGGAGCGCTGCGCGAACTTGGCAATGTCAAAAAAAGACAAAGAAAAGCCGTTCGCATGTAGGGTAGGAAATAACATGTGTCACGAGCCATTTCGTTATATCGCGATAATGTAAATTGTCTCTGATGATTTTGAGAGAAAAATTTCTGAAGATCGATATAGGTTAAACCGATTTTGCGGTTGGTACATCACGATACAGGGATGGGTTTCTCAAAATTAATTTAATTATACACTTTGCTCGAGAGAAGCGATTAAAGATACATTACGCGATACGACAGGAAGTAGATAGAAAACTTGGAAGCGCGCATTCTTACCAAGCTTCTCGAGAATTGAACAGGGGACGAATAAATGAACTTGTTGCCAGCACAAGCGGAAGGGCGAATGCAAAGTCGCCTCGCAACCGCCTATTAATAGAGCAGCTGTCAAATCGAGGGAGAGCCTCGCCTGTCTCGTCTCGCGCGGATTCGTCTTGTGTTGACAAACAAATGGCGTTGTCGCGCCATCTGAGCGACAGCGCGTGAAATTCCTTTTCCGCGCGCGTTTCCCTCGCGTGTACGTGTGCGCGAAAATTCGGAAAAGCGATCGGAATACGCGAACGCTCGGCAGGATGACGAGGGACGACGGTGGCGAGCGTGGCGAGCATGGCGAGCATGGCGATCGTGGCGAGCGGGGCCAGCGACCGGGCCGGAGAATCGCCTTCTCGTCGTCGGCTCGGGCGAGAGAGGAGCGAACGCGCGCGCCGTCTCCAGGCCCCCGTGCCAAGCTACTAACGGCAAATGGCCATTTTGTGCGTGACAGTTGTCGGCCGCCAAGTATAGCAGCAGCGTAACGAGCGGCCAACGAGGCGTCTCGGGTCGTCGGGTCTCTCCTCCGATCGGTTCCGCTTTCGTTCGTCGGAGCTCGTCGCTCCCGCGATCCTCTTTCGCCGTCCTAAACCTCGCTCGCGGTCGACGCCGCGGACGAGAGACGCCCGCGCGCGTCCTAGTCGCGTCGTGATTTATCCGCGAGCCGTCGTCCGTCAGCGAGCCTCGAAGCGCCGCTCTTGACAGGCGGCGAGCGCCCGTTTCTCTCGTCGTCGGTTTCGCGGATTCTCCACGTCGAGCGTCATCGGGATCGTCGACGGTTCCGGGGGCCGCTTCTCCACGTGCTCCCTCACGTGCCCGTGCTCCGGTTCTCGAGACTGGTGGCGGGCGTCGCGGGTATTATTAGACCAACGCTATGCGATCGACGGCGAGGGCGACGACGACGGACGGCGAGTGGCGACGTCCGCTATGCTCCCCGGAGCAGTCGCGGTGGCACCCGCGCGTCATCGCCGGATCGCGTTCCTCCGTGTAACGGTCGGCCCCTGCTGCCGCCGCCACCGTCGCTGCTGCAGCAGCCGCTCCGAGGAAGGCTGTCGCGAAATCACCTGACGTCAGCGTAACGCGATGCAAGCGTGCGCCCGAGTATCGGGTACGGAGCGCGCGCGTGTCTCGTTTGTATACGTATGCATGTACATATGTACTGCGCGCGCGACGTTTCGCTCGTTGCGCAAACGATAAACTTGCTCGAAAGTTGGAGCGTCTCGGTCGCTCGTGCCTCTTCGCGCTCGAGAGAGACGCCCGCGGCGACAGCTCGCTCCGCTCGGCGGTCTTTTCTTTGTCCGCGCTCGAGGAACGACGCGAGATGTCTGGAGAGCCCGGGGATTCGCTTGGAAGGAATGTGATCCGAGTGTTAGTCGATTGCTCGAAATTGTTTACACGTTTGTTTACACGTTTGTTTGCTCGCTGATGTCATCGCTTTGCTACTCTACTCTACTTGTTGCGCATCGTCAATTGTTGTTTCAACTTGGTGTTTTCTGTTTTAGACAATCGAATTGTTTCTAGTGCGCAGTGTGAGTCTTGTAATCAGCGATAGAGTAGATAAGACAGGTCGTACGAACTCTGAAAAACATAGATGGACCTGTGCCAGCGGCGGCAGTGGCGGACCCCGTTCGCTGAGAAGCATAGAAGTTCCGACGCCTACTCCTACGCCCCCAACACCTTTGCTAAGTTCTGAATGCCCCTCGTCCAACTTTACCAATCTACGGGGTCAAACTACCCAAAGATCTGTAAGTATGCAAAAGATGAAGGTGCATATAAACAATAGCGTTGGAGGCTTTTGATATGTTGCATAGAAATTGCATTCGATATTGTTATGTTGCGATGAAGAAATGGATGTCATCTGTCACTTGCATAGTACATTTTGATGCTACTTTATTTTCTATAAAGAACAAGTAGTATTACTTTTTCGTTATAATGTCAATAAATTTATAAATTATAATAATATATAGCGGCAATTGTATAAATAATATATTGAGAAATATGTTTTATTTTCAATTTAATAGAAATCGCGAGTGGATGCAATGTTGGAACGTGCTCTGACACAGCCACAACAGTGTTCCGTGGATCCACTAGATAACGCCCATAATTGGGAAATTCCTATTTGGACGACAGAAAAGTTTCAAGCTTGGCTCAACAAAATCTATGCTTCTTTCAAGGATACCTATAGCTTGAAGCAGTTGAAACAAACCAATCAGCGTAACACTGAGAAAAATTTTAAGGTCAAGCAATTGAAAGGATCATACATCAAATTTGAATCCTTTCACAGGTAATTGTAAGCTGCGATGTCGCACAATATTTTTATATCCATCTTTTTCCATATTGCTTTACGTTTCTTATTTCTGTTATAGAATTACTAGACCTGTGTTTCTGGAATTATCGTCGTGGCCAACGTTAAACTTCGACGGTGACCTAGGTTCGTGTCCTTTTGATACAAAGAAGCAGGGAAAACGAGAAAATAAATTAATAAACAAAGAGATTAAGGAGAATAAGGAGGCTATTGAATCTACAAATAGGGCCGAGGTGCATTATTCGTTCCATATAATCCCTTATATTAAAGATACTAAATTTACATAATTGTGTATTTTAACCAAGAAACAACATCATCAGCAATTTATTTTTTGCATTGACAGGGTAAAGAAATGACTCGGAGACCCCGTGCCACCGCTGCACGTGCCCGCAGAACAGAACAGCTGGTTGCTGGTTACTGCGAAATTTGTCACGTTCATTATGACGATCTATCCAAACATTTACAAAGCGAGCAGCACTTAAATTTTGTGGGAAATGACGACAACTTTTTATCTTTGGATACGTTAATCAATGCAGGCGCCAATGTGGAGGCGTTCTTAAAACTAAATAGAACAAAGGATATCGAGTAGGTATTTATAACTAAAATTTTAGATACGCATAAAATTGTATTTTGTTTAATTTTATTCATTAGATACACACATTCATATATATTTTATGCAATTGAGTTTATTTGTATTATTTTACAGGAAAGACTGTGATTGTTTCCCCAATGGAGATGGTAATCTTCATAATGCAGTACTGCCCGAGGAGAAGGTTAACAAAAACACCAAAACTTTAAGTAACTTTAGTGTTGACGAGATAAAAATGGTGAATGGTGCGCGTAGAAATCTTAATTTAAAATTAAGTTCGCCGCATAATTTGCGTACTCGCGCGAAACATGAAAGCGGACATCTTCTTAGATCCAAGGGCAGTCCGTGGCACGAAGTCGATAAGAGCGAAAAGTTGTACGATAAATTGGAGGGTTTCACCATCAAGAAACGTTCGAAAGGTACTATCTGGATCGAGGAAGATGACCCGGACGAGAAATATGAAGAGAACATTCTGCGAAAGGAATCGAAGCGAGAGGACTATAAAAGGCCCTTCTCGAATGATATCGACATTTTAAATACTAAGGAAGATAATATCAGTAGTAAGCATAGTAATAATCTAGATCCGCCAAACTTGCAGCCGGCGATTGTACATAACAATACGCAAAACGGTATTATAAATTCGTGTCGTATATCGGAAGAATCGGATTACCTCAAGAATAAGGACGAGTGTAACGGTGACGAAAACGCGTGTGCGTTGGAATGTATGATAAGTGTAGAAAACGGTGTAGTTGACAATAGTTATACCGGGAGTTGCAAGCCGTGTAAGAATTTATTTCAAAGAGACAATTGCGCATTGCAAGCGGAAAAAGTGACAATAGAAGCGAGAAAGTTGTCGGACGATGCGAAAGATTTTGTTTGTAATGAATATAACAAAAGTGAACAAAAAGATTCAAAAGTGCTGCAGGGAGAGAATAATCGTACGAAGCCCAAGCATCCTTCCCGCCTCAATCGAAGGGGTGGCAGAAGTATCAGAGGTCGATATCGACATCGACTATCGGTGGAGGAACGGTTGATCGAGGACAATCGCGCATATTACAAAGTAGAAGTGTTAGGTAATAAACTGCGATCGAGTGCAGTGACGGGTAGTGGCAATCCACAACAGCACGCGGGACCGAAAGATGGCGACGACGAGGAGAAAAAGGAAGCACCGTCGCCGAGTGAGAAGCCGGTGGTAGTGCGATTTAAGCGCGTAAGAAAGTCCGAGTTGTCGTTGCTGAGCGATGAGGCGGAATCCTTTATGTTTGGCGAACCTAAACGAGATGACTCGAATGAACAAACCAGTGACAGCGAACAAAGTAGCGTGTTTCCGAAAGATACGGAAAACAGCGAAGCCGATGAAACTGCCAATTCATCCACATTGCTGAGTTCGCCTTTAAATTCCAGTTCTGTAAAACAGGAAATTATCGAGGAGGATTCCCAGGATTCTGTACATCTAGGTAGAGCGAGAAAAAGGAGACGCACACAAGCTGAAGCGTTTATCAAGGACAACGCCGATTACTACAAGTTCGAGACGCCGGGCAGCAGATTAAGGTATCAAGCTCCGTTGACCGGTATCAAGGACGCCGCGTTTGCGGACAGTAGGGAACACGCGACGTTGAAGAAATCGGCCCAACAATCGAACGACTGCAAGTCACAAGTCGAGAATATAATCGAGAAGATTTATCCGTCCAAGCCGTCAACGGAGATTGAAAAAATGCAATTCTCCTTTGAAGCGATACCCAAATCCGAACCGTGGTATCAAACGTATCAACGTCAGGATACGGGTGCCGAGTTTTGGCACTGCTTCAGCGAATGCGATACGATGAAACCGTTCCTACTGCCATACGAGATAGAGAATTTTCACGAGACGCTAATAAAGATACAAAATAGAATCGACGCAGGAGGCAGGAAAAGGGGTCGTGGGCGCGGTATAGGATGCGCGGGACGTTCGCCAAGAAAAAGTCCACGTTGCCACGCGTCTACGCTCGCCATCATGTCCACTATCATTCGCAAAAGAGAGCAACAACAGTCGTCGACATTATGCACGATAGAAGAAACACCGCCATTTGTCAGATCGCGCACAAATACACCCAAGCTTGAACTAAAACAAGATCTCAAGTCGGATCTGGACGAGGAGATAAAGGATATAGCAAAAACAATCGACGATATGCTGAGCGCAAAGGACATGATAACAGAATTGAACGTTTCATTAGAGCCTGACATGGACTTGGCGCAAGCCGACAGTCTTTGCGGGACACCAAAAGGCGCGCCGTCGAATCTGTTGGAGTTGCTCGATAATTGTCAAGATATCACCAACTGTTTGGAAAACAACTCGTCATGCGCCAGTTCCGAATGTGGTGAGGCGAACATAGACATTCCGCTGAAAAGAAGAAAACGAAGGAAAAATCGAACCGGTTGGCCAGTTGGGAACAAAATGAAGAAAAAAGTACAAACAAACAACAAGGTATCGTCAATGGATAGCGACCGGGAATTGTTGCTGGAGAAAAAGCTCTATCCTGGCAGGAGTTTCGCTGGAAATACCTTGGATACGTCCAGCAAATTGCCGGAAGGGACTAATTCTCACCCGGTAACGACATCGAATAATAACGTTGTACTGCCAACCGTTGCGGAACGGCTAAACATCAATCGAAAGAGCGATACTGACGCCTTACTGGAAATTTGTACATCTCATAAATCGTGTCACGAGACGCTCGCAAAGAGAGACAAGAGCGTAGATGCCATTAACGACGACAACAACACGAGCAGTTACGTCGAATCATTAGCCATCTCGGAGAACACGTGCGACGACACAACGAATAAAAACTACTTGTCGAACAAGGATTATCCGTGTAGGAAAGACTTATCCAAGATCGAGGAGATTTCGGAGAACGACGAGTCGGGCAACGATGAGAATCACGAGAATCAGAAGAGCCTGTTCGGCAGAAAAGACGTCAACGCAATCACCGAGAGGAATTTGGTTGTCAAGTCGTCGTCTATTGTCAGGAAGCAACGACAACGAGACCACGTTGCCGTTGCTATCGCCGTCGACAATAACAGCTGCGAGTCGCGAGACACGGAGATTGAGAATCGGGACAATATGCAGTTGCAGCAGTGCAGAAAGGAGGCAGAATCCGGTATAGTTCCTAAGAAACATCACAACACCAATTCCGAATTGTCGTCGCCGAAACGGCAACTGCGAGGCGGCAATTGCGAAGAGAATTCGTCCGAGAACACGGGGGAATTGTTGAAGCAACATGGTCGTCAACACGGCATCGTGTTTGCCGCGACAAGGCGCGGTCGAATGGGTTCACGAAGGCGCATCTATTCTAGGAAACGTCAGTCGAAAACGGCCGTCGCTCACAATAATCTGTCGTCGTCCGATCATCACGTTGGCATGGTGTACGACGATGAGAATTGTAAGAAGGACGCTTATTTGAGTATTACGTCTACGTGTAATAAAAAGCAATCGCCAAGTGCCGGAGTGCGTAGCGCGAAGCGCAAAAGCGAGGCCATCTCGTCGTCGGACAACGTCCAGGAATCGTCCGATCCGATGATGGATCAATGTGCGTTATCGGAACGCGTTATCAGCCCGTCGTCGGTAATATCGTCCACCGAGCTCGAGCAGCGACGTTCGAGCATCGAATTCCAGCCGGTCGTACGGATGATGAAGCTCGACGATCAAGTGGACATGGATCATGGTATTCTGTCGACGGTGACGGTGGCGAGTAATCGACGATTGAGAAGTTCCGGTGGTTCGCCACGATCGAATAACCCCAAGCCGCCGAAGAAACGCATAAAGTCCAGTCGTGGACATTTTGGACGGTGGTTGAAGAGCAGCTGAAAAATAGATGCGAAGAATAAAAGTACTTGGACTTAGATTTCAACGACGCTCGATCTCGCGATTTGATATTGTCCTGACGCGATGTACATTGTGTATAAAAATATTATTTGTGTACGTAGAGAATAGTATTTAACATCGCATCGTAGTATTCTCTTTTTCTCTCACTCTCTTTCTCTCTTTAGTGATACCCATGAAGTAAGAGAGAAGGAGATCGAACTCCATGTAACAAAAGTGGTCCCGAAAAGTGGCACCTAATTGAGAGGGAAGGGAATCCGCTGAAAAGAATAGTTTCTCGTGTTTTGGCACCATTTGCAATTATTAACTTTACCCGGCCAGCTCGGTTTTATCTCAATTGTTTACCTGTGGCTTTACATGCATTTTTCATGATAAAAATGGCATGTTGGATCAGAGAGCTGCTAGATTCGAGACACAAGCAACCGTAGTGAAGGGGATAATGGACATGGATAATGGAGCGTAAGTGTATCGGCGTCTCGGCCAGCTCACACATACGCTTACGCTCGCATGTCCGTTACCCCCTCCACTATGGTTGCATATTGCTTGCGTCTCGAATCTGGCAGCTCTGTGTTGGATACGCGGATGCACCACCGAAAAAGGAAAGAAAGATTCTTCATGGTAGAAAAGCCTTTTTACGGTTTGCACGGAAAAAATGTTTAATAATTGGTATCAAATAATACCTCACTTTCAACTTCGGTACTTTACGTTGCACCGTAATAGTTGCACTGTCTGCCATATGAAAAATACCTTCTCGAGAAATGTTATCTTTCTGAAAATGTAATTCACAGATGCGACTTTTTTTGCTGAACTCGTTGATGCCTCTTGCAGCAATTCCATTATCACACCAATTATTAAACATTTTCTCCATGCAAGCTGTAAAAAGGCTTTTCTTCTTTGAAGAATCTTTCTTTCTTTCCTTTTTCCATCTTTCTTTCTTCCATTTTTATCATGAAAAATGCATAAAGTCACAGGTAAACAATTGAGATAAAACCGGGCTGGCCGGGTAAGATTATATTAATAATTGCAAATGATTAATTAATAATTGCAAATGGCCCAACCATAAGAAACTATTCTTTTCAACGAACTTCCTCTCAATTAAATGCTATTTTTCAGGACCATTTTCTCTACTCGCGCGCTATCAAGTTCGATCTCCTTCTCTCTTACTTCATGGTGATACCATTCTACTTAGTGACGTTCTTTCAGACGGTTAGTTAACACTCCCTCCCTTTATACATCTCACTATACATTCTTTCGATGCGGTCGTTGTGTTTTCGGAAACAGGATAGTTTTGCCCTTTTTTTTTCTTTTTTCTTTTTTTTTTTACCATTTGTCGTTGTCCCTTTTTTATTTCTTTTCTTCGTCATTTGCATTAGACGAAAATTGTATATCACTTTGAGAACAGTCTGTTTGTTTAAATCATTATTAAGAATTATTTCTATATAGAATGTATACATTTTTAGAGTACGCAAGACTGCATACAGCTTTATACAGTATAATCACTCATTTCTGTTATGCTACATATTATTGAAGATGATTTTCTATATTTCCAATTTTTTCAGTATATATCTAATTATTTTATTTCAAACAAAACTGTAAGTCTCTCACGAGTTCAAAAAGAGAAATTATCATTATTAAAGATACAAAAATTTTCCATTAAAAATTGTTTTATTACACCTTTATAATTCCACGAAATTATCTTTAGATTTGTATAGAATTTAATTGCCCTAATTTATAATTTCTAGAAAAATTGGCCGTTTCTTTTTTTTTTAATTATTTATATAATTCTACTTGTAAGAAACGATTAATTAAAATCTAAGTCGAATAACAATAAAAATTATGGTGCAATTGCATAATTATAGTTTCTAAAATTAAAAAAATCTTTATTTTTCTAGGAATTCAAAATCGAATGAATTAAGGTACAATTTTAATTTTCAAATGCCACTGATTCTTATCGATAATAATTTAACAATCATTTTGATCTTTAATCTATTTTAAATTAAGAGACTACATTTAATTAAGAGACTACATTAAATTAAGAGACTACATTTATACGTTTATTTCTAAAACATATTTTGAAGGAAATTTACAATAAATCGAGCATTACGTCAAGCCTTCACGTTCATGAAAGGCTTTTTTCATCTCGGTCAGTCTCTTTCTTTTGTTTTCTTTTTGTGATTGTTGTTTTTTCTCGAGGCCGCGTATCTGAGCTTCGATGGAATATTCTTTATTCAACAAATTATCTAGTTTTGTTATCATAATCTCGCGCGCACGTTTCTTGTTGTCCCATAGACTTCGCGTTTCATGACATTTGACAACGAGTCCTGTTGGTTTGTGCTTTAACGATACTGCATTATTTGTTTTGTTTGTCGCCTGGCCACCAGGACCACTGCCACGAATAAACTTTTCCTCAAGATCAGCCTCATCCAATTTCGGTACTTTCGAGTAATCGAGATGACGTTTGTATGACTTGCTGCGAACTGGCACATTTTTACAATTATCAATCGCAATACTCAACATCAAGTATTCTTCATGGTTGATTGAGGAGCAAATCCTGTTGTGGGTCTTTTGACACATTGATAAGAATGTCGCAAGCATGATTCTCTCTATAAGATGTATAAGTAGTGTGTTTCATGAAGAACAAAATCCACTAATGAATAAAGACTATATTTTTATACTGGTCTCTTGTTATGTTACAAAACACGACTCATATCACTCTTTTGGCTTCCAAAAATTTTATACCTTTCTGAAAGAAGAAGAAAAGAAATTGATTAATTCTGTGTTACTAATATAGAATTTTTAATATTACGTAACATAAGTAACATGAGAAATATAAAAATAAGAAATATACAAAACATGAGAAATAAAAAAATTTCCAAATTGAAAAACAATTATATGTAATAATTTCGATATATATACACGAATAAGAGAAAAATGTAATAAGATTTAAAAATCTTTAATTTTTTGTACATTTAATATAATTCCATGTTATGAATGCATTGATCAAACAATAAATGCTTTCTATATCAGTTTACAAGTTGGGGAAGAGATTAAAGAGATTATCACATTAATATCTATTAATGGTATATGAGTCATGCGATTGAAACCTGTAATATAATTACCTTTAAATGAAAATCTATCATCGCTTCGTCGGTCAAATCTTTATTATTCTTAAAGGCCATTCGTACTCTGTGTCGAAAATATCCCTTATTCGTGAATCTCAAAGCTTCCCCATATCTCAGAATATCCTTATAAAGTTTCAGGACAGTTTGCCGATTCATCACGATTTACCGGAATAAAAAGATATAAATCAAGATGAATCAAGATGCACAAATTTTATCATTAGTTTTATCGTGGAGGTACATAGAAGCATACGAGGTTAGTTTCAACACCGCTTGTCCTTGGACTCGAATTTGAACAAACTAAAATGGTCACGTGACAAAAAGCGAGGAGTAGGCGCTATATTCAATGAAAACTATGCGTGCGCACACAATATGTTTATATACATAAAATATATCAAGGAATGTGTCAAACACATACACATACATTATAAAGATATTATAAAGACATTATAAAGCCAAATATAAAGATATTATAAAGACACAGATTAATGTGATAAAGATTAGGAGGAAAGAGATAGGTATATTTAGAAAACAATATTTTATTTTCAAAATTTTTTATCAGTTTACATGTATATATAAAATATATCAAATTTATATAGAATTTCTTATACGATTCCTTTTTGCATATTTTCCATATTTAACATGCATGAGATTCACATTATTGTTAAAATTCCTGAAATTCTAACTCGAATAACTTCTGAATAACATCATCTATTTGTAATTCTTTCGAAATCTCCACTATTAATTCATCTACGAGTTTATCGGATATCCTAAATATAATTAAATATAATTTAATATAGTAAATATAATTTGTTGTTTACATACATGTATGTCACATGCATATGTATTGTATGTATATAAAATTTCTACACACAAAGAATCTATTTTTTAAATATTATATTTACCACGCGACAATGTCCCAGGGTTTATTTTGTGTGATGCTAGAATACATTGGAATTGATTGCATCAAACGCTGATATTCACGTCTATATTTCAGAAAATTCATTTCGGTTTCGTCGGAAACAACGAGTTCAATATTATTCAACGAATTTGCTACGCGTTTTTCTTCTTTTATCTATTAATTCAGAACAATATAATTAGTATAAAAAATTGTATCCTTTATACTCATAATCCCTTTAGTTATTTTTCACAATTTAGTTATAATTTACCTTCATTATTTAGTTATAATTTACCTTCATTTCGAAATCTGACAATTCTGTTAAGCTTTCACAATTTGCTTGGCACGATGCGTCGCAATAACGCGGTTCCTTTGACGTATTCTCCGTCGATGACATACAAATCAGTCGCATATTTTTGGCATTTTTTTCTATTCCAGTCAAAGTTCTTATAATGAAAACAAAATATTAAAAAATTGTTTTTTTCTTTAAATGTATCAAGTAAGAAATTAAAAAATGAAGTATATTTATAAAATGGAATCTAAACAATCACCTGTTTGTTTTAAGATGTTCACATTCACAACTGCTTTCTACAGAAGAATGACATACATCGCAATTGATATTTGTGCTAATTTTTGTGCTTTTAGGTGATTGATATTTCTGTAGAAAATCTATTAATGTTTTTGTGGTTGACTTTGTAATTGGCACTACCTCTCCATTTTGCTATATATGTAAATTTGAAAAATATTTACAATACAATCAAATTACTAATTTATTAAATTGAATTTATTAAATTTTATTTTTGATGAAGAGATAATTTACTTGTTTTTACCATAACTCACTTTATTAGAAACAAACGACATAAGATCCGCTATAATTGGCACTAAACTGGACAAATGTTCTTCTGTGATCATTGTCATTTTTCTCATCAATTCATCGTCGTTATTTGTGGTAGTGTTTTTAACAATGTTTTCTAAACTTTCTGATTGTTTTGAATCTTGCAAGTTGTCAGAAACTTTTCTCGATGTTTTAGGTATTCTTCTTGTGAGCATATTATGTCTTTCCTGTGTTTCAAGGTTGCTGCACTACAAAACATATAAAAAATACTTAAATTTTAATGTTAAAATATTCTATGTTATATTATGTAAATTATTTACATTATCTGAATCTATAGGTAATATATCCATCATTGTTTTTATATCCTCTTCTTTTGCAAATGTTCTATGCTTTTTAATGCTAATTTGATTTGCATCCTTGGATGATACTGGACTGGTATATAGCCGATTAGATATTGGTTCGTTAGTAATTTTTTTAACATGTGTATCTATTGTATTGTATCTTTTATCCTTCTGATAATCTAAAAAAATAATAATGTATAACATGTAACATTTGTACAAGCTAAACTATTGTAAGATATATTTAACTTGTTTGTATCAAAAATAGATTTACATACTTGTCTTATGTTTAGGATTACTTTTAGGAGCTTTGACATTTTCCACACTATACATATTTAAACGATTAGATAACTGTTTGCTGTTGAATCGTTTTTTATTTGTCGAATGCGGAGTGAAGGATGCCATTGATGACGTTTTATTAGGATCAAGGAGATCGCTATCTACATGAAGTTTTAACTTTGATAAAATAGTATTGCATTTGCTCTCAATATCCTTTCCCTATAATTATAAAACCTGTAAGCGAATTTAAATCTTGCACTTGTGTTAGGTGCAGAAAAAAAATGCAATTCATTTTCAAATATACAAAATATATATATGAGAAATCTATAACGATAAATGAAATATTACCAGCGACAAAATATCTGTGTCCCCCGAATCGAGATAGTTTAGATGAAGTCGATCGCACATAGTCTTTAAATCGATAACTACTTGTAATATCTCTCTAAACTTTCCTGGATGTCCCTTGAGAATAGAACTAGGAATGTGTTTGCAATAAGCAACTAATGCATGCAGCAGTAACTGATGAGCGGCGAGTAACTTATGCTCAATAGCGTGCATATGAAGTCCAAGGCTTCTGTGATTCGGTCTTATTATCGCTCGCGGCGATATAATACACATATGTCTCTGAATGTCTCTCACATATCTATTGAGATCATACAGATAATTTCTCGAGAATCGTACAACGAATTCGGCAACGCACTGCTGCCGCCTCTGTAAATCTTTAATGCCATCCGGCGCTGGAATATTTCCCAATCTGAATGCAATTTCGTCCAGTAGCTCGCAAACTTTTCTCTGCATTGTCAGAATTTTACGCATGGTAAGTGGATCCGGTCGTACATGAATAACTCCATCCGCGACATCGTCCTGACGTCGTGTGGTACTTTCCGGACTGGAATTATACTCGACATCATTAGTCGTACGATGAAGCTGCTTCGACGAGGATTGCTTCTTTCGCGATATCGCGTGACCTGAGCGAGACTTCCTGACATAAGATTTAAAATATTCAGGCTCTTGTTTTCTCTCATAAGTTGGGATATTCTCCTCTTCAGAAATTGTAAGTAGTAAATTGGTGCTACCTGTTGCAGTGTCTCTCGTAACTGGCATCTTCTTTGAAGTTAAATCCCTGATATTATTTACCTATTATTATGCGAACTTTAGCAATCTAAGAAATATATTCTTATAGCATTATTTTCATAGAAAGTGCTCTTACCTTTAATTTTTTTTTTTTATTATTTCCAGTTTTACCGCAATCTTTTATCCTATTAGATATAATATCCGTCTCTAATCTTTTAAATTCTTTATCCGCTTCTTTCATGCCTTCATCCAACAGCTGTTTAATATTTTGAACAGAGGGCTGCATACCATTTTTATTATAACCATTCAACTCTTGCTGTTTAACGAAAGAAGTCCATACATTCTCTTCTTCCTCACGGCATCTCTGTCTACGTACATCCTTTACTATGTACTTGAAACGATTTGCAGGTATGTACTTTAGAAAAAAAAAGAATAAAATGAGAATCTCATCTCTTTTCAAAAGCAGCCGAAACATATGTGAAAAAAATATAATACAGCTATAAATATGCGTGTGCTACATAATATATGATTGTATATAACAAAAATTGGAGAGAGAGAAAGAGAGAGATCTACCTTAAAATTATAATCTTCGCTTTCGTCCTCTGAAAGAAACAAATTTTCCGTTTCGTTATCATTCAGATGAGCAGATTTCGCGGGATTCAAAAGGAGTGACATCCTTCCTTGGTTATGTTTAGTACTCCGAAGGTTTATGCCTTCATTCGCGTCCCCTCAGCCGTGCCATAAATAACGGATATCAAAGGAAAGTAAGTATAATTTTATAAAACGAAATATACTGCGGTACAATTCCTCGCATGGGAACGTGGAATATGAACATGGAGATAAGTTCCTTTTGCTTCCTCTTCTGAACCGGCCTGAAATTGCTGTAAAATCGATATCTCTTTTCTTGTTGAATTTTCTCCCTCTCTTTTTCTAATAATTACTGTGTGTACATATATATATGTGTGTGTGTGTGTGTGTGTGTGTGTGTGTGTTGTGTATGCATATATATATGTACACAACTCGGAGAGGATGGGATTGTTTCAGCAATGACAATGTACGCATTACGCATGTTGACAATGACGTTACGATCGATATTTAAAACGAATATTACGCGAGATACAAAATGTATCTCGCTGCTTGTCAGATTCCAAGAACAAAAACAAGAAATCGTTACTTTGATCGTATCATTACTCTGTTATTAATACAGAATTTTTGTTACAGTAATCGAAAGTAAAGTATAAATATAATTATAAAATATCCTTTAAAAATCGCTCAATTAAAATATAAATATAAATTTGTAATCGAATCGCGTGCGGAGAATAATTCCAGGAGAAACGAGTTTTAAGACGAGATCTCTTACACGTTCAAAAATAATTTTTCCCTTAATTTCTACGTCCGTTTTTTTCGCGTATGTAGACAAGAGAGAAAACAGTCGTGCAATTATCCCTCTGTCGCGTCGGCGACGAGACGAAAAATCAACATTGAAGCTTTTTATCGTTGATCGTGTGTTCGGGAGCGATGACTACGCGGGGCGATACGATCGGAAAAGGCGTGGGCGCGGCTACGCGGATCAATACTACTCCTGAGCGATGGCCGAGGCCGATGCCGAGGTTCGGAAGGCGCGGGTTAACCCACGACGAATGGGGTGTATCCTCGTCGCGTCAGCGGTGCTCATCGGCCCGTTCCATCCTTGCTGCTCCGATATTAGCGGGATGTCGCAGCTCGCACCGCTTAGGCTTAATTGTGCGATTAATTTAAACGATGATTCATCGCGTTGATTGAGAGGTCGTTGAGAATAACTCGGTGAAAAGTGGTTTCGGATGGAAAACCAGCACCGAGGGCCAGAGGCGAGGAAACCGCCATCGGAGAACCCCTGTGGGAAAGGCGGGTGACTCGCCGATGGAGGGAAAGCGCGCGAGATTCGAATGCGAATGCGGAATCGTTGACAGTTCGCGTCGAGGCTCGCGATAACGTTGCTTGGATAAAATTGCGTGTCGACGGATTGAGCTTTTGACGATAAGCTTCTCGCGATTACGGGAAGAACGACGATTCCGAGCGAATCGCGTGGGAATGATTCAAATGTCCGATTTCGAAACGCGCCATGTGTCAAACGTCGCCGGCCAATCGGCGCGACGTGACGTCACGATGTGCGCGCAGGACGTTCTCATTCAATCTTGGGATTTCGCTGCGCTCGCAATTTTCATCCGCTTTTCGTCCTATCGAACCTTTCGCAAGCACGCACGGTGAGGTATCTTGATCTGCGTGAGATTGTTTTTCTCAAATATCTCTCGATACTCACGCAGCGCTTTTTGTCGAGCCAACTCGTCAAAGTCTTTTCGCTCCGTCCTCGTGATTTTCCAGTGATCGTTAATTCTTGGGAGAGTTAAGACTCCCCTTACATGGCGTATGCCGTGATGTTCGAATGAGGAATGTTTTTGAATTTTGCAATTTTCAATTATATCCCTTCCGCGATAGTCACACGAAGAATACGCGTTGATAATTGTATTTGTGCTATTTTCGCAGCGTGATCAATTTGAAAATGAGTCGTCGAGTATTTACAAGATTTTAATTGATTTTTTCATCCGTCATTTTCTTTTTAATTATTTCATCAGATTTAAAATGGATAATGAAAAGTGATTTCTGGATTTACATTTTCGAGAAACGGTATAATTTTTTGCAAAGTCGAGAGTGAATTAGAATACTTTTAAAAATACTGTTAAAAAAATATCTAGATTTTTAAGAATAATGCTAATTATAAAATTATGTTTCTTCTCCTAGATTGCTTATGATAAAATACTTGAAGAAATTTTATTTACGCTAATAAATTTAGACTATACAATTGTGCTGATGCGTTGAATGTAAAATATTTCACTGCTGAAAATAATAAATACTATATAAATAGATAAGAGGAAAGCAATTAAACAAACTTTAGTTTGTGTAAGGACAAACTTATAAAAATGACATCCAAAGTGTTGATGAAACTACCAACAGTGCCCTTTCCTCAAGTAAGTAAATGTTTTTATATTAATATTTTATATGGCAGTTTTTTTAAATTTATTGCGTGGAAATTATTTCTTTAAATTTCATTAAAATATGCTTGTATGTGTCTTCTATTGATATAATTTTCTTGTATAAACATATTGCTAAAATCACATAAATAAATAACATAAAATCTTGCAGACATTGTAAAGCAATATTATAATAATGTAATGTAATATTTGCATACCGTAGTAAAAAAAGGTTCCAAGCTTTTAAATTAGAAATATGTAAGATTATATTTTTACATTTTTATAGGGAAAGAAAGCACCACCTGATTTGGTTTCTTTGAATGAAAGAAATGATGGTTTTGCACATGTTAGGCATCAAAGCCTAAATATAGACAGAGTAGTACAGCTTGAGCAGAACATGAAATTTTTACAAGAACAGCATCAGGCAACTCTGGTTGCTTTACATCAAGAAATAGAGTCTTTGCGTCAAAGAAATAGAGGTAATAGAAATCATTCTTGCTTCCTTCAAGTATCTCGCTTTTAATTTTTTTATAAACTCTTTTATAGATTTACAGTTTCAATTAGTATTTTCTAAAAGAGCACATTGCAATGCGGCTAGCAGTCCTTCTTCACCTGAAGATAATGGAAATGGGTTTGCAAAATCAAAGGTATCTATATAACAAATTGTTTTGAATATTTGATATTTATACATGCTTCTCTCTAATATTTTTCTTTTTTTAAAGCATATTTTTTCTAAAATTGAGATTTATATAAATTATATTTACAGAATAGCCCAATATGTGTCAATGTAACTCCTCTGCAAGTGGAGCTTTTGGAGAAAGACTTACAAGATATTAAGGCGTCATTACATGAGGCAAAAACACATAACCAATATTTGTCGAGCATTATAGAACAGCAGAAAAAGTCAGTTTGCTTTATACTTGAAAGATATGTGTTAATAATAAGCTAATACTTTTCTCTCCTGCAGAAAGTTGGACAAAGATCAAAAGAATAAAATCGAAACGACAGATGTGGGAGTTCAAGTCGGAGATCCTGTACAAGCAAGTCTGGTTGTACTTTTGGAGGAATCATACGCGATGGTAAAGCGATTACACAAGGAGAATATGGATCAGAAGAAGGAGATAGCTTCGCTAAGAGCGGCTTCAGCAAATAATGCCAGTTCCAGCAGAGGCGGACGTTCTCGCGATGGTAACAACAGTCATCATAGCCGTGTTTCGCCTACAAGTACAACAATGCAGGAACAGAATTCTCGTAAATTTCCACCGTTACCGATACCGAGTTACTGGCATCGCAGATCATCGAGGTATCGCCAAGTTTTTACAAAATTTTATTCCCATATAAATTTAAAACTTATTTCATGTGGAAGTTGTCTTTAAAATATGTATCTTTGATGCAATGGAATATGAAAAATTAAAAGAAAAAATCCATAATAAAATCTTGTTACAGATACAATGCAAATCGGCATGAAAAGCAAGATCATCAGGCCGATACGGGCGATTCGACCGTTTTACCCCAACTCCAGAACGGCAGCGTAAGATCAGCAGAAGCGACTAATTGCTTCGAGTCGCCATCGTACCGATCACGCGAATATCGCAATTACGGTCGTGACGGCAATAATCGCAAGTTTAGAGGTCAAGCATCACGAAGGGAGAGTAATCATTATTATCATTCTCGCGATTTTAAAGACAGAAATTCTAAAGATTATCCGAGAGATGCGGATGATACCGGTGAAGGTTCGAAGGACGGCGATAATGCACGGAGACAGTAAATCGCGAAGATATGTCGCTGATTTGTAGAGATTATATAATCTGGCGAATTTTACTTCCGGAGCATTGAAACGCATTGAGAATCTTTCAATACTATAACAGCTGTAATAAGAATAATCGATAACGAGTGATCAATGTTTTCTTGTACACATTCACTGGTACTGATAAATCACATCAGTTTTATGCATATATAGCTTAGAATAGCGACGACAATGACAAGCATAAGCTGTACGATTTTCGATGGAACAATCTAGTCCAATACCAATTTATTCGTTATAGACAGAGATAAAGAAATATAGGAGAACTTGTGCTTTGTAGATCGATGATACGAATCAGCATCAGAGTGTTTAGCAAAAGACTTTGATAGACAAGAAGGCTTCTTCCCTTCTTACACTGAAACAGCAAAAGACTCGACCAAGCTTGCCAAATGCTAGTCTTTTGGCTGACATTTGTACTTGACGAACTTTAGCTTAATATACGTGCGATATATTCCAATGCTATCGATGCATGCATGTATGTATATTAAACTTTTGCTCGATGATGAAGCATTAAAGAACAGCTTCTCAGAATCGAATCTAGTCATTTTCACGTATTCTATATTATTGAAACGGCAAATTATGGAACGATCTTGCTACTATTGATATGATACACACATACATATGTACATGCATACATACATACATATATATGGTATATATATGTACATGTATTTATATATACATACATGTATATATTTATATATATATAATATACGTTATATATATATATATATTTTCTTAATTTTTTATTAGTTTGCATCTATTTAGTGTATCATAGATTTTGTTGTATGATGATGTATCATATGCTCTAAGGCAAATAATTCATTTCAATCTTCCGATAATTCACAAATATCACAAATTATATTATTTCATAAAACAAATGTGCAATGATATAATAACTGTAGATACGAGTTTTATCCTTTTTTGCTAAGTTTCTCTAACTTTTCTTTCATGCATTTTTAAATGAAAAACATTTAAAAATTATAAGAGTATAATATTGCCTAATATTAATAAAAAAAATCCGCAATTATATCTTATCTATTTATAAAATTGTTATTTCTGACTCTCAAAATTAAGAAAGTTTATGTAGTATTATTGGACTTTAGTTTGAGGACTCACAGATATACTCTGTACGAAATAACATGGAAAAATCTGTCGCATTATTAATCAAGTTATATAATAAAAAAAGTACTTTGTAATTATATAAAATCTTGTACGCTTGTGAATGGATGAATCTCATTAAAATAATATAACACTATAAAGCCTAACCTATTTATTTTTCTGTGTAATTTTCTGCAGCTTATTTTCCATAATAATGTTATGAAGCTTCTACATATATTTTATGAATATACATTTTTATCGTATCATTCATATTTGTACAGGAATTAATATATTAATTTTTCACTTTTCCAAATTATTTCCTTAGAAATTATTTTTTAAACTATTCTTTATACAAAAGAATTTTATTTTACATTTTCAGGTTTGTGAATTTTTATTATGAAAAATTACTCTCTTTTTAACTATGTTATTATAATTTAGAGACATTTTATAATCTAATCACTTCAAATTTTATTTAACTCCGCGCATCATAAGAATAATTAAATTTTAAGTGTTCCCTAAAAGATAAAACTTTAATGCTTTATAAATAAATTGTAATAATTTATTTATAAAACATTAAAAGATTTTTTACCGCGTTTTATTTTAATAAATATATTAATATATTAATTTTTCTTATTTATTTTTTACACGCAATAGGTAATTAAAAATATCCTTTTTCCGAAAAAGTTTATTATAAAATATATTATACCTTAGTTAAGTACATAATCAACACTACATATGCGAACAATCTCTGTAACAACTACAGACACGGCCGAGAACGGCTAATGTAAAGAGGATTGTGAATAACGCTAAGAAGAGTACCCTGCAAACGGAAGAAGATTCTTCAGGGTGATTCGCGCGCGCGCGTATAAAAGTTTAATAAAAAGTTACAATTAAAATCAATTAAAAGAGCAATGTTACCTACACGTATATAGGAACATCGCTGGACGATGAGCACTTGAGCGCTGCAGTATTTACATCTTTAAAGCGTACAAGAACTTGGAGATAGCGTACATTCACGAAGATGACATTGAATGAAAAATTATGAAAGCTGCATTCGCGCACTAACAATGTTTGAATGTACGTTACCATCGCACATTCCTGCAAGCCTTACATTTACATCACAACCATAAACATAAAACTAAGTGCAACGGAATTGCATCGATCGCGACGCGACATGCGATCAAATTAAAACGTACATCGATCGATTATCAGTCCATCAAAAAATGAAATTATAGATAGTTTGCGTCGATAATAATAAATGTAACGTAATGCATTATATAGGATTCGATTGTACACGACTACACGATTCTAGGGGCTATATCAACCTTTTATCTAAGGGATTAATCTCTCGAATTCGTTCGACACAAAAATCGATATGCAGGAGGAGTATATAAAACGTCATAATTTAAAATATGTAAAAATAATAACAAAAAAGAAAGAGAAAGGGGGGAGGAGGAAATGTATTTTCAGAGATAAAATGTTTATGCACCTCACCCTGTATAGCCGATGTTTACTACAATCTCGATCTATGTATTTGATTTAACGGTTTATAATTTCGATCAAAATGGCCCCAAAATGTCAGTCTTTCCGTTTGAATTTTGTTAATTTCATTACAAGTAATTGAGCACATATGACCGTTGTCCCCAACTTTTGTGACTTATTGCGAGATTTACCGATTTACTTATGCTATACGTTTCGCTAAAATATGCTTTACATACACAGCAATCGAGGGAGCATTTCGTTCAATTATAGTGCAACGAGAGCCATAAATTGCGCAATGATGCGTGTGATGTATAATTATATTGTACAATTTCGATTCAAACTACAGTGTAAATGATAAAATTTAAAACATGCAGAAGATTGTACGTCTGCTATCAATTCTATGCGAAACAAATTGAACAAAATGCTCTACAATTATATTCAGTGATGAATACTTGTCATTTTAGAATAAAAACAGAACATACATCACTTCTTATGTGTCAATTGTTTTATGATAGCCCGTATATGTAATTATCATTAAACGCTAAACACTCGTCAAATTCGCTGTGTTAACAAGAGATAAAGTTTTTATAAACTGACCTAGAGCATTTGATTATCGAAAATTCTGTGGATAGAATATATTAATGGCTAGTATTATACTTTTATCTTTCTGTTTTGTTCACATAATTCTTATTATTTCTTTGAGATTCTTTTCATTCTCATTATTCCATTGCGATTTGTTTTTTTTTTTTACTGTATTTGAACATTCGCATACGTATCAGCTCGATAAAAAAGAAAAAAGCAACAAATTGTATAGTCAACAAATAAATAGGAACCAGCCTATATGTTACACGTTACAAGACACTGTTAATAAATAAAAATGAGAATGTAACGTGAGAAACGCAGTCCTGAGAAAAAAAAACATGAAAGGATACTTATATATCCCTTGTCATTTTTACTAATATCATACTGCAAAATATGATAAATACCTCTATTCAAATGTTATGATTGTTACACCATTATTCTTCTTTTCTTACCGTACGCTATTTTCACTATGTTTGCTGTTTCCATCATGAGAGTATCCAGTATAGCTACCGTAAGTCCGTTCTTTACCACCAATTCGTCATGATGAAACTTTGTCCATTCGTCTTCTTCGGCTTGGGCTTCTCTCGCCAGCAACTCGTCGACGCGGTCCCTACGTTTCCTGCTCCAACGCATCACCATGTTCTCTCGTTGCAGTTTCGTTTTGAAACCAAACAACGTAGCGACTTCCTGGTTAACGTACTCGACGAGATCCTCCATAGTTTTCGGAATCTTCATCGCAGGTTTCGTCTTCACGTTCGGTTTCGTCCAGCTTGGGCCAGGTTTCTCGTACTCTGCCCGAAAGACCTCCACGATAATCTCCTTGCAAAGATCGAAGAGAAAAGTGTTGTATATCCGTCTGTCCTTGTCCTCGTTTATTTTGTCTGTGATTGAATCGTAAATTTCGACAGGCGCTTCTAGATTCGCAATGTCCTCGCCAGCCTGTTTAGCGTTATATATCAGAATTGTAGCTTTCTCGGTAAACGACGTTAATTCCTCAACGTTGGATGGAATTACAGCAGGCGTCATCGAAGGCGAACCAAGCGAGGCTGATAGTCGACCATCTCCAGGCGGAGTGTAGGGAGGCGGCGGTTTATTTGGTATTTCTCGGACATAGAAGGACACTTCCTCCGCTTCCAATTTCTTGATCTTATAAAAGTAATATGCATAATTTAATTTACTTATTCACAAAAAGATTTTATTATAAAAGTGTAGATTTCATAATAATAGCATAAAAGATACAAACCTCCAACTCGATCTGTAATTGTTCGATGCGAAGCAACTTGGCTTGCAGTTCGGCAACCTCCTGACCGGGTTGTTCCAGCGAAGCTGTACGGAATAGAGAGAGGAAAAAATGTATATTTATATCAATCAAGTACTTTAGACACAGGCCGAGAGACAAGTTCCTCGGGAAAAGCAACACGAGAGCCTTCACATTACATCGGGGGATTAATTTGTACTCTAAGGAAAGGGGAAGAAGGTTGCAAGGGGGGGAGGGGGAGGCAAAAAAAAAAATAGGAAACGTCCAATATATATCGAGAAACAAATGTTTTCAATGCACGTACAAAGCTATAACAGGGTGTTGGACATTCCATATAACATCTGTACACGATCTGTACACAATTTTTTCTGATAGAGAGATTTAGAGAGTAGAGAAAGATAGATAAATAGTTGATGAACTGAATTGTGTTTTGTGATGCATAATATTTACAGGCCTTTCTTGTGCGCGCATACAGATTAATATTAATAATAATCACAGGATCAAGCATTTCATGCGACATCGACATTGTAGTACACTGAGATAATAACAAGTCAATGTTCGTATCATTCGTAGTTTCGTGTATTACCTTTAGATAAATATAATCTCGACTTTGCTATTTGTCTGAAAATAAACAACACATGGCTATACCAGGCAATGCTTTTGCACAGGAGAGCACACAGCCATTATAAAAAAAAAAAAAAAAAAAAAAAATACAAAAGGTGTTTCCGTATATAATATGTAATGTGTACAAATCGAGATACGTATAAATATGTATATCGAGAGTGTTTCTCAGATGATGGTCAGCCCACATAAAATAATAGCATCGCATGATTTCAGTCGAGAATGTGTACAACAATAATTCGTAAAGAGAAAAAGAAACGATCCACTATCTCTCAACATATACATATATGTTGATTTTCGCTTGAAATATGTTATTCGATTCTTGCAAATCTATTCACTCGAATAGCATCTTTCAAAGATTATTGTCTTGCGACGTATGAAATCTCCTAACTAGATTGTTTTGCATGTTTAAAAACATTTACGCGATAACAAAACATTGATTGGATCATAATGTTGTAATTTTCATGACAGCACATAACGCGTTTCAAATTTGAAGAAATATGTACAATCAAATGGACGATTGATTATAGGACTAATACTGATTCACATACATTAGATATGTAGAGAACTCGTATGGTAGAAATTTACAATCGGTTGACTTTATATATCGTCTACTATATATGCTTTTTAATTTCATATATCGAACAAAATATATGTATGTAAAATAACAATAATGAGAATACCTTTTAATTTATTAATCATGGCCGTAATGTCATTCTCGGATGTGGCAACAATAGATGACGAGTGAAAATTGGTTTTCACATCGTTTTGATCCGTCATGGCTTTAGTATCGCTTAATAGTTCATCATCCAGGATATCAATGTCCAGTCTGGAATCATTGAAGTCTCTCGGCGAATCCATCTCAATGTCAGAAACACCTCTTGGAGTATCGCCGGCTTCGCTGGATTCACCGGATGAGCCGTCTTGTTCCTGCAGTTCGTATGCTATTCGAGTGGATTTGTCATCGTCATCAGCGTCTAATCTCAATGGAGACCTGTCTTTTTCCTCGGGGGAGCCTATATCATTAATAGCTTCCATTGATGGTTGCTCATCTTGTAATTCTACATCTTTTAGAAACCGATTTTTCGATTCATCGTTCACTTTGTAAGATTTCTCTTCGACTTTGCTTCTCGTTATCTTTTTCATCTCGGGAGATGGACTGTCATCTTCCGCGGAAACTTCTGCATCGAGTAGCTCACTGATCTCTTCTTGCGTCTCGCTTTGTGCAGCACTCTTCTCATTCTTCTGCGAATTGCTTATAGAATCGGATGATCTTTGCGAAATTTCATCTAATATTCTTAATACTTCTTCCGATTTCTGCGTAGCTTGATATTTATCCGATAAATTGAAAGATTTCCTCGCAGTGCCTGCTTTCAAATCAGTTTTATCTAAAATTTCAGACACCTCGAGACTCTCTTCGGAAATATCTTCGTACTCTGGGTCTTTTAATATGTCGAAAGTTTTGTTAAGATTTTCATTTACCGGTGTATCCGATATTGTTATGATTTTGTCAACCTTTCCAGCTGTGTCATCTGTTTTTTCTTCAGTACTTTCATCTACAAAGATTGTATTGTCTATTACAGGAAAGTCATGCGACGATGTAATGATTTTTTCTACAGTATCCAATCCGCTTTCAGCAACTTCCACTAAATTATCCAATTGTTCGCCATCCGAGCTATCTTGTTCCAAAATTGATTCCAAACATTCTTTTATTTCTATAATATCTTTCTTTTCTTTCACAGTATACCGATTTTCGTTTTCGCTTACGCAACTTGCGGTGGATTCTTCGTCTTCAGCTAATTCAACTTTAGCATCGATTTCAAGTTCCGATAAAACATTATCTTCCACGCTATCTGAGTCCAGTTCTGTTATTATAATTTCTTGTATTTCCGGTATTGCTTCGCGTGGGCTTTCTTCGTTGTCGATTTCGACGTGCAAATTTACCCTTACAGCGGATTTATCACCAGTTTCATCGACCGCTTGTAACGGAATATCCATTATTTTTTCACTATTACTAGATTTATTATCATTACACGTACTTGGAAAGTCCACGTTACTTTCGGTTATATTTTCTACATTTGTTTTATCTTGTGTTTTATTATTTAACGATGAGAAATTCGAGACTACTTCAGTTTCGTCATTTACACCAATATCGCATAAAATTCCTTTAAAATGATTATCTACACTGCCATCATTTTCCACAATATCTTTAACTTTCTCTAATAATTCAGTCATGGAATCTGAGATAACGTTATCAAGTTTTCCGCTTTCTTTAGAAATACTTTCTCCTCGATTATTTTCTCTAGCGATTATATCTAATATATCGTCAAGTTCATCATTACTCTTCATCACATGAGATTCCGTTAATATATTATTGAATGTAATGTCGTGCATTTCGACTTTAGTAGATTCTTCCTTTGGAATACATGCCGACTCATTAATGTTATTTGCTAAATTAATTTCAACTTCTGGATTCGTAGCGTCGTCAACGCAACGTGTTTCTACGTTTTCCTTTGAGAAATTATTCGAAGCATTGTTTGTGTGATCTACGTGCGATTTTAAGTTTTCATTTCGCTCTCCAGTACTAACTTCATCTTGCGGGATTTGAAACGAATCAGAAGTTAACCAATTGTCTCTATCCTGAGAAATATTTTCCGTGCTAATTGCATGCGATTGATTTTGATTAGATGAGAGTACCATTGAATGTTTGCTATGCTCGAACACTGTACTTGTTTCATCTTCATCGAGGTTCTTCAATATTCTAATATCAATACCAATTTCTGCTTCCAACATCTCGGGAATATTATCCGATGATTTTGAATCTTTGCTGGCGACAACTTGCAAGACTTGACTTGGAACTGCACTATGTACGCTTTGCAAATGGCTTTGCGTTTCGGAATTTTCTTTCGAACAGTGACCCGCAATGATAGGAGAATGAGGACGTTCAGAAAATTTCAACGAACATGTTTCTTCCGTTTGACCTTTTACAAAATCTTTTTCCAATTTGTCTTTATTTAAATTAACGCTTCGTTCATTTATACGTTTTCTCGAGTCATCGATAATTTGCGTCGCCGTAGTCGTTGCACGATCGAGATTTCTTCTGCTTTCTGACATTTTGGAAAAAATCTCAGAAATCGATTTTACTTCGAGCTCCGAGGCTAAATCATTTAATAAATCTTTGTCTTCGTTTTCTGACACCGAAGTTGCTGCGTTATAATCATCGTGAACTATTTTAATTTGTTCTGATATTATCGATTTCTCTATTTCATTCATAATCTCTTTGCTTTTAGCTTCGTAATCAATTTCACGATCTAAATCGGAGAGCTGGACTTCTTCCGAAATTATCGCCGATATTTCACTATTTATTTCGTCCGATTTATTATTATCGTGACTCAAATCATTTGATTTAGGGGATTTTGATTTTTCATTATTTGTCGAAATAGAAAGAGAGTCGGTAGTTTCACCCGACGTCGTATGCTTCTCCTCATTTGCAATATCAACAATTTTGTCGCTAAAAACTGATTTAGATATTATCTCTGATATATCTTGCGATGTATTTCTTTCATCGTTTATTTTAGACTTTTCATTAGATTCGTTCAAACGCGACATTATTTCCGAAAACACTTTAATACCGTTTTCAATAGCGCTTATATCTTCGCTCAGATTCTTATTATTTAATTGCAAAAAGTCCAATTTCTTTGAATAAGTAAGTATATCGGAATCAGCGACTGTACGCGCAGTACTTTCCGTGGAGTAGTTGGATTTACTTGAAATAGATTTTATACTGTCGTTTCCCATTTCTTGAATCTCGGATTGTATCGTGAGATTCATCTTTGGCTGGGATGGATCGACATTAGTCATTAATTCATTATTAGTAGATTCGGTATTAATAGTACTATGATCTACAGATCTTGCATCCGATAATGTTTGCACTTCAGATTCTGATTTTGCTGTATCAAGATTCGTTTCAACATCTTCAGCACTGGATATACTACTTTGTTTTGTCCTAGTAATACCGGATTCTTCAATTTGCATTTCCTTAGAAAGAACGTATTTTTCCAAATGTGCATCATTTGTAGTCGATAACTTCGAAGTTGTTGTTCGAATTTTGTCATAAACTTCTGTCGATGTATATTCGTCGGAAACGATTTGATTAGTGTCCTTTGATTCTGAAATATTTGTGCTCTTGGTGTCCGTGTATTTTACAGATTTTTTAGAACTATTCTTTTCATATTTATCATCGTATGTTATAGGAGTTGTAAACAAAAGACCTTTTAACGGATCTTTTTGCTGATTTCTCGTTATTAAGAGATCAGATTCCGATTTAGATCTCAATAAATCGCTGCTCTTATAAATGTTTTGTATTCTCTTTAGTGGTATTTCAGGTACTTTGAATTCAGCCAATGACTTTGGTTCTATAGCTAATTTGTCGGTTTCTTTAGTTTTCTTCGTTTCCAACTTTTTGCGCATTTCGTGGATAGTCATGTCGTATTTCTATTAAAGAAAAATGGTAATTTTTTAGAAATATAATTTTTAGAATATAATTACCTCTATATACACTTACTTTAATTTGATTCAGTAGGTTTGTTTCCAGAGCACGTAGTTGTTTTTTCGTTTCCTTCTTAGCTTCCCTTTTTAAACGCGCCATTTCGATGCGTCGTTCTTCTAATTTTTCAGTAAGATATCCTATCCTTCCCTCGACATCGCTTGTATCGGACGAAATAGTAGTATCTATAGAAGAACACAGACTTTGTGATTAGAGTTTGAAATTATGTAAAAAAAACTACATTTAATAAATATTCAAAAAAAGAATTTGTTATGATAATCATAATATCCTAAAAAAGTTCTAGTACTAATTTTTTGTTTTTTTAAAACTTTAAAATTTTAATTGTGATTATCACTTGCGAATTTCAATATTAAATTCATTAGCAAGCATACTATCATTAAATTATTATGAAATTGAATTTTTCTTAAGCGATGAAGCTTTTATATTACCTTGCTGATTCAAGACATTGGAATAAGTTGCAACAAGTTTAAATGCCGCTTGCTCCATACGATTCACACGATCTTCTTCCGCTCTTAATCTCGCGTGCCACGCCATCCACTCCTTGATGCAATTCTTACGCGATGCCAGTGCAGTTTCGCGCGCGATTAAAAGTCTGAAGAGAACAGAAGAAAAAAATGTACAACTCCAAGAATATGCATGTGCATGCTCGTCATGCGGACTACCTCTCTGCAGAGTCTATTTTTACAATGCTTTACTCGATCTGGCGCGAATGCATAGTTTATTATTAGACTTCCCGACACATAACTTTAGTGATTCAAGATTTTATTAACGGAACATATGTTTTCATATCTGCACTTTTTTCGCGCTAAATAATATGTAAGAATGTTTATAAAAAGAAAATAAAGAGTAAAGGGAGAACAAAAATTCGCACACAACTATGTGTATTACGTGTTACTTACTGTTCTAAATGTCTGTCTTGCGATCGGACAACTACAGATTTTGATAAATTTTTCTCGCTTTCTTTAGAACTACGATGAGAAATGGCAAAAGTGCTGATTTGAGACGTGGACGTATTTTGTTTGTTTCTGCAACTCTCATCATGTTCAAGCTTTCTGTTGATTTGACTGAATACATTTTCCTTACTCTTATAATTGTTAGATGTTTCACTTAATTTTAAGTTTTTATCTTTTATCAGTTTTGAATGCTTGACAGGTGTCTGAAGCAATTCTTGGCTTACATTAAAATCTAACTCGCCTAAAATTGAACTTTTATTATTACTATCTAAGTGAAGCAATTCATGCTCAAGTTGTATTCGTTTATCCTGATGTTTAAGTTCATTGGATAAACGAGAACTTGATTTGGATTGTAATATATTTTCTGTTAGTGTATTAGAAGGTGATTTCATTTTTTGATATTTGAAATTCTTGTGTTTAGAATTCGTACTTAATTCATCATTATATTGTGACTTCTTAGATATGTCTCTATCGCTCATTACAGATTTATCAATCTTTTTAGAACTTTTACTTGTATTTGTCTGCAATATATCTTCAGAAATTTGTGTCGTTTTAGAGACAGTATCTTGAGCTATCGTGTTTATATCTTCCTCTATAGATTCATTGCTAGCGGTTACGATATTAGAAGTTGAGTCTTTTTCTTTCACGATGGTCGCAGTTTGCATAGAAAGATCTACTGCTTGTGACGTTTTCGATTTCTTAGACAATTCTTCTACTATCGTATCGGATTCGGATTTTTCAAGTACTGACGCATTTATTAATTCTAATTTCGACGTTCCAATCGATGATTCCTGATTTTCCAAAAGACGTTTTATGTTCATAGGATGGCCTTGAATTCGTTTCGACTCCATGTTACGCTGATTTTGCTTCCGCTGCAAAATATCCGCTCTGGGCATTTTTTCTTCATATTTTCGAGACCTTAACTCGTGCATCGATATATCGCTTCTTTTCGGTGACATGGGATCCTTTTCTCGTAATTCTTTATTTTTAGCGTCGTCGGATTTGATTAAGTCAAACTTGATCGAGTGTACGTCACTCTCGGATCCTTGTTGTGGTTCTATATTAGAGTAATCATGTTGAGATTTATCCGATTCAATCACAGAGCTCCTGGAACTATTACTGCGTATGTCGTAACCCTTCATAGGACCTGATAATCTTCTCGGTGATTGACTATCGGCACTCCTTTTTAATTTCGTTAAAATATTTCTCGTCGACATTTCTGGATTAAACATATTTCTTTGTTTTCGTAACATATCCATTCGTTCCTGGCTTGCTTGTTGGTGCAATTTTTTTATTCTATTAATAAATAATATATTTTAGTACAAATATATTTACACGTAATGTAGAATTATGCAAATATCACTTACTTGCAAAGATATTCCGCTTCTTGTTGCAATTTTAAAAGTAGAGCTCTCTGTTTCTTTTTTACGGAACGACTGTCTTGTCCCGTATCTCTTAACGCACGTTTCTGTTCTTCTAATTGTATCAATTTTTTAGTTTTGTCGCTCAATGTTTTTTCTCGAGATTTTAATAACTCTTCCATTTTATTGCATCGATGATTCTCATCTCTTATAAGCTGTTCTATCTAAAAAAAAAAAAGAAAAAAATAATTGAATACTCAATTAATATGTATATAGTTAGAAATGTGTATATACATATATAAAATATAAAATAAAAATATAAAATAAAATATAATTACCTCTAAATCCAAATATTGATTAATTGAAAACGTTACATCTCGGGTTGAAATACTAATTTCAGTCCCAGTTTCCGTTTTTATCGACGAGGTAGTTTCATGTAAACTAATCTCCGACATGGTTCTTATTCTGCTTGGTACTGATATATCTTCTATTTGGTCTAAATTCTCGAATTGCTCAATTGAATTTAAAGAGTGTTCGGCAATATCATTTTCGACCGAAGACGATTGTTCATATAACTTTTCAATCATTTCCGATAATTTGTTCTGCGTGTTTTTTTGTTTCGTTTGAGTCGCTATATCGTGCACTGTTTTAGCTTGTACTTCCGTTACTTTGACCGCCGCTTTATTTCCATAATTAATAATCGCTGATTCGACGACATTAGTTTGGTTTGTTGGAACATAATACTTTCCAATAAAATGTGCTTCGTCGCTTGGTCTCCATATGTCGCTAACATTTTTTTTCGAATAGTCAATCAAATTTCTTGCTGTCATAAAAATATTTCCGATATTTATTAAGTTCTCTAATTATATTCTTGAACGAATAATTGTACTAATAAAAATAGTTTACCTTTTTCAACAATATTACTGTCAACTGCAGCAACTGTACATCCATCTTCAATGATTTCTTCTAATTCTTCATTTTTTTGCAAATTCTTTTTTTCTTGTTCGCATTTAGTATTGTATAAACATTTTTCAACATCTATGACTTGCCTAAGAGACTCGTTGAAAGTTTCGTAAAGCTGCAATTCTGCTTGAAATTGCTTATGTAAAGCTTTTGGATGCATCTAAAATTTTTTTAAATATACTTTTACCTCATTAAAAATACATTATTATTATGATTATATATAAGAATAGATATATAATATGCATTTATATACTTACCAATTGTCCTTCCTCTTGTTCCTTCTCAGATTTTACTGTTGGCTTATACTTTGGACATCTTGCATCTACTTCTGAATCACTACTTGGTATCAAATTTCTTCTTCGTTTAGTTTTGACAAGATTTATTTTTTCTGGTGTAATTAAATCATTAAATTCTTGTTGGGAATAGCTGTCCCTAAAAGAGATTCTTCTAGGATCGAATAATGCTTCTGGCAATGTACTACTAACATCTACATTATTCGAATCATCATTAGTAGTTGTTTCTTTACTTGTACCAACACTCTGAGAATATGATTCCTCATTCTTTTTAGTACTTGTGCTTGTGAGGTGTGCCTCAGAATGTTCCGTATATTTAAGCTCATCAGTTTTAATTGATCTAGCAAAATTAATGTTCTGTTTAATTTCTGAAACCATTTCGAGATCCTTATTTTTTGGTGGCATAGAATTTATATGATAAACACAATTCTTAGAACTATTTGTATCAGACATGGATCCAATGTCCTCTGATTGTTCCGAATTAATGTTATGTTGTTTTCCATCAAGTCTGCTACTCAAAATTTTATTTTTATCAAATACTCTCTTTAATTGCTCCTTATAGATACTATTTGATTTATCTTCCTTTAATTGTCTATTATCTAAATCAAATGAATGATTAGATATATCTGAATCTGATTTCAAGTTTTCTATCTCAGATCTTTGCATCATATGACAAATATCTTTAGATTTAGTTTCAGTATTGTTACATGAAACACTATTGTTATTGTCTCTCAATGTAACTTTATCTGACGAAATGACCAGTGGTTCACTGCTTGATACTCGACCAATGGAGTCTACAGAATTATCTTTTAACTCCACAGACTGCGCATTAAAGAACTTTTGTCTTTTATCATTATCCTTTTTAACAGTGGAAATTAAAGCATTTTTGTCTTTTAATTTCATCGACAGAAAATCATTATTTTTTGTAGCATGAAATGATTTATCATTTTGCAATCTTACATTACTTATATTGCTTGTATCTTTTCTGGAAATATGTCTTGGACTTCGACTGCGTTTTGTATGCTCTCGCACAGATTCATCTCTCTTTGCACACAAAGAATCGTCTTTTTTCATCCTTTTGGATTTATTTTCCTTTTCCCTGGAACTATCTCTAACATGATCCTTCTTTTTGCATAAATTAGATGCTATGGATACATTTGGTGCTTTCAATGGTTCTATGTTTTCGCAATTAATAATTGATGATCCATCTGGAAAGAAAAAATCTAATTTTCTTTGTACTTTATCACCAGTTCTTAGTGTTCTGTCAGATCTATCATGTGCAAATTCTTTTGCAATTATTTCAGACTTTGTTGAAGGCAGTTCCTTTGAAACAGAGTTATCTCTACTGGAGAAATCCAATGTTTTTGGAGAAATTTTCAAATCTGGAACTTTCAGTGGTTTGATATAATCCATTTTCTGTACAATTTGACACAAATTCTGTGTACCTTTTGCTTTTAACACTGAAGAAGTCAAACTTTTTGCTTGAGAATTTGGATCGTATGCTTTTGAGCCAGTGTTAATACAATCTCCTAAAGCAAGTTTCCGTTTCACCGCGCTAATAAATGGAAAAGGATATGGCTGTACAGGATGATACGATAACAAATTTTCCAAACTCTTTAAGTCAAATGCAGAAGTTTGTAAATGGGTTAATTGATTTTCAATAGTTTGCCGTTGTGTTTCCAAATCTAATTTAATTTGTGCTGTCTGAAATAAAAAAAACTGTTTATAAAATTTAACATGTACATATAAGAGAAAAAAAATAACAAAAGTCACTCACAATGGCAGAAGTTTCGGCACGTTTAGCAACAACATCTGGATCCGAGAAGAAAACATACTTTCTTTTATCTTCAGGTTCTTCTTTCTGTCCGCTACTCTTCATATTTTTATTCTTGAACCATGTGGATAACATTCCATTGACCCATCATATCATCATCCATGTTCCTTATGAATATGCATATATAAATATAATGAAAGACAATAATAATTTAAGACAATGTCTTTGCATATTTAACTATTCTATTTTTACAAAATTGTATTCAAGTTTAAAAATTTGCAAATTGAGACACGAAGTCGATTTTAAAATTTCCATGAAGAAAAGTAATTTACAAAAATCGCTTTATATTTATCATAAATTTAAAACATTTATACTAATCTAAAAAAAATAAATCTAATTAAACTACATTGTCCTTTAAAAACAGTTTAAACGTATAAATAGAAAATGTTCCTTTAATTTAACGTAAAATTTTCACAATGACAACCACGAATTAGACGACCGAGAAACGTGACATTTCTTCGAAGAGGAATATAATTTTACGCACACTTTGCTGACTTATGGCGCCATATTTTAAAGATTTACGGTAAAGTGATAATTACGATCTGCGATCGACAATTCTGCGAAGGGGTGTCTTACCACAAGCGTCTCGAGGAAGTCGTACGCGGGGTTCTCTATCCCTTTCCTTTTTTCTCGCCTTCCGCACAAAGATTCTACGTACGTACGTACAACGCGCGCGCACTGCGTACTTGTACTAGTATCGCGTTCTCAGCAGTTTATCACAACGGCCGTTTGTAAACTGTGCGATCACGTGGTACGTCACGACCCGCTACTGGTTCGCGACTAGACATGGCAACCAGAAGAGGAGGGAGAAGTATAAACACGCACACGGGATGATCGATAACAACGCGAGCGCGCGAGGATCGCGTGGGGAATGCGAAGAATCGCGTGATATAATCCCGTGTACGCTGCGTCTCTCCATAGAAGCATACAGCTGTTTCCGAGATCGCAGGATCTCTCGAGAAATTTTCCTCCTCCGCTTTCTCCTTTCCCCTTTCCCACCTTTTCTCTCTCTTCCACTTGTCACCGTGTTTACGCGTCAGATTCCAATAAAACTTGTACCGTGGCACCTATAGACGCTAGTGCCACACACATGTTCCTCATTCGGCGCATCGCTCTTTGTTCGTCCAATCGCAGAATCCTGATACGTGTGCATTTTCGTGATGATGGTAACTTTCTGGCAAGAAAACACAGGTAAACACGCAATTGGTTATCGAATAGAGAGTTTTTAAAGTTCCGAAAATTTTTCTATTTGACAGCCAATCGCGTGACAGTAAGTTTTTATGTGTATTTTTTGTTGGAAAGATTGTGAAGGTCAATGGCCGCGTTCAACGGATTCAACAGTTGGGCAATATTACTAGATTTTGTTGACGTAGTTCGATGCTGATTGGTCAGTCCTGAAAGTAGAAACCAATCACGATTGCTACTTAGCGATCGAGTCCGCTGAATGTAGCCAATCACCCGATACTTATTATAGGATCTTTAATACGGTTGATCGCTGCCGAGATGGGTTATTAAACGTCATGGGTCACAATGATTTCTCTGAAGAATAATACTTTATTTATATGTAATACTAAATTTCTGTATGTAATATTATATAGAATAGTATAAAAGATATAATGTATAATAATGTATGTACAATAATTTATAAAAGACGATTGATAATTAAGATCGTCAGTTCAGAAATTTTGACTCATAATTACTTGAGGGAAGAAGTCAAAAAATTATTTTCTCACACGGTAGATGCTTGTATGCGTTATACTACCGCATGCTACTCGGAGTCGGAATCTGACGTTGCTGGATGCAATTCGTTCTCTTCTAAAATGCGATATACCGTGGATCGCGATATACCGAGTGCACGAGCTATATGGCATACATTCCTTGGTTTCTTTTCAAGCGCTCGCAGAACTTTTTCGTCGATACGCACGTCACGTTGTAACAATGCATTAGGTTGTTGTCTCGTCAAAAGAAGTCCTGTTTCTCTCGCTCGTTGCATACACCTCATTAAGGTGTCGGTTGCCGGATGCCGCTCACGATTGGGAAATCGTTTTGCGTACAAACGCACTGCTGCACGGGTATTTTCTCCGGCCATCCCGTAACAGATGATCATATCTGTATATTCTTCTGCCGTATAACTCATTTTATACACGTTAAGTAAAGCCTCAAAACATCAAAACACATCAACGTTAGAGCCATATCACTGTCATGGCGTTTTCGAATGGTCGGGTTTGACCGACCCGGGATAGAGACTCTCTAATAAGAGGGCCACTTTTGATTTGTCCGCCATTTTTATGCAACTCCCGCTCATATTCAAATTTTAATAATCCTATTTTGAATATAAGTGATATTTATTAATATTAAATATTATAATTATTTATAATATATTTATATATATTATAAATAGATAATCAATATTATTTATATAGATAATATATAAGAAATATTATATAAATTATAATAATAAATTTTATTTAAATTAAAATATTAATATTATAAATAATAATAATTATAATGATATAAAATTATAATGATAAATTTTCTTTTATTTAAATAGTGAATGTGAAAAATTATTTTGACATATTATTTAGAAAAATTTTAAAATTTAATTTTGTATGTTATTAAATCTCATAAAGATATGACAGATCTAACAGATCTATTTGATTAGTTGAATGAGTTTTTAAGATGATCTTAAATGTAAGACCGGACTATGAATACCGGCCAATATGCTCTCACTCTATCTGATGGCCAGTCTCTTATTAGAGGGTTTCTAACTCGAAATAGTTTACTAGACGTCATTGACCAATCACAGCCATGTAACCATACATTCTTCAGAAGAATGGCTCTGATTGGTCAATGAGGCCTCATCTTGATTGGTTGAATTCTGATCCGCGATCCGCAATACGTAGTGTGACACGGGCTTTAAACTGGCAGTAATTTCGGAACACGGTTCAGTGTAAAATTCCTGGATTAGAATAAAATGGAAAAAGAAAATTGTTTTTGCTGTAATTCTATTTTGAGAGAGAGATAATGCTTAGAGATTTCTCTCTCGATTAATTTTTTCAAGTTTTAATCAGTTTTAGAATTGCATATAAAGTTCAGTGATTAATAAGGATGTACTACGCTTGATTATATTGTATATAAAGAAAAGAAGATATTTGTTTACAAGTTTTTGTATAACAATTTTTGAAAAAACCGTGTAAGAAATTTTTAATATATATTTATATTAATCTCTACTTATTGTTCATTAATTTTATATTATTATCTATGTACATTTTATTTATGTTTACCAACCAGTGCATTCTCTCATTTCTAATAAACTTTATAACCTAATCTTTTTACTTATATTTTACAACAATGATTGTAATTTAAAGAATGATAAAAATTGTTAATCTAGATTAATCAACTATTGATATTTCTAAATAATATAATAATGTCAATACGTTTGTTTTGTGTTAATATAATATGTATTTATTTTAAGAACAAGTTATTTTTCTAGTTTCTAAAATACAAAAGATGCATTTATATATATTTGTAGCAAATTTTTTTTTATATATAAGAAATATATTGATATATGATGTATTTATTTAATATAAATCTCTTAATTTTTTCTCCATGGTGGTTGATCATCCAATTTTTCATAAGTATAAGTAAGTACGTTATTAAATTTGTAATTGTTTTTTACAGAAAAATGCCAGATATAAAAATTACACCACTCGGTGCTGGACAAGATGTTGGGCGTAGCTGTATTCTTGTTTCAATGGGTGGTAAAAACATTATGTTAGATTGTGGAATGCACATGGGATTCAACGATGAGAGACGCTTCCCTGATTTTTCTTACATAGTTGCGGAAGGACCTGCCACCAATTACATTGATTGTGTCATTATCTCTCATTTTCACTTGGATCATTGCGGCGCCCTTCCATATTTTACGGAGATGGTAATCATATAAATACAAAAGCTCTTCTAAGCAAACTTCTTTTATTTTATGTTCTCTTGAATATTTATGTCCACTCTCCATAGGTAGGCTATACTGGACCAATTTACATGACACATCCGACTAAGGCTATTGCGCCAATCTTGCTGGAAGATATGAGAAAGGTCGCGGTCGAACGTAAAGGTGAAAGCAATTTTTTCACATCGCAAATGATAAAAGATTGCATGAAGAAAGTCGTCGCTGTTACGCTTCATCAGTCTGTAATGGTCGATCCGGAATTGGAAATAAAGGCATACTATGCTGGACACGTGCTCGGAGCAGCTATGTTTTGGATTCGCGTGGGCTCGCAATCTATCGTTTACACGGGAGACTATAATATGACGCCAGATCGACATTTGGGTGCCGCGTGGATAGATAAATGTAGACCAGATTTATTGATATCAGAATCGACGTATGCAACTACGATTAGGGATTCTAAAAGATGCAGGGAAAGAGATTTCCTTAAAAAAGTACGTTTTGACTTTGATTTATTATTATGCAATGATGATTTAGCTGATCAGCTCTCTTATATGATTTTGCGTATATTTTAGGTCCACGAGTGCATTGACAAAGGCGGTAAAGTGCTGATCCCTGTATTTGCTCTCGGTCGCGCCCAAGAATTATGTATACTTTTGGAAACATATTGGGAGAGAATGAATTTAAAAGTGCCCGTTTACTTTGCACTCGGTTTGACCGAGAAGGCTAATAATTATTATAAAATGTTTATCACCTGGACTAATCAGAAAATAAAGAAAACGTTTGTACAAAGAAATATGTTTGAATTTAAGCATATAAAACCGTTCGATAAAGCGTATATCGATAATCCAGGTGCGATGGTGGTGTTTGCCACGCCGGGAATGTTACACGCCGGTCTATCTCTACAGATATTTAAGAAATGGGCGCCTAACGAGGCCAATATGGTTATCATGCCGGGTTTCTGCGTGCAAGGCACCGTGGGTCATAAGGTCTTGAACGGCACGCGCAGAATAGAGTTTGAGAATCGACAGATCGTGGAAGTAAAAATGGCCGTAGAATACATGTCCTTCTCCGCTCACGCCGATGCGAAGGGGATAATGCAACTGATACAGTATTGCGAACCAAAAAACGTTATGCTGGTACATGGGGAATTCGCCAAGATGGAATACTTGAAGGAGAAGATTAAACAGGAATTCGGTGTCAGCTGTTATAATCCCGCGAATGGCGAAACTTGCGTCATTACAACTACCTCCAAGGTTCCCGTGGATGCTTCTTTAGCATTGTTGAAGGCCGAAGCGAAAAGATATTCGGCTTTACCGCCAGATCCGAAGAGGCGGAGATTGCTTCACAGTGTTTTAATGTTGAGAGAAGATGGTGTTTGTCTCGTAGACGCGGATGAGGTAATCTGATAAATGATAAACATTTTTCTTTTATTTATAAAATAATAATTGTTTTATATTCAATTTAATATATGGAATATAAAACAATTATTTTATTTATGTAAAGTATTCCAATATCTATTTTTGGAGAATCACCAAGCATCAGATCAAAACGTATGGTTTACTATTTGTATTCAATGTAAATTGCATTTTAACATTCTAATATACAATCACACGCTGTTTTGAACATTGGCTTTTATATTATTTTTAATTTGATTTCTATCGTTGCGATCTTTACTTTAATTTTCATGTATTTGTTATTTGCACAAGTAAATTGCTTCTGTACTTTGTTAGGTTGCAAAGGCTGCAGGTATTACTAAACATGTAGTGAGATTTACATCTACTGTACAAGTAAGAGATCCTGGTCCAGCGCATGCCACTACCTTAAAATTGTTGCAACCGCTAAAAGAGAGATTATCAGGATGGACAGTCCAATTGACAGACGGCTCTATATCAGTTGAGTCTGTTTTGGTGAAAGTAGAAGGAGATGATGATGATCAAAAGAGTGTTTATGTTTCGTGGACTAATCAAGATGAAGATTTAGGTAGTTATATTCTCGGATTTCTGCAAACAATGTTGAATTAAAGAAAAAGAAATGAATTGTCAAACAAGGAAAACTGATTTGTGATATTAAAATATAGTTTTTCAACTATTATTGCTGAAAAAAACAATTTTGTTATTTCTTATGCTTTGCATATTTGTATTTTTACTTTTGAATAGAATAAGTATAAACAATATATGTTGCACTTTTCACAAATTTTTTATATAATTTTTTAACTTCTTTTCTTATTTTACTATGTAAGACTTACAAGAGAAGTGTTATAACTTTATTTCATGTATTGTTTATATCATGTAGAGCTGTAAGTATATATGTACATATATAACACTTTTGAGCAACTTTTAATAATACCCAGCTTTTAACGAATGGTTGGATGGCCATAACTAATAGTGCATTGTCTAATGAATTCACTCTGTAGCAAAGCATCGCACACATAGTTGAATCCAATTGTTCGTTACAAACAAAATAAAAACAAAGCAATAAAAATCGATATACAAATATTGACTAAAAGCAAATTTGTTAAATATCTATTATATATAATATTGCGAAAAAAGCAATATTATATGTAATACTTACAATTAGTAGTTAGAATGTCCTGTATTATTAAACACCGTTAGTTTAAAATAATTTATTAATGTGTAAGTCTTAAGAAAAGTTGAAGATCTTATTTGATCTGAAATAATTTTTAAATATATAAAATTGTTTAAAATTAGTCGTTATATCTTAAAAAATGTATATTTTAATTATGATATGTATGTATGTATGTATGTGTGTGTGTGTGTGTGTGTGTGTGTGTGTGTGTGTGTGTGTGTGTGTGTGTGTGTATATATATCAATATGACTATATCAATAAATATTTATTTAAAAAAGTATATGTATTAAGCATTATGTATTAATACGAGGGATATTCAGAAATCAATCTCTGATAGGTTTGTAAAGGTGAAATAGGAAAAACATTTTGTTTTACAGAAAGATTACTTACATAAATACAACATTATTTTTTGACATAATCACCAGTTAAATCTAGTGAAAGTACTTGTTATAGTGTGGCACAATCTTTTGTATGTCTTCATGAAAGTAAAGTGCCACGAAACTGGAATCCTAGTCAACTCTTAGCATTGCTCATCAACTTCTCGTTATTCTTGAATCGTAGCATTCCTATTCATACTTCCATGCGTGTAAACAGATGGAAGTCATTCGATACAAGATCCAAATTATGAATAGTCAAAAAACTTATCAGAATTTCTGGAACAGTCTCATGGAGTTCGATCACTCAACTCGGACATTGTATCTGTTTATCGGTACTGTACTTAAGCATACAAAAGTTTATGCCACACTATGACAAATGCCTCAATTTGGATAGCGATGAAGTCATAAAAAAATAGTGCATGTATGTAACTTTTGTGTGTACCACTTTCTTGTTTTTTTTGCAAGCCGATCATAGATTGATTTCTTTCAAATAAATGAAATCTTCAAGATTTGTTATAATAGCATACAGCAACAAGTAAAACAGTAAACTTTTATTAACTATGAATATGCCTTCTAGATACAAAACGGTAAATAAGTACGCGGTGTACTAAACATACATGCCTCTCTTACAAAAATCAGTACGGTAAATTCTATTTCTTTATGCGACCATTCGATTATACAGATGAACAAAGAACTCTTTAAGTGTACACAATATTAATGTCTAATACAATATTTTAAACATTCATGCAAGTAATTGTTTAAAAAAATTGTTTTTCAGGAGATCTAATATTACCATTTTGCAACAATATAAAACAGTTCGACTGATTTATAATAAACAGAACGTAATTAAATATGAATATAAATAACGACCCTATAAGACACAATATTCCTAAAATATTGTATAAATATTATTAACAGTTAATAATATTTATACAATATCCTAGGAAAATTGTGTGCTTATAGGGGATACAGATCATTTTCATAAATGTCCATAATAGAATCATTTGTTTTCAAACATGTTAAATGTTATACTAAATGTTTATGTGAATTATACGAAAATCCATCTTGTGTATGCCTAGTTTAGTACAATCATTGGGCGCAATTATAATTTCCGTTAATTTTTGTATATATAGAATCGCGTCGTTCACGCAAACTCCTTACATTATTGCACGTGAATCGATTAATAAATTTGAACTTGTAAGTATACAATGGAATTAACAACATGAAGATTGTTTTGTAAATCTGATGTATTGTGTTCGCTATCGAAAACAAAATGCCGTATATATTTTATATGATATTATGCATATATATGTGTGTATATATATACATTTGTGTGTATATATATATATATATATATATATATATATATATACATACATACATATTTATTATTTCTGGTCCATATATACGTCTAATAATAAAAGAAGAAAAAAAATTCGTCAAAGACTGATCAGAGTACGTGACTCAGAAATAATATCAAAATCAATATCATAATATGCAATATGAAGTCATGGAATTATATTAATTAATCAATTTTATACAATTTTTCTCGAATTGTAAGAACATTCTATGAGTGTTATGTTCTTATGCGTCTCGCATAACAGAATTAAAATTTATTAGTTGTTACAGTTTATAGAATCTCTCTCTCTTTCTCTCTATAAACAATTAATATCGGCAATTCGTAACGCACAATTTTGACAATCTTTACATTTGTGTGTATTATTGTATAGCTATTTATAACTATAAATTATATAACCATCACATGCGCCAGTATCTCAAGATTTTCCATTTATAATCACTACGAGTTTAATTATCTATAGTTTTCTCCACATAATAAAATATGATATTTTGTATTTTTTTACAATAAACATTATCCGTAATATTTTCATATTTAGTCTTCTGAGTAGCAAAGTATGCTATTTATACCTATATAGCAGTGCCGCATCCCATCTTTTTAACCGTCAGTACTCGCACTGCACTAGCGCAGTTTATTTTTCGAAGTTATTTTTTTCCTGAACCACCCTGAAAGAGTACATTAATAGAATGATTATGTGTATCTTTTAATTGTGTAAAATTGATAATGCACTAATGTATATAAAATAATATTCTATACTTGTTCTTCCGTCGTATAAAATTGATGAATATTATGCAAATAATAAATATCAAATCAATAATCAAATAAAAATATTGCATATCAATGAAATCATAAAATTTAAATATCTACTATTTGATGAAGAAATCAGAGGAAGAACAAATGAAAATCTGTGAAAGATTACGCATAACAACATTGATTATTAATAAGAAATATATTACACCGATTTATTAAGTATTTCTTATTAATAAAAAGACTCCTTGTGTCATCTTCATACCTAGAACAAAGCTAATAAAAGCTAAAAAAACTAATAAAATCTACAGGCTTTTAAATTGTGCTACATCAATTATACACGGCATACATATTTAAAAAATCTTATTTTACGGCAAAAAGCAATTTGGGAAAAACATGCATGCAATATCTGTAATAAAATATTAAATAGATAAATAATATAAAATTATATACGATATGCATTAACACACATACTAAATAAATAAATCAATAAATAATAAAAAAGCAACAAGAAAATTATTCAAAAACTAAAATTATTAGAATACTTAGTCTATACCCGGGAAAAAAAGTCCATATATGGATTTTGTCAATATCTAATTATACATGCTTAGATATGATATTAGTATCTGACTGTCTGATTGTACAAAATGACGTGAGGTATCTAATATCATTTTTTATGATCAGAAATGGTCAGAAATGGACATCATATCTAAACATATACAAAAACGTATGCTCTGATAAAATCATATGTGATATTATATATAATCATATAAGACTGTATATAATTTCACTTTTTTTATATATTTTATAAATAGACATGGACTTTTTTTTCTGGATATATGTATATGTTATTTTATATTCGATTGTATTCGAGGTTTTGCACTAAAAATTACACATAAAAATAGCGATAAAGCGATAAAAATTTTTGCAAAAAGTTACTAACAATAATAACAATACACATACGCAGCTTTCTACAAAAATTCTAATCTTCATCGCTTTTTTACTTTTCATGCGATACATTAATACTAGACAACAAAAATTATTTCAATTAAAAAAAAAATATATATATATATATAAAGCGTGTAACTTGAGAAAGATAAACACATTTATATAATTTATAAAGTTATTCTCTTATCTTGTTAGTACTTTAAATTCATATAAAATTAGCAAAAAAAAGAAAATAAAATAAAAAGCAATATATAAAATCAAAGTATGATAAATATCGCTACGAAAAATAATTATTGATTGTTACAATGATTAGTAAACACGTCGCTCTTTTCTCTTTTTCGCGCAGTGTACCCTTTACCCCAGTGTTTGTGCTGATAAAAATGACGCAACAATGTACAATTCTGAACATGTTACATATTTTTGTGATTTTTTTTTAAACATATTTCTTAATTTATTGATCACGATGTAACTTTATGTATTATGTATTTTATAAAAATAAAATGTATCAACTATTTTCCTGATTTTAGAAATTATGATATATTATCATGAATTATATGTGAATTTCACAGCCAGTTTCGTAATCGGCAGAAATTAAAGATGGGAATAGAAATTATTTTTCTAGCCATATTGTGTGCTAAGATACGCAAGATGCAAAAAGATATTCATATAATAATATAATCACAAAATAAAATATAAAGCCAACAATAGTCATTGTAAAATTTGTTTATGAAATATATAAATATAAATGAAAACACATAGCACAAAAAGATTATAAGCAACTAATAATATTAAATATAATTAATATATTTCATACAATTTTAAATAATTATGTACAATTGAAAATATAAGATACTGTATTTGCATCATAAATATAAATAGAAAAAATTTTAAAAATGTAAAAAAAAATAAAAAAATTTATTTCATAATTTATTAGAGATAAGTTATATAAGATCATATCTCACGAACACAAAGTACCAAAAAAGCTCATACAAAAAAATATATATATATATATATATATATATATATATTCCAAAATAATAAATATAAATTAACAGTATTAATATGGCTTATATGTTTATTGTGTGATATATTAAAAGATTTTTTAGCTTTCATTCTTATATGGTATAAAAAGTATACCAATAAAGTATATTTTTTAATATACATTTTTTATATATACATTTTCAGAATTTTTATGATTTATTAAGTCGTAATAGTATAATCACTAAGTTTTATTTGTGTATGAGAAAAATTGGAATTCAGAAAATTATGACATTTCGTAAAACATTAATTTATCTCAAAAACTACTAGAAATATTTTTCGTTATATTTAAAATTTAAATTTTATATAAAAAAAGATAAAACAATAATATACAAATATAAGAATTGAAAATATATGCGTTTATGAATACGATTATAACAATTTAATGCCACAACAGAATATATGTAAGATGAGAAACTAAATTTGTAAAATAAATTATGATAAAACCTGACATGAATTGTTCTAGCAATAATCTACTATTAAAATTTTTTGAAAGGCTAGGAGAAAACATCTCAATATCTCGTCTTTAGATTTGCATACCTGCGAATCTGCGCCGTTTTGCCATGGTTTTCTTAGTGGACTGTCGAAACAATCAAAACAGTTAAATTGTTATTGATCACAGAGCAAGTATTTGAACAACAAGACTATCTTTTTATGAATCGTAACAATTGTACGGTAATCTGTGATTGTTAAGTGTATCAACAATATTGTATATATACAAATATTAATAAATTTTTTATATTAAACAAACACTGGGACAAAGATTACTGTTAAACGAATTCCAATTTTTATACTATCAGACTTAGGGAAAGAATAGCCCCCATATTCTGACTAAAAAATAATTTCATATGCTTACAGTGTTACATTATAATATATCTTAATTAAAAATTGAATTCTTCCATCGCTTAAAACACGGAAAATATCAAACGTTCCTAAACATTTGTTTCAACATTGTCTAATGTGTATGTGTGTGTATCATTATACATATACATACATACATATATATAAATATATATATATATATATATATATATATATATATATAATATGTGTCATTTTTAGAGAGATATATAGAAATATTGTGTATAATATAATATCCATCTTGTTATTTTTTATGCATTTTGCATAAAAAAGTTTATCATTATTTAATCAATTACGCGATTGTATCTAGTGGATTGCAAAAGATAAATACTATCTGTTTCTGGAGATAACATAATAAAGAAAAATATTTTGGCATGAAAAAATTTTAGCGGAAATTTAAGTGCAGTACATTTTGTACAAACGACATTAATGTACTATGTATATTATTTTTTATAATAAAAAGCAAGATAAACAATAAAGTTTACAAAATCAAATTTTTATCTACATTGTTTTACAATTACTTTTCAAATCACATGCTACTTGAATATATATGTTTTACTCTTTTTTACTAATAACCACAATAATAAAATAAAAATGTTGGACTATACAAGATCAATCTACCATAAAAAATATTACTTTAAGATATAAGCTACTAAAATAATATTACTTCAATAATAGCAAAGAAACGAAAATAATACGAAGGACTCAGTATTATCACAAAGAATATCTATCAAAAGATAAATATATATAATATATGTGTATTTTAAAGTATGATCACATACATGACAGAGTAAATATTCTTCAAAATTCTTTACATTTTCATTTATTATTGCTTATAATTAAGTTTTTTATAAAATTTTTTATATTAATTTTTTATATTAAGTTCTTATCACATCTCTTCTTATTTAAATGTGTATCATATAAAAAGATATACCATAAGTAGATATACCATAAAAGATATATATATATATATATATATATATATATATATATATATAACATTATACAAGAATATATATAAACTAAGTTTGAGATACGCAATACAAAAAATATATAAACTTTTTTTTTCTGTCTTTAAAAATTGAAGATTTATTACAAAAAAAATCAGTAAGTGTTGAAATAAAAAACATATGATTTTCATAATATATTAAGAAAAATATTGCAAAAGATAAAAAATGCATATGCTTCATATGAAGAAACTTGATAATATTCTTTGTAATATCGAGCCCTAATAAATGTATTTCACATTTCAATAATCAACTGAAGTGCACCTATTACAGTAATCGAGCCAGTAACACTTCTTCTCCGTCTCAGATTTATAAGTTTACCTTCCTCTTTTTCTTGTGCTTTTTATGTTGCTGGCCAATCAATGGATTCCAATTAGACTGTGTGTGATCTGTCATATGACAAGATTTGGAGGAGTATTTTGTAGTAAGGGGGTTGTTCTCAATTTCTTGTTCAGACTGACTGACCAAATTGACAGGCTTGGTTATGGAACAGTTTGCAAACTCTGTATTCTTGAGCAGAGTATTTTCTAATACAGCTATCAGAGCTTCAGAGTCTAGAGGAGGCTGTATTCCAGATTATTCCATTATATTATCAAACTATTTAAAGGAAACGGCAATTTACCAAATCGCAATTATCAACTCGGAAATGAGAACGAATACAACACGTTGATGAAAATTTGCAAAATTGCCGTTCCATACATAGATTATCAGTAATCTTGTAATTTACACACAGTAATCAAATTGCTAATAGAGATACGCACAATTAAAATATACCTAAAATAAATATTTATAAAGTGAATAAAAAAACTCGTCTTTCTTATTATATTATGTAAATAATATTTATTTCTGCCTAATATATTTTAGGGCTCAAGCAAATTAATCACTGTGTTGACCAGATAGTTCCAAATATATAATATAAAATTATGACTTAGAATATATAATCAATGATAATTAAATCAAAACTTTTCTAGCAAGTTTAAATGTATATCTGAAATAACACTTTCTAAACAAATCTATAACTGAATATCTGGAATATATGATTCTATTACAAAATTATGTATTTTAGATAAAATTCTAGACAATCACTAATATGGCATTTCACATTTGCAATCAATATAAATATATATGTGATTTTAAAGCATTATTAATTACAAGATTTTACAAGATACAATGATCTTTTATCTTTATTTCATACACATATTTTATATATGTGTACACATTTATTTAGCATAGGGAAAGATATTCCTTTCTTTTTTATGATAATGTATAATGATATGTAATGTTACTGAAAAATTGATAAAATAAAAATTTTACATAGAAATTGTAAGAATAAGATCTTAAGGTTTGAGCTTCTTATTCCCTTCCAATTAATATAAAATCAATAAGATAGAATGAAAAATTGTTTTTAAAAAATTGAAAACGTTTTCAAAATGTTATTTATATTATACAGTTTCATGTCATATCAAGAGTAAAAATACATACATATTAAAGTACAATTTATCATGCATTTATGTTATAAGAATTTTATCAATTTTGCAATAACACTTGCATACTGCAGAACAATCACAATCAGGCGGCTATTTATTAGTAATTGGCAATCGGCATTAGGTTTTTTGTGATTAGTAAATATCATATCAGCATTTTGCAGCATAGTAAAATATACTTTATATTATTGTTGTAGAAAATGAATTTTTTCTTCATGTTATAAAAGCTGTATATATAGTATTTCTGATAAGGAAGGCACCATATAAATAGGAGTCAAACTTTTACTAATAGATACCAACCTTGGATTGAAGAGAATCTGATGTAGGTGGGCCGTTCAGCATAGACTGTTCTGAGCTGCTACAGCCGCCGCAAATTTCGTTCTAGAAATGATAAAAAAATTTTATTTTTCATTTAATTTATTCACATTATTACTTTCCCATATAATTTTAAACATTTGTTATATATGAGAAGAAAATTAAATAATCTTAAAAACAAAAATACCTTAAGTTGGGACATTTCCTGTTGAAGCTGAGTGACAAGACCTTTCTCATATGCTAAACTCGCTTCACTAGTTTCAACAAGGGAACGTAATTTCGTAACTTCGGCATCTAACGTCGCCCTTTTATTGCATTCTACTTCCAGTTCCTGCGATAACCGTGCTTTCTCCTAAACGATAACGAAAAGTGCATTATAAATAGCATCGATATCTTGTGTATTATATGTATATCATGTGTATTTCAATAAATAAAATTAAAAAAATGTAAGTAATAAAGTATTAGCGATAAGTTTATCTTTTACCTCTTGTAATTGTTCTAAAGTGGCCAATTCATGACCATCTAATTCCCCAATAGATGTAGTTTCTTGCTCGGTTTTAAGTAATATTTCAGTGCGATTTTGTTCTATATGATCTTCCAACTCTTTCACTCTCTGCTTGATCTACAAAAAAATAAGAGTACAAGAAATATATTGCTACATTAGTTTTACAAAATCTCTGTCTTTAAAATAAAAATCTTTGTAATTCTTACCGCTTCGTTTGATATTAATTTGGTTTGCAAATTGTTAAGTTCTACTCTAAGATTCGTCACTTCATTCTCCTTCTGCTGAAGTTGCGACTGCCATCTTGTTTCTTCAGATTCTACATAATTCTGTAGTTTGTTAAGCATACCTTCCTAAAAAAGAAAAGTAAAATTTTAAATAAACATTAATTATATATATATCTTTTTTGAGTAATATATTTTAAAAAAATAATATTCGGTAAAGAAAACTCACCGTATCGTCAATAATTTGTTTATAATGTGAAACCATGTTTTGTAAATTTTTATTTTGTCTTTCCAAATCTGGTTTTGCTTGATCTGTGTTTTTCTGTTTTAATTCATTCAGAATAGCACCTACTTTATCTTCGAAAACTTTGAGCCATTGCTCATGTGCTTTCTCAGACACTTTAATTTCTGGGAATATCCTCTGTAGAAGAGTTTTAGTTATTTCTTCTTGTTCTTCTTTTACTTTTTGCGTTGCTTCCTGTTTAAATCAGAAACGATTAAAAAAAGAGAACATAAATAATATTATAAAAAAGAAATTATATAAGAAATATTATTTATTATCTAGAAATAATTTGATATTTTTGTATCAATAAATAAGAATATATTTACATTAATTAGTGTTTACTATTCAATTAAAATAATTAGGGAAAAGTGATAAAAATGTATTTAAATTCTCTAATGTATCATCATATATGTTATTGTAATTAAAATTAAATCTATATTTAATAATTATTTATTTTTCAAATAATTTATATTTAATAATTACTATAATTAATAATTATTTATTTTTCATATTTAAGTATAAAATTATTAATTGAAATAATTTGTATTATAGAAAAAACTTACTTCGATTCTTTTTTCATCATTGGATTTGGCACGCAATTCAGCAGCAGAAAGAGCTTCCATCACTTTCCAGTTCTTTGTACGTAATTCCTAATAATAAATTAAACAAAAAGATAATAAATGAATAAATATTTTATGCTACTAACAGATTATAATTTTTATATAACATAATTGTGTACAATATGATATTTTATATTCAAAAACAATATGATAAAAATGAAAACATTCAACTTGTATCAAAAAAGGAATTGATATAGTAATAAAAAGAATGAACATATAGTTTGTATACTCGCATGTTATGAAAAAATAGCAATTAGTTTCAAATTATAAGTATACAATAGAAAAAATATAATTTAACGTAAAATTTATCAAATAAAAATATAAGAAAATACTTTAATTCAATAAACAAAGTACTTACATTATTTTTGGATTTCTGGACTTCTAAGGCTTCTTCTAGTTGGCTAATAGAATGTTGGTGTTTGTTTGCATCACTTTCTAATAAATGTATCTGTTCATTCACTTTATTGAGTTCTTCCTTCTTGTGCGTTAACTCAGTTTTTAATGACTCCAGTAAAGCTTTCTCTTCTCTGAATATTTAGAGAATAAATGTTTTGTAGAGATCAGTTAATTTGAATAAAATATAATATATTCTGTGTTACATACATACATACATACACACACACACACACACACACACACACACACACACGCACACGCACACGCACACGCACACGCACACGCACACGCACACGCACACGCACACACACACACACACACACACACACACACACACACACACACACAAGGTGCAAAATCGCCTGCAATACTTCGGGAAGTGATTCAGGACACAAAAAGAAGAAAAAAGACTATATAAACATAAGTCTGAAAATAAGTCGTTTCTGAGTTATACTTATGTTAAAAACATTCTAATTTGTAGTCCGCTTAGTATCCCTCTTATTAAAATTTTTTTTAAATTTAAATTTTAAATTTAAAAATTATAATTTTTTAACTATAAATTATGATTTTTTTAACATAAAAGTGACTATGACTCGGAAACGACTTATTTCCGGATCTATGTTTATATAGCTTTTTTCCTTCTTTTCCCGAATTTATTCCCGAAATACTGCGTGTAATTTTCACCTTGTATATAGTGATAAGATATGCATTATATTAAATTAAAAAATTCACATATACATACGAATTAACATGTGGAGGCTCGGTAGTAACGGCTAATATATTTTTAAGGATTTTTTCTTGTTCATGTTGTTGTTGAAGTTCTTTTTGTTTCTCTGTGATATCTGCAAGCTGTGTATAAGGGATATATATATATATATATATTCATATCTTTAGAAACATAAATATATGTAAAATGTTAAATACCAGTTTTATAAAACGTATAAAAAAGATTTAAAGATTAAAAGAGTAAATAATACCTCAATATGTAATCTATCGTTTTCTTCCTCTAGTGTCATAATTCGAAATTGTGCGTCTGCCGCCTTTTTCTCGCTGTTCTGTAGTCTATTGACTTCAATTTGTAAAGCTTTCAATTCGCTTGTTATTCCATTGGTTTCTTTAATTTGAGCATGAGCGTTAGTCAATTCCGCCTGTACGCCTGCCAATACTTCTTGTATTCTTTGCACCTCATTTTGATATTTGTTCGCGTTGTTTTTCGCTTCTTTCAAATTATGTTCTGTGATGTCAAAATCAAGCTTTATCATTTCTATTTCCTCCTGCATAGAATTGAATTTGGATTCCGTATGCGTGACTTGCACGTTGGATTGTTGCAAATCATTCAGTACGGCATTGAGTTTGTCCTGAGATTTTTTCAGTTCGTCCTCCTTGTTATTCAATGCGGTTTTTAAGGCTGATATTTCAGCTGCTTCTGATTTCGCTTCATTCAATGAAACCGACAATTCTGACTTTAATTTTATCAATTCAGCCTGAGTCTTGTTAAGTTCCAGTTTTAAAGTAGGTGCTTCATTGGCTTCACTTTTCGCGAGATTGAGTTCGGCCTGCAGCGAATTTGCTTGTTTCTGCAATTCCTGTTCATGTCGATGCGCACTTTTCAATCTATGATCCAAGTCAGCATTCGCACGATGAGATTCCTAAGTTATAAAAAAAAACCAATGCTAATATAAAATAATCAAGTTTATAAGTATTTGTTGAATCTTAACTATAGATCGCGGCTCTCACCTCAAGTTGCCTGGCAACGTCTTGTAACCGATCGCTTGTTTCCTTAAAGTGTTGTAATTGTCCTTCTGAGTGCATCAATTGGCCTTGCATAATACCTATTTGTTGACGTAACATTTCTATCTCTGCAGTACTGCTTTCACAAGTCGCTTGCAGTTCGTTTTGCAATTCCTGCACTTCCACATGTTTCTGGGTCAACTGAGTCTTCAATGCATTTTCGTTGTCGCGCATCTGAGTAAACTGCACTTCCATTTGCTTACGCTGTGCCATCAACTCTTGTTGTAGGTGGCCTTGAGTTTGTCCTTGATCTTCTTGTAATTTATGAATAATAGCGGCATCTTCAGTCACTTTAGCCTGCAGTTGCTCAAGTTGCCTAGAAAAACCTTGCTTCTCCGCGGCATGACTTTCCAAAATATGTTGCATTCGAGTATGCAATGTCTGAGCCTCTGTAACTTTGGTGTTCAACGATTCTTCTAGCTGTTTAATGTTCGCTAAAAATCTAGATCTCTCGGAATTAAACTCAGCTCGCAATTCCTTTAATTTATTTTGGACACCCACGCTCGCTTCATGTTCGTCAGCTAAGGCTTTTTCCTTCTCTGCCAATTGTTTTTTCAGCTTAATAACAGGATCAGCGCGACCTTCCGTCCATTCAGAATGCTCTAATGGATTATCTTGCTGCTTATTTAAGAGTTGATTAGTGAGTATTTGTATTTCAGATCGACTAAGTTCAGCTTTCTGGATACACAACATCAATAATTCAACATTAACAGCATCTCCATCTAGAAAGAAAAAAAAGTTATCAAAATTAATGATATTGAATTTTTCATTGCAAATTTATACTTTGCTATAAAAACTATATATATATATATATATATATATATATATATATATATTAAATATGAATTTTATAGAAAAATATTTCGCGCATATATTATATGCAATTTTTTATACAAATATATAACTTTTATGTATTTAGATTTGCAGAAACTCTGTAGAAAAATTTTTCAATTGTTACAAATTACTTTGTTACAATTTACTTTGCGAAATATATTAAAGATTTACTATTCGTATTGCAGTATTAAGGGTACTAAGCGCACGGACATTGACCTATGTTAAGTGTGGAGGGGGAAGTGATCCTACCTCAACCACATTCCAAAGCTCTTCAAAGGAATTTGCTTGGCTTTGCTTTGAGTAGATTCTTCGCATACTTTACACGAGCTTTATCGGATTTTAATTTACACTTTTTAAGTATGAAATAATTTATTTAGAAAATTCATGAGAGCGACTTTTATGTCAAATAATTGAGGTTTTATAATCGGGTTTCTTCATATAAAATGTATTATAAATCGTAGATACGAATATATATTAAGAATATATTAAATATTTGAATGTGTATGTGTAAACATTATTATCAAATAATATAAACTGTGAAAGAAAGTGCACGCAAATTTTATGATACAGGAAGAGAGAAGTAAAGTCGTATTTCCAATCAATTAAATAGCAGACTATAGAATGTAACATCAGGTTAGATATTGATTTGCTCTCTATGAGGAAACATACACACACACACAGATTTAGATCATCCTCAAGGTATTATAGCTTTATCATTTACTATTGAAACGGATTATTGATTTAAGCAGGTGTGACTGCACAGAAAAGTATGAGACTTAAAAATAACAGAATATAATATAAAAACAAGAAAAATCTTATATAAAGAATAAAATGCATTAAAGTATAATATAAATAATTTAACTTTTTACAAACAATACAACTTACCAATTTGAGATAAAATATCATTCTTTCTTTTCATCTTTTTGGGTTCCTTGTTTGATAATTGCTGAACTACGGCTTCTTTAACAACTTCCCTTACTTCTTTAACTGGAGTCTCTTTCTGCTGCTCCTTTATTTCTTTTACAGCTTCTTTATTAGTAGAGAATGCATTAGGATGGGCGTTAGAATCATGCTTCTCATCTTTAGTGTTTTCATCTTTTTTTTTTACAGTATCCTTGTTATTTTTCTTCAATTTGGTTGGCGTATCCTTTGGTGATTTATTGGCTTTCTCTGCTGTCTCCGTTTGAGCAATCTGTTGAAGATTCTCTCTCTGTGTTATAACAGATATATGTTATTATTATATATATTATAAAAATATTATATTATTCTTGCAAAATAATTAAATTAAAAAAACTTCAGAAAAAAGTTGAAACATGTAATATATTAATATCCAATGATAGAGAATATTCTAAAACAATATAAAGAACATATAGTTATCACCTAAAACATTTATTAACATCTTTAGCATGATTGTTAACATTCCATTATAATAATAATAAATTCCAAATTAATATACTTCCCTTATTAATGACCACTTAAAAAAATCTTTAATAAATATGTAAATCTTTAATAAATATGTACATACATGTTTTCATGCATAAATAATTTTCTCAAATAATAAGAACAAAGGAAGTTAATGAAAAAAATAAATACGCACACATAAAAATATACACACACATACACATACATAAGCATACACACAGTGATGGAAAAAAATATAATAAAAATCTTCAAAAAAAAAATATATACATATTTCCATGTATAAGTAATTGTTTTCAAATAGGAACAAAGAAAGTTAATGAAAGAAATAAACATATACATACACACAGTGTGAGAAATATTAATGTTATAATGTTATAAACAATTATTAATGATAATAATATTATAAACAATTTTAATCAATAATTTATAAAATGGTTAGGTTTGCTTTTCTTTCAATAATCCAATATTATATTTATGTCTATTAAATTATAAAATGAAACAAAATACAAAGTATAGCTAAATATGCACGATACAAGAAATTGTGCAAATGATGATCACTCACACTTTGACTTCGTACGAGTTCAAGGTCATCCTTTGGATGAATGAGGTCAAAATGATTAGCCTCTGCCAAGGGAGGTTGTGAGGGATTCAATTCAGTCACAATGACCAATGGCTCGTCTTTATTTACGAGAATTGGTTTTATCTTTTCAAGTTTTCCTTTCTTCTTATTGCCTTTATTATTTTCCTAAGAGTTTAATGCAGATATACAATGTCCCCATATTATTTTGATCAAGAAAACAATGTGTTAGGAAATATCAAGCAGCATGCTCGAAAAATTCCATGTTGTATTATGTAACAATGGGCATATATAAATAACTCAATTAACTATATTATATCATGATATTATGTTTTATAAGTATAGTGTAAGTAGAATTTAATTTAAATTATTTCGAAATATTGATAAATATTATATTAAAAATTAATATAATAATTGATCATAAATAAATAAATATATATATATATATATATATATATATATATATATATATAATAAATTATTGTTAACGATTTATTAAGTCGTTTTTCACCTTATGTTTATTTTGTCCTCTTGTTGAACACATAAACCTGAAATTTTTGATTTTTTTATAAAGAATTAAAATAAAATATAAGTCTAATGTAAACGTTGTAATGTAAAGATTCTAAAAGATATTTGTATAATTAAAGATAATTAAAATTCCATGGCAAAAGTATCTAATTTTGTCATTTAGGAAAGAGAAATTTGTCATGTTTGGCTCTTGTAATCTAAGTGATAAGGTGGTCGAGAAAAAGAGAAAGAGAGAGAGAGAAAGAGAAAAAGAGAGAGAGAGAGAGAGAGAGAGAGAGAGAGAGAGAGAGAGAGAGAGAGAGAAAGAGAATGAAGCAATATCATTGGAATGCTGTTGCATGTGTGATGAAGTTATTTTTAGAGAATAATCTTGAACTTTCAGAGTTATTTATCAATGAGACACATATAAGAAATAATTAAATAGGGAGGGGCAACATTCTACAGTCCAATGAAAAGAATATTCTTAATATGAAATATATTTTTGAAAAATTATATCAGCAAATTAAATTTTTTCGAAATATTTAATGATATATTTGTATTTATAAAATTTAATAATATATTTAATTCATGTACAATTTGATATAATAACCTCTCATTTATAAATAAAGTATATATATATACAAACTGAATATATATATATATATATATATATATATATATATATTCAGATAACTTACCAATACATCATTTATAAATTTGTTAGCGTTGACAAAAGCAATAAACTTTGATTAAAAACAAACTTTTTATAAAAGATAAAATAATTAAAAAAGATTTTTACTATTAAAGAAGATATTTCGCAAAACAAAAATTATTATAAATTGTTTAAAGAAAATTAACAATTGAAAGTAGCAATAGAAAAGTGACATATGCAAAATATAGTAATATAATAAATGTGATTCTTTAATTGGCTTTATTAAATCACAATTTTCATTGGAGAAAATAAAAGAAATGTAAGACAATCCAATAAAACTTATAATTTAGAAATTTTCTCAAATATCAAGCAACATACTCAAAACAAAGTTTATTAATATTGATTCATATTAAACGATAACAACATAATTTAACAATGTAAACATATATAACAACATAATTTAACAATATAATTTTGACAAAATATTATTCTATAAATATAAATGTATTTGTCATTATGTAACGATGCACAATGTGAGTGACTCCATTTATATTATGAAGAGATACTTTACCATGTCATATCATATGATATAAAACAACCTTAAATATGAAGAAATTTATGCTATCTTATAAGAATTTCTTTGCTGTGAGTTATTCATTGTAATGCCCATTATTATACATATATAATGTATATAATATTAAAAAATTTATGCAATTTTCATGCTGTTGTCTCATATTGTCACATGCATATTGTACACAAGAACTTGTACAAATTTTCATATTATTGTACCATATTCATGCTTATTGTGTATAATTAACACATATTAAAATTTATTTAGATATTCTTATATATAATGTGCATGAATATGACACAATGATATGAAAAATTGTTTTAATTATTTTATTTCTTATATAAATTTGTACCCCATGTCAAAAATTTTTATTGTTATATGAAGTTTGAAAATAATGTAAATGTGACTGTTAAAATTAAATATGAAATAGTAACAATTATGACAATTTTATGTGAAGATGTCTCATAGATTATATGATATAAAAATATGTAACCCATAGTCCTACATAAATCTCTTTTCAACAGTAATGGTGTATCATATTACGTGACACCTAGGTTATTGTATTTCATGCATGAAATATATAATATTCAAATCTTGAATATTACAGCTTTACATCATATATCTCTTATATTTAAGCAAATAATCATAATTATTGCAATACATAATATGTGAGCCTATATATGTGAGCTTAATATAAAATTTATAAATATTAATAGTAGATAGTACAAAAATTTATAAACATTAAATAGTATATGTAATATGTAATATATGCATTTTTTCTAATAATAAAAATAGATTCGTGCTATCAATTTTAATTTATATAATATTAAACAGTGACAATCCATACCATTAATTTTGTCTAATTCTTATGGATTGATTACAATGTCTTTAATGAATAACAATAATAAATTAATAAATTACAAACTTACTTGTACTGGTGGTTCAGGAGGCAGTATTTGGGGAGTTTCTTCAAATTGTACATGTTCTGTTCTTTCATCCTTATCATCCTTGTCATCTTTCTCTTCTTTCTTCTCTTTTGCTTTTTTCCCTGCCTTATTCTTATGTTTCTTTTCTTTGTTTCTATCCTTTTTATCTACAAATCCGAAATGAAAGATTTTTAAAATATAAGACAAAAAATAAAAATGTTTTTTCTTCCAGCATTTAATATTTCATTAATTAAATATTTTATCTATTTATATTACTTATATTTATTTCTATCTATATGAATCTTTACTTTTTATTCTGTGATCAAATTATTTTATATTTCATTAAAATGTTTCATCAAGAAAATATATTTGACTTTATAAATAAAAGTATATAGATTAACATACTTGATAATAGATCATCAGGAAGCTTCCTCTGTTCGGCGATTGCTTCTTCATAGGATTTCTCTTTTATACCATACATTGATATAAGAGCAATAACTGCAGCTGAGATGACAACAACACCAACATACACAAGGCCTGTCTGGATGTCCATTTTTGACTGTCTTATCTACGAAACATTAATCGTATCTTATCCATCAACATTTTTTATAAAGTAATTTAGATTATAATTAATGCTTTATATATATTTATTATACCAGAATTTTCTCTTTCACAATATTTTTTGATATTTCTACATATCAATATTACTCAATTTAAATAATATTTTTCACAATTGTCTGTTCCTTATACATATTCTCCGATACACCGTTTAAAAATTCCGTATAAATTATCAAACTAATACATCACCGTTATTTGCGAGAAAAAGTGCCCTTTACTCAACTATTATAAATAACAGAAGAATAAAGAAGCAATTAACTGTGTGTGAGTGATGAATATATACAAACTTTGAAGAAAAACAAGAACGAGCGCCAACAATAAATAATATTCCTCGCTAAGAATTGAAACAAAAATCGGTCGCGAGTCGCGGGTCGCTGGTGAATCTGTCCTTGAGATACGTCCCAATAGCATGACGACGGGATGAATACGTACGAGCGGGATAAAACGGAGGCGATAAGACGGGGACGGCCGTACGAGATTTCGGAGCAGGACGATGACATATGGATGACAGAGCGCGCGGGTCATCGACACATCATCGAGAATTGATCGACGATGTAATCGCGAGGACAGGTACCGGCGAATCGTCGCGTCAACACGTTTAACGGTGTTTCGGCGACCGGCACGCCGTGTCCGTCTCGGCGACCACTTACCGAGGCTGTTTATTCTCGTAGATTCCAGAGCACGCAGTGATACGCGCTGGATGACACGTTGCACGGACGGGGACGATCGTCGGCTGGAATAACGCGCGTTACGATCCTCTCGTTGCGGATGCACGGCTAATCGCGAGACGAACGAGCGAGCGAGCACGACTCGGAGCGAGAATCACACGCGCGCGACTCGATACCTCGGGGCGTTATGGCGGCCGGACGTAGAGCCGAGCTGTACTAGGCGCCGCAAGCCACGCCTATCGGCCGGCGGCTCCTCCGATTGGCGGCCGGCCTCTGCCACGTATGCAAGGGACGACGGCGCTCATCCGCGACGGTCCGACGATTGTTTTTTCGACGCGATCGCGTGTCAGCTGTGACGATGACGAATCGACCTAATTAATATTCGACGATTGCCAAAGTTATCATGTTTCGTCCGCGATGCGTACACGCCCTGAGACGCCGAGATCACGCATTTGCATGCGTCAGCATGCGTGTCATCGAACACGCGTCGCGACGTTGGCAAGATTATCAGAGATCGTACACGGTAGCCAACTTTTAGGAGAGCGTGATTATTCTCGTCTCCGCGAACGACGATGTTCTCGTGGGATTTGCCCGCAGATTTCTATCTTACATGTTACTAAATTGCTAATTCCCTAAACTTTATAGGTCTATTCGTTTCGCTCGCACTTTCTACAATTTTCTACACTTGAAATGAGATAAATATATACTCGGACGTTATCGAGAGGGAAAGAGAGCGAAGAATCCGAGTGTAGAAAATGCAAAGGAAAGGAATAAATCTTACATAAACTTAAAATAATAATAAAAATAATAATAAAAAAGGAATAAATCTTACATAAATTTTAAAAGAATGTTACAAATAAAAACAATGAATGTTTCTAGAATTAAATTACAATCCCTGTCGGAAACACTATACACTCGATGCGCATGCTCGCGGTTCAGTACATTTCGTGCCCATGAGGAGACGATGTTCGATCTAGGATATTCCACTTGTCATTCGCAATGTTTGCAAGCATCGTCTGTTTTTATTTAATTTTCGGCGAGCAACAAGGACGAAGCGATTCCGCGAATATTGCAAACGTCAGGTGAAATGGACCTATAGAGGCTCGTGTCGTTGATGGATTCAAGATGGCTGCGAAACATCGTAGCGGAGAATGTTTTAGCAGTTTCGACGGAAACGCGTAATATTTTTACATCCTCGACGATTCGTCCATCGCGCCGTCCGTGCACCTCAGTCGTCGACTTCGTCGAGGTCTCCTCGCACCTCTGCGACAGTCGCTCGAAGGAGAGCCGCGAAAAAAATGGCGCTCTGTGACACTAGCTGATTCTTGCGAATACCTCCGATGTCATTAAGGAGGATGATTTCTCAAATTTTCCGGCGTTCTCGCCTTTGATTGAAGCGAATCTACTTGCGGTAAGTCTCGTAGAATCGTTAATCTCAAATCTCACGTTTGATTTGCATTGTAAAATAACAATTAACAAGTTGACATTGAATGCTATAGACGATTTATACATCGCGCCCATACTGGAGTACATGAGATGGGAATATTTGCAAAAAATATTTCATACGTGTGTGTGAAATATTTGTAATTATACTGTCATTAAGATGTGTAAGGCGATCTGTTTTATAAAAATGTTTCTGTTATGAAATTATTTTGATAAGAGAATTTATATTCTCTAAAATAATTATATAAATTGTATCTTTTTGCGTCATACAAATGTCCTGTATGCTTATACGAATATATTTAATATTATATTTATTGTGATAATGTAACATAAAGGAAGCAGAGCAAGAGAAATGCACTGTGGATAGATCTTTATTGGTAGCATTCATTAAAGTGTTGCGTACAGTATTATTAGCAGCTGCTACTTATTATTATTGCAATAGAATATTAATGTGTATGTCAATAAATTAAGCTGCATTTTATTTACATGCACAAATGATATTCAAAAGAATAATTATCTTAGAAATGTATGGAATGTGTGTGTATGTCTGTATATATATACATATACATAAAATTTTAAAATTATTTTTTTATATGTATTTTTATCACATAAATATATATTTCTCTTCTCGTACATTTTTATACATATAAAATTTATACATCTGTTACTCTATAAATATAAAAAAAAAATATATAAACTATAACGTATGTGTGTATGTGTGCATGTATATATTTTTCTCAGACATTTTTTAATTATCAAACATTTTTTAAATATTTATATATTCCTGATCAATATTGTAATTTATTTGTTATTTGCAATATATTTTCCACATTTATTTATCCACATTGTATATTAAAATACTATCACTTTTTTTCCAATTAGATCACCGATATGGCTCTTCAATTGAATCGCAAACGTGACTCGTCCGTCAGTTTTACCAGAGCAAAAGACGATAGCGAAGATGCCGAGGACGAGATTCACATATCTCTGGCGCCATATATACAGACATACTTGGCGCACAGTAGTCAGGGATTGGGATGCTGTGGTATCAGTCTACCCGTACCGTTCGAACGTGCAGCACCACGATCATGGTGGAATCCTAGATTCGATTCGGAAATTCTCGAGGAACAGTTTAAGAGAAGTGCCTTTCCTCAAATTAGATTAAGATTTCGGTTTGTATTATGATGTATACATGCGATCGAAATAATCTGTATTTTAATTACAATTGAAAGATTGTTCTGATTATTTGTTATTTCTTGCAGATATGCTCTTACGTATATCCTATTGGTGTCCTTATCATGGCTGATGTACTTTGTGATAATCGGCATCGAGAACGATACATCGACATGGGCGACGATAGCGGGTCTTTTCGCTATCGTCGCCGCCATGGTGTCGGCCGTACTTTATTTAACGTATACGGATTACTACAGATGTTATGTATTAACGACTTCTCTGGGGGTCGCATCCACACTCTGTTTCCTATCCTTATTCTTCCTTGCCATGATACCGCCATACGTGGACGGACTAACATTGGTCGGACATTTTGCTCTGTGCTCAGAAATTTTACTGATAATTTATACAGTGCTGCCGATGCCGCTTTACGCCTGCGTGGGAATAGCCACGCTTTATTCATTGATGTTTGAAATCTTGACTGCCTATCTGTATGGCTCGAAGGACGCGCAACACAGTGAATGGATTGTACGAAATAATTCCTCAGGATCAAATAATGCGACGGCGGAAGAAGCGTTGGTACTTATGCGCTCATCCCTAAAGGATCCTCTAATTGTTGCTGGTGTACAGAATGTGATACGTAATATTAGTAATTTTACTACAACAATTAGCAGTACAGAAGCGATATCAACGATGCTACATGAAGATAAAGATACGATACAAAATATCGGGCAGGGATTTTTAGAACGAGAGACGAAAGCTCAACAATTATACGGTGCTCTAACTGACCCGAATATCTTGACGAGATCAAATTCCAGCATCCTATCTATTATTCGGTCCACCATTAGCTCAACTGTAAATGCATCGCCTATAGATAATTATACTAGTGATAAGATACTCGATGTCAGTGACATCGATTTTTCCACGAATCTCGCGATAAGGATCTTGATGCAGATTTGTATTCATTTGATAGGCATGCATATCTTGATAATGACCTTTGTGAGAATGCGTGGTACATTTATGAAGGTCGGTCAATCTTTGCTGGTCCGTCGACAATTGGAAGTAGAGAAGCAATTAAAAGAAAAGATGATACATTCGGTGATGCCGCCAAAGGTTGCGGATTGGCTTATGGAAGAGAGCGAGCGCGAGAGAGAGCGAGAGGATTCTCTGAAAAAGGGCTCGATACCATCCAATAACACGGACATCCGTTCGTTGTTTCGTCCATTCAATATGCATTCTATGGAAGATGTGAGTATCCTGTTTGCCGATATTGTTGGATTCACCAAGATGAGTTCCAACAAAACTGCCGAAGAACTTGTAGCCATACTCAACGATCTGTTTGAACGTTTCGACGACCTCTGCGAGCATCACGGATGCGAAAAGATCTCTACGTTGGGGGATTGCTACTATTGCGTAAGCGGATGTCCCGAACCAAGATCCGATCACGCCAAGTGCTGCATAGAAATGGGATTAGGTACGTGCAAGTTGCATTATTATATTAAGTATTATAATATCCAAATAATTGTATCTTAATCGTGAAGCTAGTATTTTGTACATTATTAATTTTATTAGCCATGATCGAAGCTATAAAACAATTTGACATCGAGAGACGAGAGGGCGTGAATATGAGAGTAGGCGTCCACACAGGCACTGTGCTCTGTGGAATTGTAGGCACCAAGAGATTCAAATTCGATGTCTGGTCGAATGACGTGACCTTGGCAAACAAGCTAGAGAGCACGGGAAAGCCCGGCCGTGTGCATTTGAGTGAGAATACTTTGAGATTTTTGGGAGATCAATATATCACGGAAAGTGGAGAACTAGTCAATGGTAAGTAAAATGATATACAAAAGAAAAAGCAGAAATTCTGAATTTTATGTCACGCGTGTTTATCTTTCATTATTCCAGGTGTTAAAACTTACTTCATTAGAGCCCGTAAATCAGATTTTGTGAATCAATTTATCACAAAGGTCACGTCACCCAAGAGTATCTCGCCATTGATGCAATCGCGGAGTCGTCTGGCATCGTGTAACAATCAAGTTAAGCCGCGTAATCACTATCTTCACATGGTCGCCAATGCGAGCAATTACAGGATGAAGGCCAATTCCTTGCCTAGTATTTTAGATTCTGAAAATGATGGTGATACCATGGATGATAAAGAGGATTCGAACAAAAGTCCGACATCCACCGCTAGTTATGGCAAGAAAAAAGTGCGGAGTAAGCCGTGGAAATATCTACAGAGACAACGAACAACAGAAGAAATGATACCTTTGGAGATAGAAGAGGGAAGAAATATCATTATGAGACAAGCAAAACTCGATATTCAGACATACGAAGAATGCAATGGATTTAGACGAGTTAGTAGAGTTTTTATCATCTTTTTCTGATTATCGCATTTTACGACTGCGATTAACGCTCGGTCCTTATCATAGATCCCTCTGGATAATGGCGTTGAAATGGATCCAAATCCTGTACCTTCTAGTCCTTTATTATCTGGTCAAGAGCCGATTAGTCATGCTTCTTCCATTTGTAGTAGAAAAGATTCAGGTATCAAGAGTAATAGCAGGCGAAGTAGTATACAACAACAGGTATGTTTTTGTAAGCCTTGTATTATCTTTTGATATTTAATCACCAGATAATCTGACATTCTTTTCACGGCTTTGTAGTTGTTCCTATTGAATGGCATGGCCCAGGGTGATTTATTAGGACACAGGGTCAGTGGTTATTATACCTCTAGTTCAACGTTAAATTCCACTCACGAACCTTCGTCATCAGTGCCCCCTTATCCGTTTCCCCCGATGGTAACCGATACATTCGGCCAGTGTTTTCATAAATTACGCAAACAATCTGATCTCCAGTTAATTAGGTAAATAAATCATTTTTCAGTGTTGCGTTTAAAAGTATTGATTTTTTTTTCAACTTTTATCTTTTATTTCAAAGGTGTGTGCAAGACAATGTGAGCTCTCAGCGCTCGTACTTCGTTAAACCGCCACTTTCGAGTGTTACTCTCTTCTTCAAGAATGAGGAAATGGAGAGAGAATATCGAGAAAATGCGCACAAAATTAGTGAGAGTATCGGCGATAATCCTCCCACTCTGGCTACCTCGAGATTCAACACGTACTTCGACATCTTGATATCTGCCTTGGTCTATACAGCTATCACAATCTCACTTTTTCTTCTCTGTAAACCGACGATTTACTACATGGTGTTCTCTGTACTCACCACCGCTGTTCAAGTTATCGCGGTGTTACTCTGCATTCGGCAGATTCTCTATCCACATAGGGCTCATACAACGTTTACGCAGAATATTTTCAGATTCTTTTCCCGATGGTATCCGTGGCATGCGTGCGGCGCAGTTCTGGTCGGTCTACCGATCATCTCCATCTTGCTTAATTTCACGTGCAACAGCTTCCGGAGTCTGAACAAATTTGAATATTACTATAGCTACCTAATTTTCGTCGGACTGGTTCATTTTTGCAACTTCACGCAACTCAACTGTTGGATGAAGAATCTACTAGTTACCCTCACCGGCATATTATTCATCTGCCTTGTGGTAAGTCACATATCCCCGTATCATCAGAAGAATCTCAGTAATATTAATAGTAGTAGCGATCCTGGCAACAGTTCACAGTTGATGCAATTGGCAACATTGCATCCAAATTTATTCAAATCGCGGGCGAGTGAACGGAATAATCTAGATGGTTCAGGGAATCTTTTGAACGCAACGAGAGATTTTATCATCTCGGCTGCTGCGACAAAAATGCCGGTCGTGAAACATGTAGATCGACAAGAAATGTCTGCTACGATTCGAAGAGAGACTTACACCGGGTATAACGAAAGATTATACAATTCGGAAATATATTTAGATATGATGCTGTTGCTGTTGCTAGTCTGGTTTCTGAATCGTGAGTTTGAAATCAGTTATAGATTGTGTTTTCATGGTAACGCAGTCGCAGCGCGCGATAAGACGCGCGTTCAAGCGATGAAGAATCAGGCCGATTGGCTGCTACACAATATCATACCGAAATATGTAGCTGATCAGCTGAAGACTACCGCCAAATACTCGCAGAATCACAAATCCGTGGGCATCATCTTCGCCAGTATCGTCAATTTCAACGAGCTATACGACGAATCGTATCTGGGCGGTAAGGAGTATTTACGCGTGCTCAATGAGCTTATAGGTGATTTCGACGAGTTGCTGGAGGAGCCGGACTACGCGAACGTCGAAAAGATCAAGACAATCGGCAGCACATTTATGGCCGCGAGTGGTTTGAATCCGCAAGTGAGACAACAAAGCGAGCACGAGTACACGCATCTATTCCAGTTGCTCGACTTTGCTGTAGCGATGCACAAAGTGATATATGATTTCAATCGGGATCTGTTGGGCTTCAAGCTGATCCTACGAGTCGGCTACAATTACGGTGATGTCACAGCCGGTGTGATCGGCGCTACTAAATTGTATTACGATATCTGGGGCGACGCAGTCAACATTGCATCGCGGATGGATTCCACTGGGGTCGCCGGTAGGATACAAATGGCCGGCAATTGTCTGAATGTCCTATCGGAACGATATGAGTTCGAACCGCGCGGACAGGTGTATGTCAAGGGTAAGGACAACATGGATGTGTTTTTGCTATTAGGGAAGAAAAAGAACTGATTGATGACCAATGTTTAAAAATGCCGATATTCTGCACGATCATAGTATATCGAGACGATCCGATACTACTTGTGGCCTGGAACGACCATAGCATTTAAAATAGGATCTGGCTATTCTTAGTATCTGAACATTTTTATAGCTTAATATTTTACCGTGCTTGTTTTTCGGAAAGCATATGAACTGAATTGTACGAATTAGATTGCATTAATCTTTCTAATTTTTATTTTCAGTTATCCCTTTTAATGCATATTCTTTATGCATTAAACATATTGTCAATTTATTCATTTTACCATTTACATGGTAAAAAGATATTTCTCCATTGATAATATCTGAATTTTATTGTCTAAATATTAAAGATTTTTTTCTTTTTATTATATTTATTTGTTTTTTTTTATTTATGATAACATGTACATAAAATAAATAAAATATTTGAAAATAAAAAGTAGAAAAATTATCAATGCAATTCTACTCAATTTGTACATTGTACGGAAACTAAAATTTTTTTATTATATATTTTTTTAAAATTGTAAAAGATATTAATGGTAGAGCCATTACTAATAATTTGTGCTGAAATGATATCAGAGAGACGTGCAACGAAACAAAAAATTGGAGAGAAAAGTGTGTATATATATTTATGTGCATATACACATACATATATTGTTACGAACAATATTCGTATATGTGCCCTACTAAAAAAAACATACTCGCCTTATTCGTTGACTGCTCAAAACTCAGCTAACAAGAGATATTTATTAATGAGAGATGTTATTATTGTATTTTTGTAAATATCGAACAATATATATACTATATGTATAATGAAAAGAGATATATGTATATGTATCATGGGCGATTAATCGAGATCTGCCTTTGTCTCAAGTACAAAACTGGATGAGAAAAGGGGCGGGGAGGATCTTTTTTAAGAGCATTTTACGTTGTTGAACATCGGAATAATAGTAATATGTATAAGTTTAAATGTTACGAATGTGATTTTTGCGCGAATATATTTGTGCATATATATATATATATATATATTTGTGATATATCTGATCTGTATCTGTTTCCTATAAATCGAGTCTCGAAAATGTGCAATTCTTTTCGATCGAATAATAGTGAAACGTTTTTACGATATAACTTTGAGAAATTAATAAAAAAAAGTGTTACGTTTCTATTCTATTCAATATTCTAAGAGCAACAGCGAAGTGCGTCTTGCGCGATAAAAGTCAACGAAACTCGAGGAAATACCCCGTTATAAGTTAAATAAATTTTAAAAAGTAAAAAAAAAATAAATGTACACAGTCTTGTCTTCCTGTCTGATATTGTAACATGTCACGTATGTAATTAAGATGCGTAAGTGTACAAGTTATATACAAGCATCGTTGAAAATTAATCTACATAGAAGAGATAGAGAGATGAATAAAGTGAAACTTTAGGAATAGTGATTATAAAAAATAATTTTACCAAAGACCAAGATAGAAAAGTGACGATTTAAGTCACGAACGCGTGCATATGTAAAAGCTTATATTTAGAGTTTATTATACAATGCATAACGTGCATTGAATAAATTGCATTATACACATTCCAAACGAAACTCGTGATGAAGCAGCTGGCCGCAAGTAACAAGCTCGTAACAAAGTGCTTCTTGTCGCCATTATAAGTCATATAACGTCACTTTATTATCTGGACGCTTACTCTCGGATTCCAAAGAATATTCTGCTGCATTTTTTTGTAAATCTTAATGATAAGCGTCTGATGATATTTATGATGTAAGAAATAATATTTATACTTATATTGTTATGTGTATGTACATGCATACATACATATATATGTATATGTACACAATTTTGAAAATTTTTCTGAATTACTGACAAAAAGGAAATTAGGCGCTTTGTGTTTGTTATATGCGGTATGTACGATTCAAGTATAATGCGATAAATTTGGATCTGGATCACTATCGGTATTGTACATCCTGCACGTAATGTGGTTCTAATTTTAAGCAATTTAATTCAATGAAATATTGTTTTACGTGAAAGTAATGTCATAATATATAATAAAAGGATATTAAAAGATCCTATTAATATATAATTTTTGTAAATATGCTGTAAAATGTTTATGGCTTCTGTGTAAAGTATAAAATTCTTCTTTTTGGAGAAGTTAAAAGAGAGTTATGGTGTTGTACAGAAACTGTGTGATGTATCGCTTCGATTTGTCATATTGTGGAACGTTACGTGAAATATTTCGAAATATTACGATTATAGTCAATTATAAGTTTTTATGTTATATGTAGAATATAACCAGATAACAGCTCATATGTCAAAACGTATCCACGTATGAACATCGTGATTTATATAATGATAATATTTAAATATATATGATATAAATATAATACGATTTAAATATATATGACTCGCCGATTTTGAGGGGAAAGTATATGTTATACGAGAGATATCAAATAAAATATATTATGTAAATTGAATGTATATTTATCGAACATATACATGTCTTGCGGACAACGAGACAGAGTCAGGCGTATATTGACGTACATGTTATTATTGTCAAAAAATGTAATTTCTTTATTACAATATAATATATACAAGATACTATAACTGGTTTCGCTATAATTGATGTACAAAAACGCCGGCGAGGTCTTGAAAACAAGCGGATTTCCATTGCTTTCTGGCCTGGCATAAATTAATAATGTTACGTCAGAGCATTAATAATATTATAACAAAGCGTAATGATTACTTTGTTTATACACATACGTATATTAACAAAATAATTATTACAATTTGTTATACATTAATATCATATATTAATATTATATATAAGAGATGTCCCATATAGATAGAGTACAGATTAATATTACTTTGTCAAAAGAAATAAGTATTTTTCTCTTCGTTTGGTAAGATTTTCAAAAATTTATCATTGAAATCATCATCATTCTCTAAATCTCGTATTTAATTTATCTAGTAATAATATGTATATGTATTTATAATTTAATATATAGTGCATTTGCTATTTTTTATAATTTCTTGTGTAAAAATTTTGTCAAGTCTATTTATATTATTAGAATGAAATATATCAAGAGATTATTTTTAATTATTTTAACATTTTCTTATATATAAGAGATAACTTATATAAGAGAAAACTCTTTTATATGGCAAAGTGTGTTTTTAGGTTCTGATATAAATAAAATAGAATAAAATATTAAACTTATATAATAACTTAATTATAATAAAATCATATCCAAATTTTTGACGTGAAGGATAAAAAAATAGTAAATGTACTGAACTGCGCTCGAAAACAATGCATTTCCAAAAATTTTGTCAAAGAAATATTTATTTTTTGACAAAATAATACCGATTTATACCTTATCTATATGAGAGATATCTTGTATACACATAGACATATATATTAACAATCATTATGAAACCATCTGGATAATAATCTTGATAATTTTGTCGCATTTAACAATCAATTAAATGCATAAATATAAAAATGTGATGTAGTCCAATAGTTCATATCGATAATAAAGAAACGATTATCATTGTGAAAATAGTGTTGTTACGAACTCATTGATCTATATAATTTAGCCAGTCAATAAAGTAATCGAAAATGGTTGTTTATAAGATAGCAGATTTTTATATTCCAGAAAAATGTGATTCCGGATAAATATTGTAATTCATTTGTTTGTACCATTGTGTACACTTTGTCGATATTCACATATATTATTCACATAATGGCATGCACTATTTCCAAAGGAAAGAAAAAATAAATATAAAATACTTTGTATATGACACATTATGAAAAATTGTGGTAATGTGCGATATACTTTCGATGTACACATGTGTATCAGGTGTTTCCATTATACAAATAAGTAATAATTCTTCTTGGAAAAATACGAAAAGGAAACAATTGTATTATTTCTTTGTCAGCAATATTCCAATGATAAAAAAGGTAAATGCTTCTGTAAGAGAGCATCTTACGAGTGATGGAATCTTCTTTTATTAATTGTAAATTTGTTCCTCTGACTACTTTTACTCTCATATAATGTACGAACCGTACACGTGACTATTAAAAGCGCAGTGGAATGCTTGAGAATATAGTGCATAATGCAAAAACTTACGAGTTTAAATTACAAATTACAACGTGTCGCTGTTTCCGATAAAGGCAAGATGAAGCATGCGAGACAGAAATCAAATAATTGTTAAGAAATTCTATTTCACGTGCAAGATATAATGTCCTAGTCAAATTAGAAGACGAGCGAGAATAAAAGAATTTTCGATTAAAACATTTTTGATATGTGATATTGTAGTAATGTAATAATGTAATAGAATATTGGTAGCAATTCATGTAAACGTATGTGAGTGTGAGATCCTCTTCTTACATCGTCTTAACAAGACATATTTAATACTCTAAATATGCCATCTGAGTTCTTGTGGAAAGGATTTTTGCAATAGTTTACAATTATGTTCTACGTTTAACTAGTTGCTTACTCTTTCTGATGCATTAATTTCGTCAATTTTGCACGCTTACTGCATTTCGATATTAAGACCAAACGTAAAGAGAAGACTTGAGCAGCAAGCTAGAAAAATAGGAGTATAAGAAATAAATAAACTAGAAAAATCGGGGCAAAGTTGTTGAGTCTTCGCGACTTTTGAATTTTTTCGCTTAGCGAGCTCTTATCACTGGGCTCTATTTATGATTTATAAAAATTATTTTTTTATAATTGTTTATCTGTCGTTTTTAAATATTTTTTAAATATTTTAACTTTAATTGCTTTCACAAGTTCTAGAAAAAACTTTGTGGTAGATAATAGTTTTCGATCTGATATCCATTGAAAATGTTAGCAGTAGTCAATCGCACTCAAGCATTTTTTTACGTTTGGTTTTATTTTTTAAGATTTTTTTTCTATTTTTACATTAAGAGTGTAATATACAAATGTTTCTTCGTACGTTCTCGCGTGTAAATCTCGTTGATCAAAACTGCCGTTTCGATTCATATGTAAATGTAGTACCGTATAAATTTGATTCATAAATTGTATCGCGGTTTCAATTATTTCGCGAGAAAACTCGGTTGTAAGGAAGACGTTGATCGATTTTTTGTTGCGTGTATAGGTACATTTTCGGCATCGTCCATACCTTTGAAAAAATCAACGAATCGTATAATATGAACATTTGAAACAAATATATATGTATATGTAGATGAGTGATTATAGTTCATTCTCTTCTACTCCGCTATGTAAGATTAATTACTATAAGATTTTATTGTACAATATGTATATACTTATATGTATAAATATGACACCGATATAATAAACTATACTTCGAAATCCTTACAATGTATAATGCAAGTAGATTTGCTCATTTTAGCTATACTTTTTACTATACTTTTTACTTATGTAAATTTTTAATTTTTCCAAAATTAAAAATAAAAAAAGCTCATAAAGCTAAAAAGAACAAACCTAATATTGTATAAATATGGACTTCGGAGATATAGTTTAAAAAGTAAAAAAAAAGAGAGAATGAATTATATGCTATAATATTCGGTTTTCCACAAATCAGTCAGCTTGGAACGTGTCATTTCTCTTTTTTTTTGTTTATACAAAGCAACTTAACTTTACGATTCTTAAGTTGCTCGTTTCACGTACATTGTTAAATTTTTACTTGCTACGTTTCTTATCACAATAATCTGCTATGTCTTATTGTACAACCCTTTCCATTCCAGCTTTTATGTCCCACACGTATGCCATGAAAGACATTATGTTATGTATAAATATTTCGGAAATTGTTTTTTAACGTGTGATTGAAATATAATAGTGATTTTCGAAAGCTACTCGGAAACCAATTTCTGATAAACTTGCAAGATAAAACAAGAAACAGAAAAAATATTTTATTTATTATACACGAAAATTATTTTTACATATATACTATACTAATTTTATATATAGGAGTTAGTTGAAATTCTAATTTCGCGACACCGTACTTTAATGAGGGCATACAAAAAGTTGTGCCGTACTACGACAAGTAGTTCAATTCGAATGGCGATTATGTCGAAAAGTAATGTTTTATATAGTATACGTAACTTTTATGTATAATAAAACATTTCTTCTGTTTTTTGTTTTATTTTGTATGTCTGTTATAAAGGTTGATTTCTGAATAGCTCTCGTTAAAGTAATGATAACGTGTATCGAGAAATTTACATCTTACGAAACGTTGAATGACGAGAGCAATCTTGTTTGTAATCGCGAATATAATGAACACGAGCAAGATCGATATTCTTCTTCACATGCACACGTTTGTTTGAAATCAATTAGAATAAATAAGAATAATCACATAAAAAATTATCTACACTTGTATCGCCGAATCTTCAACAGTTTGAAATTGACGATCGATTTTAGAATGAGCAAAAAGGAATTCTTTAAACAGTCACTTATAAATATTAATCTGAATATGATGTGTTTATAATTTATATTTAATATCCAAGACTTTATTTCAAGCATCTAGTAACTGAGAGCAATAAAAGCCGAGGAAATATCACCTCAATTTTTTTTTTACTAAATATTTATTAAAATTTGTGCGCTATTAATATGTATCATTTCTTAAATTCCATATACCAACATTTTTCAAAACATTTGGAAACTAATATAAGTAAAAAAACAATTTCTGAAAAATTTGCAATTTTAAAATATGCATACATTAATCTGAGGCGATATCTCGAATCGCGCTTTAAAAATATAATTCGCTATATTTGCAGATTGTCGAAAAATCGTATTCTGTGTCAGTCAGAAAAAATACGCTATTTCAACAGATTTTACGGTTCGAGTATCTTTTTTTTTCACCGTCGTATAGTCATCTCTGAAAAAATCTTTTTACAATAATTTATAATTATTTATTGAGTTAGACCAACTATGTAAAATATGATTCGCTAAAACTGTCTGCTACGTAGGCCCAGCGAACAGTGTTGCTATTCCCGTATCAGCGACGTTCTTTGATATTTCATCCACGCGCACTTGTTGAGGTTTGCCGAATACTTCAATTCGCGGTAAATTGTCTATTTTAACTTCCTTGCGAAACAATTGACCTACGCTTCTGCCAATAAGCTGTAAAACATGTATCAAAACCCGATAATTATTTTAAATGTATGATAATAAAAGAATCGTGATGAATCATGCATTTGATTCGATAAATTTTTGTTTTTAATGATATTTTGAACACAGTCAAGTTTAAGCATTAGTTATACATATCTTAGATATTGCAATTGTATACCTGATTTGTAATTTTCTTGAAAAGATCTTTTTTTCCCTTTTCAACCTTGTTGCCCTTTGTGCTGACTATTGCCATTTTCTCATCGAATCGTTGCAAGTCGGCGGGATTGACTCCTGGGATTTGCTGCATCACTTCGATGATGTTCGGAAACTTGGGTCTGAGGCACTCGTAGACTTGTGCGCCAAGAGTAATAAGGGAACCTTGATTAGCTTCATGTTGACCATGCAATTGTAAACCTTGAAGAACAGCGACCATAATGTGTCCTGCCATGGAAGGAGTAAGACTACCATCGGCTGCTAGTGATCGTACTACAGGTCCGGTCAACATCGTCGCCTTAAGACTCGCATTTGAATCGTTCCACGCAAGCGCCCTATAAATAACAAGATTATTATAGATATTATATTATAGATTTTATTATTATTGATAGAAAACATTCTAGAGAAATAAGAATTAATAAAAAAATTAATTTTATTTATCTCATAACTTTTTAGGGAAATTTGCACGATATTTCTGCATTACAATGGACATAGTATAACCCTATATTATATTACCCTAATACACATAGGACGACGCTGTGACAGGTGGACGGATGACGTAGAATGAATGCTCCTAGCTCGCTAACGACCTCGGCAACGATGCTGTTTCCCCGTGAAAGAGGTGGATCTACAGCCATTCCCCCACTATCCTGATCCATAGTATCTGGAGGCGCAGCGTCGCTAGCAGCTCCACCGACTAAAGCTACTTTTAATACATCCACAAAGTCTCTGGTCAAATTTCTATTGAGCATGTCATCGATGACTTCCTGTGTGTTGGTGTTCTCTTCGTCCAGACTACCAGATTCGTAGAGATGCGCAATATATTGCCACTTTGCGCTTAATCTTTGGCACACTGAAACAAGGCCACATCGTATGAATCGTTTAAACTTGTTTAAAGATAGAAAGCATTAAAAAACTAAATAAAGAGTATGTAATCATACTTACTATGCGTAGATACATGAGCCAATACAGGTACTAATACACTCTCATAAAAAGCTGGCGGACAGGAATATATAAATGGCTTCATAAACACACGTATAATCGGCCGCAATCTATAATCTGGAATTGCCTGAAAGAATAGATATTTTTTAAATGACTGTTTAAAAGAATGCATATAATGAAATTAATGAAAATTAAAAAATTATGGGAAATAGCATTTTATTAGATCACCTCCATGTTTGAGAAAACTGAATTGAGCAATGCTGGTGCAAATCCAGGTAACTGATAGAAATCTCGGCCGATCATATGACAACCGCTGCCCAGCATATGGTAGCATTGATCGTGAATTGTGCTAAGAAATGATTGCATTCGGACCAGGGAAATGCTCGAAGTTTGATCCGTCTCACTAGTATTGTCATTTGTCACATTTATACCCAACAGATTCGCTTTTTCCGATTCCAAAAGTCCATAAGCATTTTTGTAACCCTAGGATAAAAATAGTAATTCTACAGTCTGTGTAAAATGGATGAATGGCTCAGTAGGATGAAACATATTTGAAGTTAAAAATTTTGTACATTTTAATATTATTGATAATATTACCTCTGAAAGAAGAGGGAGAGCGGCAGGAGTGAAAAGAGCATTCATCGTTCGCAGCAGCGCGAATAGCGTTGGTAAGATGGGAATGACGTGAGGTGCAGCGGGATTTCGGTAGACTGGATTACCACTTTCGCTGAGCGCAGCAACAAAGCCACCTCTCGCTGCGCGATCGGGATCCTCTGGAATAGAGCATCGCTTGACCACACTCAAAACGGTACAAATGCACATCATGAGATCACTGCGATTGTATCTAGCCGGATCTTCTAGCATATTTTCCACCGGTGATCTGTCTAATCCTACGAATTGCATAAACTCTTGCGGTCCCTTGAACCATTCCGTGCCCAGCGTGACAAATTTGTTAGATGCGTTGCCGATCACCTCCGCGACAAATCGATTCTGCCTTTCGTAGTCGCAAAAGTGATTGGAGATGAGCAACAATGCTTCATATAACATGACACTCTCCATTCGAGATAATGGACTTGGTTCTTGCGTCAAATTTCGTACCATTGTGCGTATCTGCTCGAATACTGGCAGCAGTAGTAACGGATACTTGAGACTGATCTTCACCATGAGACTAGCCGCGTGTCGTCGCACGTTTTTGGTCGCACGCGAGCGATTGCGTTCGTTCTCACCGGGCGCCTCGAACACCAATGCGGCGAAGATTTTTTCGAGGACGCGCGGCAGAATAGCGACGCCCGGCATGGCCATCGATCCGGTCGACATCGACAGAAATACGAAAAGCGCGCTTATACAAGATAGCAGAGCGGATAGTAGCCAAGAATCTTGTGGCGAGTAACCTAGACAAAGTTCTAATAACTGCAAACCGGTCTGCACACTTGGTCGCTCATTGATCAACAAGATTCTAGAGACAACAGAATCAAGCGCTTGTGCAAGAGCCTCCCATTCGAGATACTCTCGATCATTTTGATCACTCTTATATTGCAAATCCGCCATACCCTTGGTAATTTTTGCAGTTAGCCACTGTTGCACATATGTGAATGTTACTAAGGGCGCTACCATAGTCGCGTGTCTAAATCCTTCTAACAAGTCCATTCTAAAGCGATGCAAAAAAACATTGAATTCTTCTTCAGAGTCGTAATCAACGAGGCAGTATGTAGTCACGCCGTTACTTTGTCTACCATATGGATATGCGATACGAATTAGTTTGGGCGCCGTGTGTTCCACATACTTGGGAACATATGTCAGTAATAACGAATCATTCTTGATGTGTTCATGCTTGAACAACATTACCCAGATTGTATTCGCTAAATGCGTAAGCGTAAGACTCGGATACATCGTAAATGTAAGCGTAGTGTCCAAAAAGAGATGAAAGTGTGTTGGCCGGATGTTGGAGGCGTCATCTTTTCCCCATAAAGTGCAAAGTTGTGTCGCCATGCCCGTCAGTACCTGAAATAACAATCGTGTAAATAATGGTTATTTTTTTAATGAAATTTATGAACATGAAATGTAAATATATATTAATTGGCGTGATTATCGTAAAAATTACTTGTGTGAGCTTCTTTAGAAACAGATAATGATTCTCGTGGAAATTCGTAGGTCCAGCAAGAGGCGGTGGCGCGGTAGCTGCCGTATAAATAAATTTCAAAGCCTCTTCCGAGAATAAAATCATCAATTGCTTTCGATCTTCGGCTTTACCCTTGCGATTTACAATCTGGAGTAGGCATTCGGCGGCAGAACATTGAAATATAGGATCACCCAGCAGGAGGCACAATATTTGCAACAATCTTCCATCCTCAGCCATCACATGATTTATAGAAACCCACTCGACAAATCCAGTTAGTGTAGACAGTACTATCTGTTATAATAACATACGATTACAAATATAATTTATTGAAATATTAATTATCGATAATTGGTACCTTATAAAAACTTACTTGAACGACTTTACTGTGTGCTGCAGCTTCGGATGTCTGTCCTAAGGCACTTTTCTTCTGAAATTCCGAAAAGTGTTGTTCCATTAATCGTAAGAAGAAACTAAAGATTTCTGCCATATTTGTAGTCAATGCTTGGTATATGTCTTTCCTCCTCTGATTGGATTCAAGTGTCTGTAGAAGCGCCACATCCTCCACTAGTCTAAGAAATACCAATAAGACCAATTCAGTCTGACTCACACCTTGTGTACAGGCTTGACTAAGTTCAGATAGCAAGGTGGGCCATTGCTGAGGCCATTCTCGCTTTATCATTTCGACTACCACCCGCGACAGTGCATCTTTTATGTGCGCTTCTTCCTGTAGCAATGGTTCAGTGCCTTCTTGAAGTAATTTCATAGCATTTTCTTTAATGAATATCTTCTCTGACTGCGAGATCTGAGTCCATCGATACTTGACGCAATGTTCCATTAGCTGTAGACCAAAATGACGTACTACCGAGCTTCTGTCCGGGGATCTTTGTGCCAGATATAAGCCACATTGGGCGCACAATGGCGAGGACTCCTTGAATCTTTCGCAAGCATTGTATACTTCCAGACGTTGCTGCTGAGATATATTGGGCGACATTATTACCTCGACCACTCGGGCCAGTTCTGCCGATATCTGGACAACATCGCCCGCTCCAAACTCCATTCCTATCTAATACACTGAATAAGGGAAAAATATTTATTCAACATGTTCATACATATAACAACAATCAACATATAGCAAATAATAAATAATATTTGTTGCATAGCAAATAATATTTGTTGTGAACAAAACAATTTAAAATTATTTTAGTAAAGAATTTTGTCAAATAAGGAGAAAAGAAAATATAAAAAAAAATAATAAAAGAATATAGCGTAAATTATTTATTTTATTTCCATGTATTAATGAATACAACATAAAGTATTATTTAGCATGTAGAAAATATATCGTTTATTCAAAAATCTCTCAGGAATAATTAATAAATAATTAAAGAATATAGTACCAGAGGATTCTAACTGTATTAAAGAGGAATTTTATTATATTATTATATATATTAAAAAGATATATAATAATCCAACCACAAAATATCTCACATCCTACATTTAACAACATCCTATATTTAAATAACTTCTCTAAGTTTATTTGTTTAATTAAAACTACACACACACAAAACAAATTATTTTGCGACTAATTTCAACAAGTACATGCTACTAATATCTCGTGCAATTTTTATAGAGCTGATGCAAGAATGATAGCGCACTTTAATTCCTACATAATACCGGTATAAATAATCGAACACAAATTTCGAAAACAAATTTCGTACATCTACGAAAGGATGAAGAAGAAATTTTCGGACATCATCGCGAGTCTCCAATTTTTTCTTGGAGAAGATATTTATACGAACTCTCGGTTCCTTCGCGAACATGCGGCGACGAAGATGAAGCAGCTTGTTGCGGTGCGCGCATCGAGCATGCTTCGAGGGAGAAAAGCGCACGCTACTCACCTCACGAAATTGTCGTTCGAGAGGGAGCTTGACGGGGCCGGTTAGACGGCGAGAGGCTCTCCGGTGTCGTGCTGCGCGTCAATTCATAATCCTGATCGGATGGAGAGAAAACCTAACGAGTCTATGTCAGTCGCGATGCACGCGGTACAACGATCGTGTGCAACGCTCTCCACCAACAGTCATCGGCAGATGCGACACGCTGCCCAGCCGGACGATCTTACAGACGATCATGTGCTGCCCTCTCGATGACATTGTACTCGGCTCCCTGTATTATCGAAGGAAAAGAATACCTGGAGGAAATAAATGTGCAATGGAAAATTCATTAGGCCTGCGTTCAATGTACGATAGTCTAGTAGCCAATGGAAATGTGGATTCTAATTGATGACGTTTTCGTCCCTAGAAAACAAGTTCTTTTATTGGATATCAAATTTTCGGCTGAGTAGCAGGCACAGACATATAGGGTATTTTCCGATTCATGCGTGCGCATGCAGTGACAGAAAATGTATAATATGCGTGACATGAACTATACATTTTTTGTCACTTCATGCGCATCATGCGTGAATCGGAAAGTTTTGTAGAGCTGATGTAAGAATGATAGCGCACTTTAATTCCTACATAATACCGGTATAAATATTCGAACACAAATTTCGAAAACAAATTTCGTACATCTACGAAAGGATGAAGAAGGAAATTTTCGGACATCATCGCGAGTCCCATAGACGCGGAACCCATAGACGTATAGACGTATCGTTAAGATAATAATGAATGCTTGAAAATTGAATACAAAATTTATCCGAATATGATACAATAAAAATAGAATATGACAAATGACATTTAATAATCTTCTTCAATATTAAATGTTTGAAAAAATGTATCTTAACATTATTATAGAGATTTATTTTCTAAATTTTTAATTTCTAAAATCCTATCTAATATATGCTTTATTATATTGGAGCAAGAAATACAACATTACGTAATATAGATTTAATTTTAAAAAAATTTTTAATTGAATTTATATTTCATAGCTATGTATACATAGCTATATTAAATACGTATTTAATAATAAGAGGCAATCCTAAATTTTGAGGATAATTAGATATTAATAACAGAATATAATTCTTAAAAAAATTCATATGTAATCATATAAATATATAAATATATCTATAGAATTATATATATATATATATATATATATATATATATATAATATTTTATATATTTATTTTCATCTTCTTGTATAATCTCTGCCTCTAAATAGGAAATATAATAAGAATAATTAAAAAATAATTTAAACAATGATTTTTGCATTATTTTTTTTAGAAAAAATGAGATTTGAAGAAATAAGAAAAAATTCTCCATAAATAATTATAAATTTATGGAGCAATTTTTTTTTCATTTTTTCTATAAAATAATGCGAAATTTATTTTTTTAATTATTTTTATTATTTTCCCTATATGTACAGACAGATTATAAAGAAAGAATATATATATGAACATATTTTACATATAATGATATATGAATATATATATGAATTTTTTTCTCGGGTTCTCTTATATCTCTGTCCGTCATCGTATATACAAAGAATGTGAAAATTCTTATTTTTTCACAGGGAACAAGAACAAAACAATTGATAACAAGTTGATACATACGTCTCTAAAAGACTATTCTAAAGAGATTAAGAAACAATTTATTAAGAGAGTCTTCATGTCCTTTAGACATTTTTAAGATGATTTTTAATCTTTTTATGCTGTCTGGAATATCTACATGAAAAAAGATACATTAAAAAAGGTAACTCAACAAAAATCTAGTTTTATTTACGAAATTAAAATATTTCTTTAACAGCATAAAAAATCTATATTTTATATCATTCTCTATTTTGCATTTAAAATAGAATAAAATTTTGGAATAATGTTTCCAAGAAAAAGTTTGTTCTGCTGCAATTAAATTTCTTTATTTATTTTTTGCATAAATTCGCCTAATCTAGGAATGTAGGAGCGAGAGAATAAATCCCCGACGGGCGGGACGATCGAGAGCAATCGCGGGCGGAGAACGCAAGAATTGCGCTAAGCAGTGTACATACACCTGAGCTCGCCTTTTAAAGGTGCTACAGAAGCGTGGTGGAAAAGCGTACGACGCTGCGACGAATGCCTTTCGCTGGCTCAGAGTTGGAGCAGCAATTCCGTGATTCCAGTGATTCCAGCGGCGCGAGCGAGACAAGAGCGGAACCGAGAGAGCGACAACGAGACTCGACGATCGCGCATCTCGATTTTACGGATCGGCTCTGAACGCGATGCGCGACACTGCTGGTCCGCGCGAACGACGCCGAAATCGTCGTCGCGAGTCCCAAGTGTCCTTTCAACAAGTGTACCCGTACAGACAATTTTGAGGAGAAAAGGAGACGAAGAGAAGTATGGACCAGAGGCGAAGTCTGTGAAGACTCCTCTCACGTGTAACCGAGCGATCGATATGTCGCGACGATCCAGACTCGGCCAGCGCGTTTCCACGAGAAGAGGAATTATCCGCGGATAAGGATCGATAATCTATAGGGAAGATAATTTCTCTCTTTCTCCGTCCTAAGCACAGATGAGACACAAGGTATGCGCGACAACCGGTCTATTATCTTAAGAACTGGTACCGATACATCGGACGAAATTTCCAAACGATCTCAAAAATCTGCGCTCATCCGCGCGATGTGATATTTCTCTCAACGCCGTACATACGCAAAGCTTGGCGCGATATTTTTTCATTGACGTTTTTTTTTTCTGGGGATCTGTACGGAGAGAAATATTGCGCGCACAGGTTGCAGCGGATCTGTAGCGCCTGCGCGCTTCATTGTCCGCTATGTGTAAGGAATATGCGAGTTTATTTAAAAGTGACGCGATTAAATCGCGCAAAGCAGGAATTTAATAACCGGTTAGTTGATGAGAATAAATAGACAGTTATTTAGCATTTCAGACTACATATCTATTAAGTATTAACATCTACTACATATTCCTTTTTTTAATAAGGGATGCGCAAATTATAGAGGATTGATTATGAAGGGATTAATTTTGTGAAAAAAGAAAAAAAACAAATAATAAAATATTGAAATTGATTTCTAATTTATAATATCTCAAGAGGGATATTTAATTTCAGAGAAATACATTTCTTACATTTTATTTTAATATATCTATTTTTTTATGGAACTCTAAGTATTTTTGAATAAAATGTGATGTCAAATTTGATGAAATTATTATATTGTAACGCGTTGCAATTATTGATCAATTCATTTTCCGTTTTAAACAATGAGCTTCAATCTTCCTTTTATGATAAAGATCAAAAGAATGATCGCGACTCAATAATATGTATGCACCGTTAAAGATAAAGATGCAATTATAAATGTGACAATTTATTGTGAAACTATTTATATTACCTTGAAAGAGTCGCGAAGGAATAATCGGAGGCGAAGAGTATTGTTGCGCGCATTGTCGATCGAAGATGTTGCACATGTCCTTGTTAAATGACATCACCGTACTAAATAAGGATTTGCCCAACGATGTACGCGCTGCTGGCACTGCCTACGATCGAAAGACAATCCAATGATAATGCAATATTTTGCAATCAATATATGCGGGTAGTATACTTAAAAGAATATATGCCACACCTTTAAATCTGTATTTAATTATGTGTAGAGAGAATTACAATTATACTAGCATTTTCAAATAAAATCTACTAAAAATTAAACATTACTAAGTGAAATTATAAAATCGAAAATATTAAAAATATCTTTTGAAAACAACTCTTATTCCTTTTATACCAACATTATATTTTTGTTATAGGTTGATATAGCATAAATAAGATGTGTATAGTGAAGCAACCTTTTTTTAAAATTATGCAATACATATAATAGAAAAATATATTTTATCATATATTACAAAAATATATTTTATCATATATTACATACTCGCAATAAACATAATATTCTATTTATTTTTTATTGTTTATATATATGTAAACGATATAAAATAAAAAATAAAATACGTATACGAGATATGTTCAATATATTATATATTTAAATGTAATTATATATATTCTCTATAAATAACTGTAATCTATAATTTATTAATAAATACATTTATTTCTGTTTTAGATGAGTTTTAAACGCGAATGTTACTGATGAATTGTATATTTATCTTTAATATTCTTGCACATTAACATAAACTCCAAAATGCATACTTCAAAGTATGCTTATCATATTAGCACAAATCGCGATTATATTACAGATGGTGAAGAGAGCCACAGAGCTCCTTCAGATCGCACCGTATCTGAATATATCGTTGCCAATGAACATACTACTATGGTAATATATGTGATAAAAAATTTCCTTAGATTGTAATATATTACATTACTTTAATATATCATATATTATCTCTATATTTTCAAATTCCTTTCAGGTAAAACCAATAAAAACAAGTCACGCAGACAGATATGATAGAGAAGACAGAAGATCTAGAAGCGCACACAATACTCGCGATTCAGTACTGTCTGAATCTTCGAAACATGGTTTACATCCGCTTAGCAAAAGTGCCTCACATGGCAGTATTTGTGACAATGGTTCAGATATATATGTCACTAGTGCTGCATATAGAGCCACTTCCGACATAAGGTTGCTCTCTTGTTTAAATATATAATATATTAAACATATCTAATAATATATATAATAAAAAATATTAATGTAAAACATATATATATATATATATATATATCTTGTTACAAGCAGTCGAGTATCACGCCATAGTCTAGCACCAAGCTCCAGATTAGATCACAGAGCGCCTAGTCACTACAGCTATGGTTCCGGTAGATCAGGCACCTCGACAGTGAAAACTCGTACATCACGAAAAGGCGGTATAATTATTGAAACTATGTCCACACCTAATCCATTCTGTCCAAACACTAAGGGTGTCTGTTGCCTTATGTTACTTCTTAATCTCGGCTTGATTCTGGTTACTTTGGGCTTTGTTATTGTCATACAATTCTTCCAACCATTGGTTGTTTGGTAAGGGAATTGTAGAATAAATTTATATACTTTTGCACTATTTATATGTAAGATTCTATGTTAAAATTGATAGATATAATCACACTTCAATTAAATAAAAAATCATTTTTAATAAAAAGAACTTTTAATTACAAAACATATTAATTTATATTTCTAATAATTATTAATAAAGTATAAGAGACAATAGAAAATTATATATAGTGCACAAGTTCTGCAATTATATGTGTATAATATCATGTATATATATATGTACATATATGTGTACAAAAGAATTTTTTACAATATAAACATATTTTTTTAGGATCTTAGGAATAGTATTTCTGGTGTTTGGATTTTTGACATTAATTGGAAGTCTCGTATATTGTGTACATGTATTCAAAAATGCCAAACACCCCCATGATATTAATCCAGAAGATCTATATTGGACCCATTACTGGCAAGGTCGCGTTGGTTCTACAGCACCTGAAGTTTATTATAAAGCGGAAGACAAGTATCAAGATGACGGCTATAGTGATCGATATAGCAAATATTCAGGAAAGTATTATGACAGGCAAAGTCAAAGATATTGATTAAAATATAAATAGTCTTAACTATATTAATTGAAATACCAATCATTCTGCCAACTCTTAATTGTATAAAATATTTTCAAAACCAATGATAAATAAAAAGAAAAATAATTCTAGTGCAATAAAATATATTACTTATTTTGTATATAGGTATTATACTAACATCTTTTTTCTTCTTCTGAAAAAGACACGAATTGTAAATTTACTACTTTTGTATTAATAAATAATCTATAAAAAATATTTTTCTTAAAGATAATATCCTTAGTGCTAATATATATCATAATTTAATGTACTAATATATCATAATTTAATGATAATACAAATTAATACAATTAAATGTTGATATATTTACATCTATGATGATGTTTTAAAATAATCGATTATTTATGGTATTAAAAGTATATAGTATTTATAGTAAAAGTATTTATATATTTTATATACATCAATTACATACATACACACACTTACATATAACTATCATAATAACTACTATTTATATAACAATTTTAATACAATGTAACAAAAATGTATTTATTAAAATATCCTAATTTTTAAGATTAAGTAATTATATCATTACTTCATCAAAAAGAGTTGGATTTACAAATACGCCCTTTTTATCAATCAAATAAAAAAGAGATTTGTTTTTTATTTTAAATGCTATACATACTCCACGATCCATTCTATGTGAGGTACATTTTGCCTTAAAAAAAATACAATCAAATAAGAAGCATTTAAAGACATAAAAATTTAAAGACAAAAATATTTTGTATTGTATTATTGAGATTTTTTTATAATTATTATAAATACATCAAAAATATAAATTAGTAAATAGGTATTAAATTAATATAATTTTTAATAATATAATTTATATTCTTACCATCTCTATTGGTAAATTTATTATATTAGATTTCTTTTTCCGCCAGTGATAAGTAGAAAGTGAAAGTGTTTTACCACCTTTATTTAAGATAATATATCTGATGCTACGAGCACACAAAGCATATATAAAAGCAAATGCACAAGGACCTATAAAACAAATACATCAATCTAGAAAAGACAGAGCAAAAATTTATCTGTTGCTTTAATTTTTTATAACAAAATTTTTTACAAAAAGATATATGTAAAATAAATATTCTTAATTTTATTTTTTAATTTTTATGTAAGCATATAAAAATACATTTTCACTAAAAAAACAGTAAAAAGATATCTTACCTGCAAAAATTGAGAAAACAAATATTATAAGCCGAAATGCATGTTGTTTTACAAATTCTTTCAATTTTATATCAGTTGTAAATATATCAAAGAAAGCTGATGTATAAGTACAGAAAGCCAACATACTCCAACCAAGTAATTGTCCAATTGCAATAATTTTTATATTCCGAAAATATCTATCACATTCATTTTTGTATAAAATTACATTATTTCTTACATTTGTATTCACATCTAATTTTTTCATTTGCTGATGCCGAATTAAGTTTTGCGACAATTTGTTAGGTTTAAGAAAACTTGCTGATTGCGCTAATCCATCAGATAGTCTGTGTATTTTTATGACTTATTATTACTTTATAAAATAGTAGAATTTATTAGTAATTTTTCATAATTTTATTTTAAATATGCAAGATATCTTACAATCATTGTTACTTGATATTTACATGTAACTTATGTAAATATGTAAGTTCAATTTAAAACTAAAATCGTTTCTCTTTTTTATAATAATTCTAATTTTTATAATAATTAAATTAATGTATATATATATATATGTATATATATATATATATATATATATATATATATATATATATATATCTCTCTCCGGAAAATCGTTTACAGTACTTCGAGAAGTGATTTGGAACCCAAAAAGAAGGAAAAAAAGCTATATAAACATAGATCCGAAAATAAGTCATTTCCAAATTATAGTCACTTTTATGTTTAAAAAATCATAATTTATAGTCTGCTTGGTATCCCTCTTTTTTAAATTTTGTTTAAATTTTAAATTTTGCTGCAGGTGATTTTCCAGACACCTTATATAAACATATTGATAAAATATTCAGCTTTTTTTATACAGAAATTGTGTTTTCTTCATTTCAATTTTAAAAAAAGTAACAATAGTTCAAGAACATCTTGCATATAACAACTATATTTATATAAATATTAACTTCATCAATGTAAAAACCATAGTTAAAATATATATTATTCTCACATGGTGTTTTTATATTAAAATGTTTTACTGTGCTTTACCTTGTATTTCTGGTTACAAATGTTCTAATAATCAATGCTGAAGATATATTTTTATTATATTTAAAACATTTTTGTATCATTCCACAAGTAGAATGTGCTTCAGTTAATAAATCTTTAAATATGATAGGATGTTTTAAAATTAAACTAAGCATTTTAAAGTTTTCCTTTTTGCGTGGTTATAGAAAGTGCAAAAATTTCAATAGATGGGATAAATGCTTATATTCCCCTTAAGTATTCTTATTTTCTGCAAATGGAAGTACTTTTTTACTTTTCAATAATTTAAAATGTGTTATAAATTTGTGTTATAAATTTATACAATATTTTTAAATTATATATATATAATTTGTAAATATATAAAATTCTGATATATATTTCTACATTTTCTTTATATAATCATGTATGAAATTTAATTATATTCTTACCAAGTTCTTTCTATAAAAGCTGTATCATGTAATCCTGTTGATTTATAAATATTTAATTCAACAACAAAATTATAAACAGATATTTAAAATTATTGAGCAAAACTTGATAATAATAAGACTCAAAATTGAGTAATAGGTTAGAAAATCTGTATCAAAAGATCGGTCTGTTTTTTTTAGTTGAATAGCTGCACTAGTTCAATCAAGTTCAGTTAAAAAGTACAGATCCCATGTATCAGCCAGAGAGAAGACTGAGAGATGTCATGGCTGCTTTTAAGTGTTCTCTGAAAGCGATACTCCCTCTATGGACATTGAAAACGTGGACATGAACTACAAAGCCAATGTCCATGAATATACTCTGGTGTTACCGGCATTTCGTGCACATAGCACGGAACGAAACTAGAAATTGACATTATATATTACCCTCTGAGAACATTCATGGACATTGGCTTTGTAGTTCATGTCCACGTTTTCAATGTCCATAGAGGGAGTATCGCTTTCAGTGATCACCTAAAAGCAGGCCATGACATCTTTCAGTCTTCTCTCTGCTTCGTATATCCTCGGCATAGTGACTAGTGAGAGTCACTGACAGGTATCAGCTGTTCCAGTAAATAAACCGCCGCATTTCGATAATGGACGGCGTTGAGGATACCGCGTGCGACTATCAGACAGCTGACGAGGATGTCAGCGAATCGGATAACAATAGCGAGTGCTCGTCACAACGAAGCGAGGGCGATATTAATTGGTATTATATGCCAGACTCGATTCTTTTGAGTATCTTCCAGTACCTGTCACCGAAGGAGCTGACGATCGCTGGTGAGGTGTGCAGATCGTGGCATAGGGTATCGCGTGACGAATTCCTGTGGAAATATTTGTTTTATCGAACATACAAGATAGATCCGGACGTCGGCATCGTGCCAGGTATGTCGTTCATCAACAGTATTTTGATGTCATCGTATTTTTATATACGATTGAAAATAATATATTCTGTCGCATGTTATATGTGTGCGACGTAAAAAATATAAATATAAATTCTACTATGTAATCACGTATTATTATATATTTGAAAAAATTGTTTGAACCACAAGAAAAAATCTCGAGTTAATTAAATTAGTATATTATTCTATATATATGGCATATAAAGATAACAAGTTAGGAACCAATATGGACAAAAGAAATAATGATAGAAAATTCTTTAGAAGTATATAAATAAGGCAATACACTTTAATTGAAATTAAATGTGAGTTTTATAATAAATTTATATTAAAATTTTTATAAAATACTCATTAAAATTCATAACGATTTTGTTTGCTACTTTCCTAATGGCTTTTTTTATATCTGTATATTATATAAGATATTCTTATTAGCAATAATATGTGTAGCAATGTCGTGTATAGGAAAGAGAGAACAATTTTTTACACTGTTAATTTACAAATACATATACATTTTTATTAATATATTATATTTTACATTTATATTCTTCTGGATTCATAGAATATCAGTAATTATTATTCTCTCTTTCTCTCTCTTAGGAAAAACTTCTTGGTTGGGAGAATTCAAACGTTTGGCATATCATACTCCACTGATAGAAACTGAAGTTCTTAAGGAACATTCGCATCAAGTTTTACATGTCAGCTTCTCCCATAATGGCAAAATGTTTGCAACCTGTTCGAAAGATGGATATATTCTTGTAAACTTTTCTCCTGACATTCACATTTATATATTTTTTTTTTGCATAAATTATTAAGTATTATAAATATGCTGTTATTTCAGGTATGGCAAAGTCAATATCCTGTTACCATAAAATATTTGCATGATATGAAAACATTTAGTTGGAAGTACACGCAATTTTCGCAATTTAATTGTACAGATACTTTACTTCTTGTCTCTGGTGTACATTTTGGTACACCTCATAGTACTTCGGGAGAAATAGCAGTGTTTAAAATAGCACGTAAATAAATTAAATGCACTATATTATTATTATTACCACATAAATTAATAAATTTTAAAAAGAGGAACATAAGTTATTTTTTGAAATTCAAAATTCGATTGAATAAATCAATCAATTTTCGATTGAATAATTGCTCATGTATGCTTTATATTTATTTGTAGCTGGTTTTGACCTTCAATGTAGAGTAGTGAATAAACCATATGACATATTTGGTACATGGTACAGTGAACGTTACCTTTTGAGTGGAAATCTGCATTGGTTGGCGCATTTAGTCAGCACTAGTGTAGTTTGGCTTAATAAGGCAAACCAGGAATCAGCTAGTGAACATGTGCCCATTATGACACAACTCTTTAGGTAAAGTCAACATGCTTTTCCAATCTTTATTTTAATATTAAGCTTAATAGGGACAAAAGCGATTATCTTTTCAAAATAAATTTTTTTTTACACATCTGTAATAATTTTCAGATTCTACAATGGAAATGCTTCTTCAATTAGAGCAATTATGGTTGCAAATTGTCTGGCACCTGCACCAACTGAAACTACAGAACAACAAAGTCAGCCATCCTCCTCAAATACAAAGGAAGAAAAAGGAAATCCACCAAGTCACAAAGATTTGTTATCACCTTCAAACGAACCTAGTAGCTCGCAACAGCAGGAAGAACCAGAAGTGTTACACCATGCATCATCAAGATTACAGTATGAATTTGTATCATATATGATGATTTTCCTATTTATTATACGATTAAGATTTATGTAATATGCATGTATAATAGATATAGTAAATTAGAAGGTGGATTTTCAAATTGGAGGAAACTTGGTGATGGTTTTGAATATGCTAGTCCTATACAATACAACCAGGAATATAGGCAGGTTGAAATGCAAAGGAAGGCGCACGAAAGTGATAGCGAAAGTGAGAACCCATTGTGGGAAGAGGAGAGCGAGTCTGGAGGTAAAGAAATATTACGCGCACATAATACAAAGTAATAGAAAATCGATCGTGATATAATTATAATTATATATAATATAATACAAAACTGGGCTTACAGAATCTTCGATAACCGAAGAGTGTGATACTGACGAGTTAGCCAATAATCCCGAAAAATTTCTTATATTTACAAGTGGCTCAAAGACATATACTCCACATAAAGTTGGTTTTAAGAGAATTAAATTAGTTACTTTCCCAAGAAGATTAGACCCAGGACCGTCGCTACGTGAAAGAATAGCTCAGCGAGAAAGGGAGCGAGAAAGACCGAGTACCCCATCGGTGGAAGATTGGTTAAATTATCAATCTGTAGCTGATAAATTCGATAAGATTGATCATTCAATTGATCTTCACGGTCATATTATCGGAATGGGACTTTCTCCTGATCATAGGTCAGTTATATTAATGTTGTCATCATGTAAAATGATATATTTGCGAAGTATGTGATTCTACATTTTTATACAGATATCTTTATGTAAATACAAGGCCATGGCCAAAGGGCTATGTTATTACTAATCCTTTACAACCACCACCAATAGCACAAGAAATTGATATACATGTGATTGACTTGGTAACATTGAAACAAGTTGGTACAATGTTAAGAGCACACAAGGCATACACACCTAATAATGAATGTTTCTTCATATTTTTGGACGTATGTAATGAATATGTAGCAAGGTAATGTAATTCAATTGCATTTATTAATTCATTACTCTAATTTAAAAAATTATACTTTTAAAAAATGTATAGGTTTCATTAAATATTTTTGCTTACAGTGGTGCAGAAGATAAGCATGGTTATTTGTGGGATAGACATTATGGAATTTGTTTAGCAAAATTTCCTCATACTGATGTAGTTAATTCTGTAGCTTTTAATCCGCGTGATCCTGAAATGTTAGTTACAACTAGTGATGATTATACAGTTAAAATATGGCGGAGTCGGGCTATGGTAAAGGCTTTAGGTTTAGATGAAAATTCCTATCATAGAGGTATGGAGGTGCGAAAGAGACGAAGATTTCAGAGAAGTAGTAATAATATTGACTGACTAAAAACTATTAAATTTCCAATTTGAAACATTTATTTTTACAAGAACTTTAGAAATATATTCTGCACTTAAGTTGATACTATATACAAAATCGTCCAAAATACTATTGTATAAAAGCACAAATAATCAATCTATTTTCTGATTGCCTGGGATTTATGCACATAAACACGTGCGTTCATTTCTTATAATATAATACATTACTCACATGAATACTTGAAAGAATTATTAAAAATGTTGTTAAAAGAATGGATATTGCAAAGAAATATATTGTTTATTGTTACAATGCAAAATTAGAAAATATCTAATAAGAAATTTTAAAATTATATTATTTATATTTAAAGACTATCATCAAACTATTTTTAAACTTAGCTTAAAGTTTATCTATATAACTTCTACATATGGAATTCTAGATCTTATAGAATTTATCTCCTGACAAAATTATAAAATTTGGAATTCTCAATGAAATGGATGTGCAATGAATATTAAGTTTTTCATGGTTATGACTCTTTACACATATATGTAATCTGTAATACTGAATTTTTTTTATTTAGTTTATTATTTTTTTCTGTATATTTAACATATTTACAAATTACTTATTTGCTAAACAAAGAAAATAATAAATGGATATAAATGTGCATCATTTTATATTTTTTCTCCTATATTTCATTTTTTGAGTTTGTTGTACTATTACATTGTAAAATTACAAAATAACAATATAATAAGTCTCCCACAAAAACAAATAAAAAATTTTGGAATATTCCCAATTCTCTATGTAATAATAAGTGATTTCAAATTTGATTTAGCAATTATGGAATATGTAAATTAATGTTATCATAATTAAATGTGGAATGTTAATAAAAGTCACAAATTAACAAATAATATATATTTCCTTTAGCATAAAATTTGTAGTTATTGAATAGCAACTAGTGCATGTATGTGTATGTATATGATATATATATAAAATATATATATATATATATATATATATATATATATATATATAAAATATATATATATATAAAATATATATATATATATATAAATTATATATATATATATATATATATATATATATCTCAAGTACATATAAAAAAGTGACATCAATTTAGATGTAAATATATAAGGAATGATGATTTTATTATTTTCCAGAGAATATTCAATAATTTACTATTCTCATGACATATTACATACAATCTATATAAGAATTAACAATTTAGACAACATTTTATAATCTTTCATGTGACATTAAAGCATTGTGACAAAAATGCTACATGTATTAGTGCAAAATCATATTTAAAGTTTGCATACCTAAAAAAATAACATAATTTGATTCAAAAAATCATAGTCTTTAATTTTATTTTTTTGTTTATTGTTATATGTATCACTTACCTACAATCCGTCATTTCTTTTGTATGATACTGACTTGAGAAACAACATAAAGGAATTTATTTTCCATTTAGCAGAATTGTCAATGGGCATATAAATATAATACTTATGTTGAACCTGTCGCAATCGGTTCTGTAAACAAAACACAATATAAAAAATAAAAATTTGTTATTTAAGCATACACTAATATTACTAATGAATTTATTATCCAAAAAATTACCAGGATGAGAAGACATTCCATCTTGAGCAACATTTCCAGTTTTGGGTAAGACTTTTTTATGAGCATCCTTATGTCCGTGACAATGTTCGCATTCATCATCACTATCTTCGGAACTACTTTCACCAAAAGTTTTTGGTTTTTCATAAATACAACAACCTGTAAATAAAAAAGATCACGTGATTATTTTTTTCATTGAATAAATTTAGAAAGTTTCATAGAAATAATAAATACCTACATTTTGATTTTTTCTTATTTAAATGTTCATTATCAACAGTCCCTTTAGTCCACTGGACCTTTTTGTTTGATTTTGGTTTCCGTAAACGTAATCGTACGGTAGGTACATCCTATGAAAAAAAATTAATTGAAAATATTATTAGTATAATAAAACTAATAATTAATTCATCTTAAACTACATGTAGTGATCATAGAACATTTGTAACAATAAACAATTAAAAATGTATGAAAATGAATAAAAGAATATTCAAATTAAAATTTATTTTTTTATTATATCAAAAGTTTGACACATATATACATAAATATTTTATAAAATATAAATTATTTACTTATACATATATGCAATTCTTATTATAAATATCATTACATTTTTTTAAAAAATATATATAATATAAAATATACATATATAAACAATAAATAGACAATATTATCAACAGCTTAATGTGAAAATGTTTTGAAACTACTCCCTAGAAATATTCTATTATAAAATTAAAATTTATGTATCTGAAAATGCTATATATAATAGTATAAAAAATTTACATCGAAAATGGAGTTATTTTCCATGTGGACTTATAACATTATTATAAAATTGATATTTGAGTGTTACATATCAAACTTATAGAGAGAATTAAATATTTATTAATTATTGCACAATTTTCTGTGCTATTAAATTTTTTATTTTATCATCTGAATATTTTAATATGTTTTTTAAAACTTCTGATGTATGTTGTCCCAATATTGGTGGGGATAATCTCACTGTATTGGTAGCATAGCTATATGTCACAGGTGGTCCAACGAGTTTCACTTTGCCTGTAACTGGATGATCTAACTCTTGAACCAACTTTATATATTTTACATGGGGATCATCAAATACCTGAAAATTACATGCAAAGTTTAGGTAAAAATTCACTATACTGTAAATTATTTGACACTAGTTTATTTACTTCTTTTATGGTGTTTACTGCTCCATAAGGAAATGAAGCACCTTCAAATATCGCAGACCATTCTTGATTCGTTTTCCTTTTAAATACATTTCTAAGAATTTGAAGCAATTCCATTCTATTCTTAACTCTAGCAGTATTATTCTTAAATTTGTTATTATTAATAAGTTCTGATAGTTGTAGTCTTTTAATTAACTCTAGAAATTGCAAATCGCTACCCGCTCCCACTGTCATATATCCATCCTTTGTCGGGAAAGCTTCGTAAGGAACTATGCTCTCGTGTTCAGATCCCCATCTTGTAGCTTCCTTATTTCCATTTAAGTAATTTGAAGCAATATTAATCAAACTTGCAACTTGAGTTGACAAAAGATTACATTGTATCCACTGGCCTTTGTTGATTTTTGATCTTTGTAGTAAAGCTGCCATAATTGCTCCATGAGCGTATAAACCCATTGCTAAATCTGTCATTGCTACGCCAACCTTGCACGGTGGTCCATCTTTGGGGCCGGTAATGTGCAAAAGTCCGCCTAAGGAAGCTGCAATAACGTCATAACCAGGTCTATTTGCATAAGGTCCTTGGAATCCGTAGCCAGTTAACGAACAGTATATAAGACGTGGTGCTATCTTGGCTATGTCTTCGTATCCTAAGCCTATACTGTTCAATTTCCCTGGTACATAATTTTCCACTAAGACATCGCATGTCTGCGCCAGGTCGTAAATAATATCTTTACCTCTCTTCAGGTCGATACAAACGCTTTTCTTATTTCTATTCACGCTCATAAAGTAGGTTGATTCTTGCGTTCCCTCGAAGAACGGCGGACCCCACTTGCGCGCCTCGTCTCCATCGCCGGGTCGTTCGATCTTCAAGATCTCCGCACCGAGATCTCCGAGGATCATCGTACAATAGGGACCGGCCACGATCCTTGTCAGATCCAGAACTCGTATTCCGTTCAACGGTGAACGATTTTCTTCGATGATCGTTTGACAAAACCCACGGTCGCATTTTTTCAAATTGCATGCAATTGCACTTGTTAAGAATCTGTCACTCGCTGCGCACTTTCGCAAGGAAATCGTGAATACCTTACGTATCATCGTTCAAACTTAAAGGACAAAGTTAGAAATAATTTTTGCCCTATAACCTTATCGTCGTAGATATTGATATATTCGTAATGAAAAAAATATAATGTTATATACTTTTATAAATATTATTAAAAATCGTATTCCAACAATGTGATGTCGTATGTTGGAGGGGATATCGGATTGTGACAAGCGATAAGAACAATTATTTGCATTCTGTGAATAACGTCACCGACGACTCTTCTCCGATCCCGCTTGTCGCGTCGACCGAGTGATAAACATTACGTACATAAATGAGGGTGTAATGGATATGAATACCTGCGATCCGGAGTCGATGACATCCGCCTCGGAGATCGTTTCCGTTTGTGTTTGTAATGCTGCTTGTTCCGACATTGTTCTATCCATGTGTCGCAATTGACACACGTTGTCTTCGACGAAAGATACGCACAATATCACTGTAACGTCAAACGTAACCTATGCGAATTTCCGCCATCACTGCAGTGCTGCCAATTTTTTTCCCCTTTTTCTTCGATGATGCAGTCACGAATATAATTGTAAAATTGATTTTTGATACTCTCGATTTTTGCAGTTAATTTTTCTTTTTCGAATTAAAAAGATTATTAAATTCCAAAAAGATAGCATAATTCTCTCTTATACAAACTTTGAATAAATTACTGATAAATTGTATCTTATATACATTTTCTTATAATAGGCTCGTTAATTCTATTTATATGTAACACTGATGATTATATATTATATCTTTCAATGATAATAAATTGTTTTTCAAATAATTGCATACTTATATGTTCATAAAAATTTTTAAAAATTGTGTATTTATTTGGAAGGATATATAGAATGCGACAAAATATAGAATTATAAAAACATAAATGTTATATTTATTTGAAAAACATTAAGTGCTGGGTACACTAATTGTTAGAATATTTTATTTGTTTTCAATTATCAATATTATTTCAAAATAGTAGTGGTTAAAATCATAGATGTGATTTGTTGGTTGATTTACTTCAATTACTTTTACCTTATATTTTAATCCAGCTATAAATAAAATAGAAGATATTATTTAACTGTATTTTTTCCTTATTTATAAGGTATTAAAAATATCAATAAATATTTTATATCATATTACAAATGTCGACAGAAACTTACCTTCTTGAAACCAATATCAGCGGCATATTCTCTGAAGCATTGCCGGCAAATGTTCAGACCATATTTGCGAATAAGTCCATGTCTATTCGCACAGGCACGGCTGTAATAAAAATAAAAATTAATTTCGTTTAGAACAATTTATGTATATTCATCTAATATTTTATATATGTAATACTGAAATATTAAATTTATCCATTCACCTGCCACTTCAAAGTCAAAACAAATTAAAATTTAAAAACAGAAAGAGACGGGAAAAAATAATATATAGAAAACTCATGTAAAACGGATAGAATACTTAATAAAATAACCTCGAATGGAGTTGACTTACAACACGCGATACTTTGGAGGTTAGTATACATATTTATAGACATATTTTTACAAAAGCAATATTAATAAAACTAATATAGATATATAAATATATTAAAATTATTTCAGACTATCCAATCTTTCGCTTTAAATCAAATTTTCGTGGTGATCGATCCGCGACTAATGCACATAAATTCATCGCAAATAGAAGCGTATAAAATGAAAAGAGCATTATACTAACCAGGATCTTGATCCTTGACCGTATTTTCGCGGATGCGAGTACCATATGTTTTGGAACCCCATTTGTACGTGTAATATTCCTCTTTATATGTGGGAATCTTGCGTTAATAGATCAAGTCGGCGGATGACGACGGATAAAGAACAAGAGGCAGATTCAATGAGAGGATGAATAAATTCACCACGCGGCGCTTTCTCCAAACCTAACCTGACACACGTCACGTGACTGCTCTTTCCTTCAGCTCGTATTTAGATTCGGTGTTCTTTCGAGCACATAAATTTTTTCATATTATTATTTATTGATATTATTTGATGATAAAATGTATGAAAAATATATGAAATACTACTATAAGTGTGTATCACTACTCTAGCAAAAGAATTTATTAAAACTTTATTGTAGAGCGAATATATTTATATTTATGTACACAATTATATACACAATACACAATAATACACACGATTAAAATTGGTCATTTTCATTTTTTTAAATTTCGAAATAAAATATTTAAAAAATTACAAGAAACGTAAGATCAGGAAATACAATATAATTTTAAATTTTGAATTATCTTATAATAATATAAATGTAAATTATTAATAATATAAATTATCTTATAATAATGATAATAATTATAATAATAATAATATAAAATATGTAGAAAAGAAATTGTAGATTAAGATTCTTAAGGAATTCAGATTTTGTATACAAACCGGTAAAAAATCAATTTTGTAATATTATATCAGATATTATATTTACAATATATTGGACTACTTTAGTAATCAATAAGACGTGAATGAAATGTACTCATTTATAACAATTAATTGTAATTAAAATTATAATATATTATTAGAGACTGTTTTAATAATCAATAATAAAACAGTACTATATTTATTGAAAATTAATCGTATAATCAAAATTAAATACATTTGAAAATGATTTACTAATTATACATTCATTCGCGCATGTATTTTTCAATTCTTTATGTTATGTTATTATATTATAATTTTTTTAGTGTATTTATTCCTATCGGTAATTATGAACGTCGTAATCCGTGATGTAGATTACAGTCTCGTGCAAAGAGAAACCGGTTTCCTCCTCAACGACTGGCAGACAATCCCATCCCACGTGGAAGGCCATCGATGAAGCGGGGATAAGTTACAACGGTACTTTCACACGACGCTTTTTACTACTCAAATAAACTCACTGTAGACTGTTACTATTGAGTTAACTCTAGTCTCGTTTAAATCAAAATTACTATGTCAGACGAAAAGAGGCACGATAAGGAGAATGAAAAGGTATGAAATATAAAAGGGTGTTTATTGTTAGAAACTATTTTCATTATTTATAAGAATTAGAAGTCGTAAGTGGCACAATAATTTAATGCATTTGAAAAATGGAATCTAATCGATTAACTAAAGTCTCAATAATAATTTAAATTAGTTCTCTTTATTTAGATATATGTTTAAGAAAATGTATATAGATTTTACTAAATTAAAATCAAACAGAAATGAAGAAAGAAAATAAAGCATTTAATTCCATTTCTTACATTTTGTTATCCATTTATCTTTAATCAGATTTAATAAATTATAATGACTGACGCATAACACTGTTACAGGGAGCTCGATACATTATAGGAAGACAAATCATGAATTTAAAAATGAAGATAGTCCTAAAAATTATTCTATCTTCTATAGCAGGCCCGTTGATCCTTTACGGTATATCTTTTATTTATCAGTCATACTCGAGGCATCTATTTGAAAGACCAGTTACAATAAACGAGGATCGACCCAAATTTTGGATCTATGCCAAGAGTAACGACACCGGTTATTTGAAGCATGTATACGCGGTGCTCCATCGACTCGGTTTCCAAGAGAGCAATAACAAGTCCGATTGGGATCTATTGTGGGCCCATGATTATCCATTTCGCGTGCTGTCCGTGAGTTTAGATAAATTGCAAAAGCACCAACGAGTCAATCATTTTCCCGGTTGCGGCTACATCACAAATAAAGTGGATCTGTCGACATCGCGTGGCGGACGATATATACCGGCGGCATTCAAGATACCCGAGGATCAGCAAGCCTTTCTCGATTATGCCAAGTCACATCCCGCGAAGCTGTTCGTACAGAAATCGAACGATCACCGGGGCATTCGCATTCGCGACAATGATGACGCAAACTTCATCGATGGCACGTTCATTCAAGAGTTCATCGAACGACCGTTCCTCGTGGATGGCTACAAGTTCGATATTGGAATGTATGTTGTCATTACGTCCGTAGATCCGCTACGATTATACGTCTATAAGGGCGATGTGTTGTTTCGCTTCTGTCCAGTGAAATATTATCCTTTCGATCCAGAAATCCTAGACAAGTACGTGGTTGGCGACGATTATCTACCGATTTGGAGTGTGCCATCCTTGAAGAAATATTACACAGAACTCGGATTCTCGATGAAAGATTCGTTCGATGCGTATATCAAAGAGCGTGGAAAGAATCCGACTGATATGTGGGAACGAGTGTATGACGCTATCCGGGAAGTCGTCTTGATGAAGGAGATGCAAATCAGAGAAGTCTCCAAACGTTTTGGCAATGGCAGAAATTTCTTCGAACTCGTGAGATTCGATCTGGCTCTTGACGCAGATCTAAATGTTTACATGATGGAGGCGAACATGTCGCCGAATCTATCTTCCGCACATTATCCACCGAATCAACTGCTCTATGAGCAAGTCATATTCAATATGTTTGCGCTGGTCGGTATCGGCAAGAGGACTAAAAGAGAATCCTTGAAGATTAGGCAAGTAAAGCGTATCAAGATTTAAATGCGAGCACAGAAGAGTTTTGTGTCTCGAAATTGGTTGCCTAAAAATATAGAGTAAGTAGAACTATTTACATAAAAGATATTTAAATTGACGTTACCCATGTTGTAGAAATAAAGCGGAGGAAGAAATGGAGGTAGCAAACAAAAACATCGTGGTGCTACCAGAGCTCTGTAAGGAATGTGAAGATTGTTTTCGCATAGAGTGCCAATTATGTAGGCCGTGTTATACATTGGAAACAAAGCTTATTTTGTCGCAGAGTTATCTCGAGCACCAAAATCAGATGGACTTTCAAAGAATCTTTCCGCCTCCGATTGTAAGTCGTGGAAGAATATTATATTTTTTCATGTAATGTACTTGTAACCAGAAATGTATCTGTTTATAGACAAGAGATATGGTGCTAAAAAATTACACATTGAGAAATCAATTACTCATCAGATGGTATCAAGGAAAATGCAAATTGGATAAGACGTGGTGCAGTTGATATTATATGATAAAGTTAGAAGTCTATTTTGTAAATGAGTTTATACATATATAATATGGAATATTTATTTCAAACATGTAAAACTGTATATATAATAGTTAATAAGTAGAAACATTAAATGTAAAGCTGTTCAACTAGTACATAAAATCACATGAAGAAATTTACTACTATTATTTCTATTAAACTGCACATCAAGTACACATATGTATAAAAGATTATAAAAAAACTCCAAGTTATTCTATGCTATAGCGCAATGTATTACATAATTATTAAAAAATGGAAATAAATATATTTTATATTCGTGTAACATACTGAATCATGTATGTAAAAAATGTTTCATAAAATAAATATACGTAAAAGATACTAAAAAATGACAAAATAAGAATTATTTCTCTGTTAACAAAGTTTCTTTTTTTCTTTTAACTTTTGAGTCAGGCGCATTTGGATTTACGCCCTTGTAAAAGTCTTTAAGTAATTTCATAGCCTGCTCTTTCTTAACGTTTCCTTGTATCAGTACTTTTGGATCATAAAATTTTGGTACCTCGAGAACACTGACGCAACCGCCAAATCGATCATTCGCACAACCGTATATAATACTGTGTACTTGTAGTTGAAGTAATGCCGATATACACATTATGCATGGTTCTACCGTGACAACTACATCTAAATTACGAAATACAGTTTCGTATTGTAAGCATTTTTCTTTACAAAACTTTAAGACTTGGTCGATGCAATTTATCTCTGCATGACGAGTTGCATTACAAGTTTCATTCACTGTGTTATTACCAGTTGCAATTATTTCATTGTTATATATAAATAAACAACCTACTGGAACTTCACCAGCTCTTAAAGATTCTTCAGCTTTTTGTAATGCAACATCCATCCATGCCGAAATATCCATAATAAATGCTATTAAATATTGTACTATATGTTGAGATAATATGATGTAAAGATATTTTGAAAACTTTGTTGTGCGCTACAGTTTTATACAATTATTTTTTTTGGAGTTTTTTTACTTGTCTTGAATATTATAAATGTTGTCTTAAGTAAAAAAAAATTATCAATTTAAATTTTATATCTTATATATAAAAATAATTGTACCTTATATAAAAAAGAATTTAAACATCTGCTTTTTCAAAAAATTTGAGCAATCCTAACTCATCTAATCGTTGCATAGCTGTTTCATTCCAATTTTGATTACCTACAGCTCTTGGACTGGGATGTCGAAGAACCATTACCTAAAAATAAATCATATATTAGTAAATCTTGATATACTATTAAGAATTAAGGATGTTATATATGAAATAAATATACGTTACCTGTATATTTGGAAGACCTCCTGTCTGGACTGCAATTTGTGCTCTTTTTTCAGCATAATTGCCAATACCAACGATAATCTCTACTTTCAAGAGTTGTATTATGTCTATCAAGGCTTTGTCGCAAGCCTCATGTAAAATTTTTTGTCCTCCCTGAAAAATACAAGTAGTTCAGCATAAAAAAAAGGAATGCAGTGAGATAAATATTGCCTTTAATTCTGCTGGTGTGATGTTTCGAGCTCTAGCATCCATGAATGCAAGTGGGCAATAATTGTGCATGTATGCGTGTCGAAAAAAGTTCTCTGGACTTCCACATAAATTTCGAAAGAGGCCCCACAATCTTAGTCCACTAATCTCGCTACGTGTACATTCGAATCCCGTAACTTTTCGATCAGGATGTTCCTTTGATGGACTTTTAACAGGGCCACAAATTTTGAGCCAATTGCGCACCATGTTTATTTCTCCAAATGGTACACCAGTTTGCGACATGCCCCATGGTCCAGGATTCATGCCGACAAATAAAACTTTCTTTTCACCAGTGCAGTACTTGTGTACATACATGGCATGTGTTTCAGATGCATACTCAAGCGGATTGTAAATATACTGTATCACCGATGGAAATGTAATATCTTGTAATTTTGTACACAGCTCTTGTTCAATTGATAATAATTTATCAGAAATTGACCCAAGTGCTATGGGTGTGTGTTCAATTGCATCTTTATCTTTTTTTACATTGGAAGTGGATGTAAGCACTGCAGATGAATGTTCAACTGCATTTTCATTTCCTTCCATATTTTGTTTTATACCCAAAGCTGTTTGTATTTGAGCCATATAATCTAAAGTACCTGAATTAGAGCGTTTGAGTTTTTTCGCGCTTCTTGATTCATCGCTATTTACTCTGGTTCTTTTTGTACGAGGCATAATTATTTTCAAAGTCTAATATATGAGAAATTTAAGATTTTATATGTAGATTATTTTGGAATAAAATTTCTTCTTAAAGAAAAGAGTAAAATATATATTTAATTAAATTCTTATTATCGAGAGAATATATATTTTACAATGTGCTCTCTTGAACTAATTTAAGAATATAAAACACAATACCAAGTGTTTCTTCATACGCATTAATGAAAGAATATGTTCAGTCTTTGAAATAAAACAATAGTAACTGCACTTTTCTTATATTAGTTTGCTCTTTCTAATATTAATTTAGGATTGTGTTGTAATTCGATTTAATCAGCTTGATAAAGTGTCAACACAATTATTGCAAATGCAAGAGCTCATTCGTGTGTGTTATTCAATATCAATATTGTTCACACCGGCAAAACGTATTCGAATTTCGAACATTCCGAGAATACATTCCGTTGTATGCAAGTGTACAAAGAGAAGCGTATACTTACTTCGTCTAATCCTGCCGGTTACACACAAACAAAAGTACGTCTATTTTACACTTTATTTCTTCCTTCTTCTTCTTCGAAATTTGAAAATATATCTACGATACATCTATTTCAGTTTAAAGTACAAAAAGTGTTAAAAAAGTGCATTTGAACGAAGAACCACGTGCATATCTAAAATCTAATCAACCTAACTTTAATTTTACGTTTCAGGATGCATTTTATTTGGAATTATGAATATTTTTAAAGCGTTTGATTGACCAATCAGGACAAAAGTTTTCTTTTCTTCTTATTCTTGGTAAATTAAAATTTATAATGTTGTGTCAAATGCATTCTTAGATATTCGAATTTACGAAAAAACCTATTAAAATAAATTTGTACGGTAAATTTCTACAATTCAACAAATTACGTGTCCAATAAAAGAAATTTTCTTTAAATTATAAATGTGATTGAATTTTTCTGAACATATTTTCTGTGATTATGCGAGTCGCAAGATTTCTTTATCCCGATTGATCAATTAAACGTTACTTTATCCTATGGGGTTTTCGAATACACTCTAAAGGTGCAATTTCATTGACGCTAAAAAGTAGCGTCAACCATTGGTTGAACAAAGAAGCAACTACTTACTTCTTTGTTCAACCAATAGTTGACGCTACTTTTTAGCGTCAATGAAATTGCACCTTTATGTTTATAGAGGACGCATCGTCCTTTCAGGGATAACCTAAAGCCGGATACTTTGTTAATCGATAAAGAGGATAATTTAAGCGGTAGAGAGATTATTAACTTCGCCATAAGACCTAACCGGTTAAGAGCGTTCTCGTACGAGAAAACATTAAAAAAAAAAAAACTTTGTTAATCTAGTGACTTTAAGATCGCTAAAAGCAGACTATGACAAAAAAGAATGAAAACTATGAACAACTTTGTTGTTTGTTTTATAGATTTTAAAAATGGCTTGTCGTATGCTACATATTTAGAGTTGTAAATAATTTGATAAAAAATGTTCAATCTATAAACAATGGTAACGCAAATGAAATATATCATTGTCTCTAAATCATTATATGTAATTAACATATAATGTGTATTTAAAATTAATTTATCAATTTAACTCCAATAAAATTATGAAATTTTTTTCAAGTATATTATTGTTTAATATTATTTAATTTATTGCTTGTCAGTCATTCATTAAAAACACATTTATTAAAAATAGTCACTTTATTAAATAATGTGAGAAATTATATTTTTTGCGAATAGTAAGTAGAATTTTTATGGATATAGCATTTTGATAATAGTTTATATTTACAGTAGAAAATAATTTGTATTTCACTGTGCTTTTGTTCTATAGGACCTGAAGATGAATTATGAAAGGGTGTGACAAGTATCAGTAATGCAGGAAGACGCAGAGATAGAGCAAGAAGAGTAGTGAAAAGAGAAAGCTCCTAAATAAGGAGCAAATTATTGGCATGGGAAAAATTCAGATACAATTTCCTGGTCTAAACACTCCTGTGTTTAGAGGAAAAGAATTAATTCAACAGCAAAAACTGCTTGTAAATCTTGAAAGAAAGCAAAAACTTATGGAATTACCACAAAGTCAGACCAGACCAATGCAAATAAAATTATCGCCATTGGAATGTGGTTGGACGAGTGTTACAATGGATGGCAGAAGCATTGAATCAGATCTTATTGAAAAAGGTTAATATTTATGCTATTATTGGATTATAATGGTTAAATCACACACATACAAAAATCATGTGATACAATGTCTATTTTCAATTTTTTTTTATGTTTCAGTTCTAAATATTAGAATCTTATATAATTAATATCTTTGTTTTCTGTAGATACATTTGAAAGTTTTGAAACCTGGATTTTGGAAAACAAAATGATAACTTGTATGACCGGTAATTTAGCACGTAAGACTAGAATCAGTTCATTTATAGTAACTGGAAATGGAAATGGATTAGCAGGATTTGCGTTATCAAAAGCCAAAGCATCCCTAAAGACGGTTAAAAATAGGACTGGTCAAAGACTAATGTATATTCCTACATATAAGGAATACACTGGTAAGAAAATAATTGTCAATACTATATAATATAAAATTTATTTCTTCTCTTTTAATATCACTTTGTATTTTTCAGTGTTACATGATTTCTTTACACAGTTTGAGAATATAAAAATATTTGTAAAGAAAATTCATGAAGGATAATGGGCTTGTTTGTCATCATGCGATAAAAGAGTGTTGCGAGATAATTGGCATAAAGGATATGTATGCCAAAGTACAAGGAGGAATGTAAAAGCATTCTTTATTGGTTTATTGCAACAGGTATGTATATAATAAGTATTTAAAGGCATATTATACTTTTTATTTAATTTATATTAGAAAAAAACATTTTTTATTTATAAATATATATATATATATATATATATATATATATATATATATATGTTAGACATAAAGCTACAAAAAAACGTGGATTGTGTCGATTAATTAATTAATTGTTTTATTTAATTATCAATTTATATATGTATATTATTAACAATAATTTTTTGTTTACTTAAACTATAAGGTATAAGGTTGTACATAAGAAACAATCTTTTTTATTTAGTATTTCAAGCATATTTTCATAGAACTTTAATTTAATTATTATATTATTAAAAATATTGAACAAAATAAAGAATTAAAGCTGGCTTTCTCTGCAGTCTCATGGCAGATTATATCAGAAATCATACTTTAATTATTGCAATATATCATGAAACAAATCAATCTCAAAATAATGGAAATATTTGCAGAAATATCAAATATGTAATGTAAATATTTTAATTTTTTTGTATGCGATCTATTTTTTATTCTGTCGATGTTTTCATAGTGATGCATCTTGAGCAGTTTGCTTCATATGTTTGCAATAAAAATATATTAAAGCAAATTATTTTGCAAATTTATTATTCTAATTTTTATTTAGAAAGACTAAGATTAAAAAAGACATATGCATTTTTTTCAGATATTTCTATTGAAAAAACGCATCAGATAAAACTTTCCTGTACATTTTAAATGCGCCAAAAGATTTGCTCTTTATTCCACTTACTGCAATAATGTACACTAAAAATGACAGATCTATATTAAAAATGATAGATCTATATTTAGTAGTTGGAAAGAAAGAGAGGAGAAATGAAAAGTGCATCTAGAGAATTTAAAAGAATAAAAATCTAAAAATAATAATACATAAAAATTAATATTATGTATTTTTTTCATGAGGAATGTGGGGCGTACATTTATGCATTTATTTATTTGGATGAGATTTACTTTAGAGCACATTCAGTATTCAACTTTAATTTTATTTTCTCTTTCTTATGATATATAAGTATAACATAATTACCTGCAAATGCTATCACTTTGTGTGCTTACAGTGATACAGAAGCAACATTACAAGTACTATATTTACAGATAACATCTGTATAATAAAAAAAGCACCAAAAATCTAATAATAGAAAAAGGATAAATATTGTAGACCAGGATAAGTATCAACCAATTATTCCACCGCTCTGTTTCATTAGAGTTGCAATTTTCTTTTATATCATAAATATTATAAATAAGAAAAAGATTTCCGTACGTTTCAAATAAATTTATATATCTTATGTATGTAATACTGCGCACACATATTAAAAGGTGATAATATCGCAGTTATAATAAGATACGATCCTGGCATATAATGATTTTTGGATCCTACTTAAAATAATTTAATTTGATTTATTTTTGAGAAATGCGCACAATACTTGAGAACAAATTATTTTTGTGCCATGTATTACCTGTGTAAAATTCCACACACAGTATCATATTGTCTGCGATATATGAAAAGCTTCATCGATGAAATATGATTGAGATATAAGAAAAGTAATATAGTACTTGTAATGAATAACGTTAATGTGGAATACATAAATATTTTATATTTTAATTTCATATAATCAAGATGAGATAAGACACTCATGATTACTTTAAAAATGTGTCCACAAATATCATGTAACTTCAACAGCTGCACATTCGTCAAATTAATCCTATTACGTTAAATGAATCACAGCAGCTTGTTTTAATTTAATCTAACCTAACCAATTATATTATATGCTTCTCATTAAAATGTGTAAAACTGCACATTTAATATGATTAATATACTACGTAATAAAATGTAATACACTAATGAAATAATTAAATATTATTTTTGAAAGCATGATAAAATCCAGGCAGCATACGCTTGCGTTTACATTCGACATCCAAAGCACTGAGATGTTAGGTTAGGTTAGATCGAAAAAATTTATCGTTTAACAGTTGGCAGCCCTACGAGATAGGCTGTGCAGCACTGCGCGTATATAAAATAAATTTGAAATCGTTTCTAGCTAACCATCTTCACGCGATCGACTTTATTTGAATTGCACGGCATCGCATCGAATTATGATGCAGCGCCGATTTGTTCGAATGTAATTCGGGACATCGCGATGCTGTATAAGCGTCGAATGAGCACGAATTGTCACGCAAATATGATAAATCAAATCTACTCACCGGCTGTT